GTTTCTGCTTTTTTTTACGTTTTTTGTGTGTACAGCATGAGATTTTTCTCATGTATGTTCGTTGGACAGTAGTTCTCTCACTTTGCCATACATCTTTGCTACCTCCTTCTATTTTACCTCCTTCCACCCCCTACTTTTCCCCTTCCCAACCCTTACCACTTTCCCCAACCCTCAAAAACATACTCATTTGAATGTATTACAACAAGTTGAAAATGCTGCAGAAAACTCTCCAAGCTAAAAAGCGCCCAGAACGAATGCTGCCGACATGAATTATTTAGAGCGCCAACTGGGTTGAGGATGCCATGGCCCCCTTTTTGGGCCCCCTGCCGCTGCCCATGTGTGTTTGATTAAATTTGTAGGAGAAATAGTATAAGTAGAAGGGGGTTGGAGGTAAGCTCCTTGAAGTTGAAGCAAGTTTTGGGAACTTGTCTCGGAAATTAACTCGTTTTATTGCGCCTTTTATGGAACTATCCTAGGTGAAGTTTCATTTTAATTCCCAGCTACTTGAGTTTTATTTACACAGAAAAAAAATTAAATTAAATGGTGATCAATTGAATTCGTTGGTATGTTAATATATTCCTGCTATAAGGGGAAAAAATATCGACAGTTCCCTATTCCTCGATATTTAATAAGTGATTTGCAAACTATCGAAAATGTTCAAGCTATATTAAGGAAACTGATAAACATTTCAATCGAATACTAAAAAACCCATTTGAAACTATTTTAAAGACTAAAATAGCAAAATGGTTTTTTAGTTATAAAACATATATTTTATTTTTTGTGTAGCAAGTGAGCCTTCATTTCTTGCAGATTGCTGACTGACAAGGCAATTCCACGTTATTGCCAACAATAATTCACACGCAACAAACGATGGGCGGTGGTGGGTATTTGCCAAAGGGGGAGGTGGTTGGGGGCCACATCCAACCACTGGATGTTGGGGGGTGGCAATCAACAATTGTTGCATGAATAAAGCGAGAAGCGGACAGGACATTGAGGCTAATGATTGCCAGCGCACACAGATCACTGAGCAATCTTTCGTGGAAGTGGATGTAGAAGTGCGGGGAATGCGGAAGGTTTTCAGCCTCTAATGCTCAAAATTGTGCCATCAAAAATAATGCGTAGGCGGGTAATTTCCCATCCCCCTCCCCTTTTTTCAAGAAAACTCCGGCACTTGCTGGCCCAAGATAACGCATTAGATGATGGAAATTATCCGGGACAATGGGAGAAGGCCTGTCGTCAGGCCATTGTGGTTCTCAAGGCTGAAACTGGAGGCCAGAAAGTGGGCTAAAATACGGGGGAGAAAGCCAAAGGTGAACATTGACAAATGAAGGTCCTCAAATTGCGCAGAAATTGAAATGGGCCGAAAAAAGAAGATGAAAAACCAGTTGGGAATTATACGAATAAAAAATGATTCAACAGTCTTTTTGTAGAAGTTGAAAAGACATTAGTAAAGCTTATTCGAAAACGACCATTACAAGGTATTTCAATTAATGAGGGGAATTTTAAATTTTAATTTATAACAATTTACAACAACGGAGCAAAAAGCCTCATGGCCACATATTTACTGATTTTGTAAAAGTGTAAAGGCTATTTTGATTGTATTAATTATACCTATCAAAATGTAAAACAAATTTTTTAATCGGACCACTCATTCAAAAGTTATGATGGAGCCCAAGTAGTGCAAGCAGTCGATTAACTGCTTGCATAACTTCGTCTCCCTTTGTATTCTTAGCCTTCCCATTTTTTTTCACAAACCTTCCCCTATTATCCCATAAATTGATAAACTGATTCTCTTCAAAGTTTAGGTCAATCAAATTTGAATAAAGTTTAATCAAAGTCAAATTTAATTCCCAAAAGTTAACCTTCGATGCTACTAAAAACGAGGTGTGCTCGATTATGGAAACAATTTGGAAGTTTATTTTATTTTGATTGGGTTGAACCACTTAAAGTGCCAAGAAAATTTTCAAATGCCATTTGTTTCTCTCTTTTTTTTCTTTGCCATTACTCTGCTGTTCCACTCATATTAGGGGAAATCGAATTGACAAGGACAGCCACAAGTGGTTGGCTCTACTTATTTTTTTTGTTAGGAAATATCGAGGGACTCCAAACTCCGACGCCTGATTAGTGAGAGTGCCCCTCACGCGAGAGCTTCGTTGTCACTGGGCGCCTTGGGGCGCATAAATCCAAATCCCAGCCCAACGGATTCACGGATCCGTCTGCCGCACACCTGATAAATCCATCAAAATCCGGAAGCCTCAGCAGTCGGATGGAGAATTGCAGTCCGCCTACTCAGAGGCTTACACTTGCCTTTTTGGGGTACTTAAGGTCTATTGGATTGTGATTTAAAAGAAAACTATATAAATATTATTTTTATTGCAGACAAACGAAAGATCTATAGAAATATTTTTTACAAAACTTTTCAAATACTTTTTAATTAAAAAAAAAATTGTAATACTAATTACTATTAATCTCTCTTTTAAAGAATAATTTTCTTATTTTTTAAAAAATTTATAGAGTGAAGTCTACTTAAATGTTAATTTTATTAATTTATTCTCGTAAAAGAAAACAATATGTATAAAACCATAAATCAAGCATTTAAATTCTATAAAAATTTGTTTGAAAAATATTTACATTATTATTTAAAATTATTTTCTACCCGTTACTCGTAGAGTAAAGATCTTTAAAGATTTCCGAGAAGTATAAATGCAATTTTGTTGTGTATATTTATACCTATCGAAAGGCAAAAGACATTTTTTAAATCGGACCATTCATTAAAAAGTTATACGCAATCAAAATTGTTTATATATCTATCTCCCTCGCACTCCCTTTAGCTGATTATTAGATAGTCGGGAAACCAACCCGAGTACAGCGTTCGCACTCCCTTTAGCTGAGTGACGGGTATTAGATAGTCGGGACACCAACCCGGCTATAACGTTCTCTCTTGTTTTTTGTGAAATAATTGATTTTTATATAATTTCTTAACCAAATTTAATATTGGTTGAGATGTCGAGTAGTGCTGAAAAAACATTGCTTGTAAAATATTAAACTCAATTTTAGTGATGTATGGTTTAATGATTTTTAAGAGTACTACCATTTCAAGCATTGTGTTTGAGCATTTTTGCCATCCAACTTGTCCTGCTTATTTATTTATCGAGCGAAATGCGGCAGGTGAGGCAAAGTTTTGGATTGGACTTCCGGCTTTGGATTGGGTTTCGGTTTCGCCAGGGGTTTACCTATACTGTCCACGCAGCTTATCGAATCGGACAGCTGACAGTTGTACAAGCTCGCAGGAGCCACTACTAGGATAGATGGATGGATGGATGGATTGGAGGAGTGAATCCTCCAGGAGGATTTACAGGAGGATGGGAGCGATGATGAGGCAGCGAGACAGCGATTTGAAGTGCTCTGCAGACAGAGACCGCAGCGTACTTAGACAACGTTTGCCAGCTGATAAATGGTTGCCTGTCACTTAGCCGCGTTCTTGATGGAGTACTAAGCCAAACATCCAACCAACCATCCATCCAACCACCAACCAACCACCCATTTAACCCACACTCGCAACAGCAGACAAAGTTGCCCGCAGGCGTGCTAAAAAATAAAACAAAGTTGAAGTTCCCCAAACGAGAAATCGCATTAGCGAGCCTGTGGTTGAGGCTGCATTTCAGATTGAGTTCGAGCTGGAGGCCAGAGAGTCTGGATTTAAAGTTAAGAAGGTGGAGATTGAGTGGCCGCCGGCTAAGTCCGGGATGAAAGTGTCATTTTCCCAAGGCCTTCAAATGATTTTAAAAGTTATTCTCATAAAATATAGCACCACAAATATTTAAGGATAAAAGGCTTCAAGGCTAAATTTCTTAAAAAAAAATACCACTCATTTATTGTATTTTATAGCGAACAGATATTTTAAATTAGCTTTTCTTGAGCTAATATTGTAATTTTTGTATTGCTACTAGATCTAAGAAACTTGAATATAATTTTTATATTTTTCAGAAATAAGCAATATATTTAATTATTTTTGGTGCTTTTAAAGGCATTAAATATTTTTTTACAGCCCTGATAAATTTTCAAGTTTTTATTATTATTCATAAAATAGGGTATTTTATCCAAAACAACTTTCTGTAGCCTATTTCACTTTATAATTGTAAATAAATTCATATAATTGACTTAGAAGTGTCCACCTGCAGGCGCCCGAGGCTTTCAGTTTCAGTTTTTTTCTCCTTTGGAGCCCTATTAAGCAGCGACTTTAATTATGTTTAAATATTCATTAAGCGTGGCCCGGGGTCCTGGCCAGGTTCACTTTCAATTTAACTTTGTTATCGCCTGTGGCTCCCCGGGGCCAGAGCGTTTTCGGCTGCCAAATCAAATTCGACGCCCAATTAAAATTCAATTTGTTGCGCGCCATTAATTAGATTCTCTTCCCGCCCCTAGCAAGAAAAAAACAAAAAAAAATTACGTCCTAATCAATGATGGATTTTTGGGGGTGCAGGAGGATATTGAACTTACTTCTAATAGCAATGAATGCCACCTGAGACTTCCCCTGCCCCCATACATTATTATTCTATTACCCAAACAGCCAGCAAACTAATTTTTATGCAATTCTGGGCCACATCCTTTGATAAGTCTCGCCGCCGCCACCTGCAGCGAGTGGCGGCCCCACTAATTAGTGTGGCCGACGCTGCTTACGATGCTGCTTTTCGTTCGTTCGGACACTTCAATTAGGTGTAATCTATGCGCATAAATTTATGGGGCTTGTGCAACATGTGGTGGTCACAACAGCACTCAACAAAAATTACTACAAATCACGAACATATTTTTTAATTTAGAAAAAAACTGGTAAAAATTCGTTGAGTTCAACAAACTATTATATCACTTTTAAATGTAATTGTTTTGACATTTTTCCTAAGTGTTATTAAATTAAACACAATAAAATAAGATCATCAACTTAAATAATTATATTTTCTCTGTGTGTGGCGACCCTTAATCAATCAATTGGCAAGACTCACCTGCTTTTGCAACGTGTTGGATAGCTCCTCCAGGCACTCCTTCCGCTCGAAACGCTCGAATTTAAAGCTATTGGAGCGGTACAGTTCGTTGTCCTCCCGCCGACGATTGCGGCACAGGCGGCGGGTGATTATGTTGCCGCCACTGCTGCTCAAACGAGGACTGCAATTGAAAGTAATCAAATTGGTTTGGATTAGTGTGGAGTTTTTTTTCGGGAAGATGGGTGTCAATAAAATATCGAAATCAAGGCGCAAAACCTTTAAAATTAATATTTTTTGGAAATTGTTAACTTTTCGATTTAAAAATCTCTTATAAAAGTGCCTAAAAGTATGCCGTACAAATAAGTCATCGGATCTGTAAAATATATTGCCGCATACTTTCTGGCATTTTTATAAGTTATAAATGATGGAAAAAATGTTTATTAATAACGTGATTTGAGGAATATAACATAAAAAAATAAATATAGTAATCACCTTATGAAAGCTATTTAAACTCGACATTTCACATGATCCCTTCTTTTCATAAATAAGCTAGTGGACTTTAGACAAATTAAACCCCAACTCGGGCGCCATCAATTTGATTTCTCTGCTGACAGGGACTCTTCTCCCAATCCTCGCAACACATTACCCATCAAAAAAAAAGGATAAACAAAAAAGAATAAACTTGTGGAATGGTGGGCGGGTCACACCGGAGCTCGTTAGCTGGCGCTTCATTAAAATTTCACACATTCGGCGGTAAAGAAAACTCTGCTCCATTTACCTTATTATATGCGCCTCCTGTCCTCCGATGTCTGATGTTGGCTTAAAGCCTCGAAAAGTTAAGCTCAGCGCCCAATGGAACGGCGACCCACTTTGCATTCTGGGTTCGTTCAACGCCCGCGGCCACTTCAATGGCTAAAAACTGAAAACTGAACACTGAGAACTCAGTTGCAACCGAAACTCCATCGCCACAACAAAAACAAAATGAAAAACTCTGAGAGGGGCGGAAGAAAATGGGGAAAAATGGTTAAAGAAAAAAAAGGGAAAGGCCGAGGGAACAGGGGAAAAAATATAAAAAAATATATATAAGGCAACCCGGTGAAAACTCTGCGGCAAACAAAAGCACAAGCCACTGGAGCAGACTCAAGTGGCAGCCACTTGGGCACTCCAACTCACTGGAGCTCCAGTTGCAACTCCAGTTGCGGCTGCACTTACAAAAATCAGTGCTAGCGAGGTGGTAAACAAAACATCGGATTTTCATACAACACGTAAGCCAATTATAATTTACTTAACAACTTATTTCTGACCATGTCACTTTTCAAAGGGGTCTTAATGGGTTAAGAACATTTTTGTGTCATTTAAACGGAATTGAAGTGCTCTTTCTATAGGTGCTAAAAGTGTATATTAAAAGGTCAAAATGTGAGTACAGTTAACATTAAAATCTGTCAAAATAATTATGCCGACTAGTGTATGGCAGCTATACAATACAGTGGTCCGATTTTTGTTAATTAATTGAATTTAATTTTGAAAAAAATATAAAATATATTAAAAAACTTGGCAGATAGACAGACGGACAAACGGACAGATAGACATGGATAGATCGACTCGTGTAGTAATGCTGATCAAGAATAGATAATATAATATATTATATATTGTAAAGTCGGAAACATCTCCCTTAGTGCGTTGCAAACTACTGACTTAAATCCGTATACCCTCTGCAAGGGTATAACAATTGTAATTTATTATATCTAATACATTCCTACGTTATATATTTCTATATTCCTTAAATGCCTCACAAATTTGGACCAACCTACACATAAAATTGTTATTCAGTGCTTGAAAATTATTCAACTATAGCTTCTTTTGTACTTCACTCAGTATACGATTTTTCTATCAGTGCAGCTGTGGTACTCACCCGCAGGGTTTGCAGTGCGTCATGTGCAGATCCCAGTTGAGATGGAAGTTGAACATGCGCAACTTGGCCACCGCCCGCTGTCGCAGTGAGATGTCCGGCTGTCCTCCAGATCCGGATCCGACTGCTCCTCCTGCGCCACCTCCTCCTGCTCCTCCGCCTCCTCCTCCAACCGAAGTGGATGCCTGTCCGGCAGCAGATCCTCCAGATGGTCCCAGTGCCGTGGCTCGCTGGGGATTCGGATACATCATCACTGTGCCGCTGGGCGCCGATGTGGCGAACAGACGACGCGATGAGCCGCCTCCTCCGCCGCCGGAAACGCCCCCGCCACCATGATGGTGGCTGGGGCGATAGTGCTGGTGCTCTTTCAGGGTGTAAAAGCCGCCCGAGGAGCTGCAATGGAAAGCGAGTCAAGGCCTCGTTAGAGTCTCCGCTAGCAACGCCCACCGAGCAGCCAACATTGAATGGCATTGTCTTGTGAGAACATTGAAACTAAAGAAAGCCGCAATACAAAGGGGGTGCTAGAGAGAGCCCTACAGTTTTGAATACACTCAAAGAGGTGCCCAAAAGTGTGCTATGAAAAATGGTGCATTGTCTGGCCGCATTTATTCATCGGACTTCCGTGTTCAAAATATATCGTGGCATACTTTTAGACATCTCTACAAAGGGGTTTGAAACTTTTAGAGATTTCTGTTGCAAGTTACTAATGCTTTAAAATTTAGATATCTTAAATATTTAATGGATTTCCCAGATTATAAAATTTCTACAAAATTGATTTTATTATTTAATAAATTTAAAACTTAGGTAAGTTTGTAAAATTGAAATAAAATTTGAGACACAAATCTCCGCATTGAAAATGTACACTTTATAATTAAATCTTAATTTTATAAGAAATTCAAAAAATACTTAAACTTAGGGTTAGGACCGATTTTTGAATGTCATGTTAAGGTTATATTTTTTTATTTGTCAGAGAAAGTTAACATGAAGTTAAAATAAATATCTAAAGAGAGACTACTTAAAATTGAGCCTTAAATAAATAAATAAGTTTATCCAAAGAACTGCGGAATTCAAAAAATATAATGTAGCCTACTTTTAGACACCTTGATGAGAGATTTCAAGACACTTTTTTTCTAGCACCTGATTTAAAGGTTAATTGACAACTTACGACATATTATCGCCGCCGGGATCTCCGACGCAACTGGTGACCGCTCCCATTCCGCCGCCCCGTCGCGGTCGACTCTTCCGCCTGCGTCTTCTGCGGCGTTCGGAGGAGGCGGTACGTGTTTGCAGGACATGCTGGCTGAGGGACTTGTTGCATCCACCACCCACTCCACCGCCACTGCTCGCCAGGCGTCTTCCCGTGGCATTGCTGCCGCCGGTGGCTGAAATGGAGCCGCCACCACCTCCTCCTCCTCCTCCTCCTCCGCCGGTGGCCAATCCCTGGACAGCGACCACCAGCTGACCATCGCCAAAGCCACCCGCCGAACTAATCGTATCGGTGGATTGGGGCGTGGCTGCTGCAGTGGCTCCTGTGGCGGCACCACCGGAAATTGCCTCGCCACCCGGCGGCAACTGTGGTTGCTGGTGTTTGTTGGTGTTTCGCAAACTGTGGTTCACTTTTCGCCACATGCGCTCCATCTTTAAGGATCCGATGGACTCGTCTTGGTGGTTCGTTGATGATAATTGGTATGGGGCTTTGTTTTGTTGAAAATGCTTGTTGGAATATCTTTGTTAGCTTATTATAGTTTCCATTACTCTTTTCCTTTTACGCCACTTGGATAATTTTTATAGAATAGTTAATGCCAAAAGCGTTTCATCGAGAAGAATCAGCTAGATTTGTTATGGTGGTTCGTTGTTGATAATTGGTGAGTTGCTTACAATGGTTGTTGAATATCTTTGTTATCTTATTAAAGTTTCCATTCGATTTTTTTCGTACGCCAACAAGTTTAGTTTCAAATAATTGTTGTTGAATTTTTATTTTTTTAAGTTTATTAATTCTTTTCAAAACTACTTTTTTTGTTCATTTTTTGTTTAGATCCAAATGAATTGTGAATAATTGTTGTATAAGTTTGTAATTTTATGTAAAATGTTTAGCGTATATGTAGGTTTGTTTGTTATACGACATCTATAAAAACGGTCGCTAGCATTGTTTAATAAAATTTATGGAAGCCGTAGATCTAAGATACTGTCGTTGTGCGTAACCCAAAACATGTATTAAATTTCAAGCTTTTTTTTAATTTTATGTTTTTAAGTTTTAGTTGTAGTGCGAGTTTCCGTTAGTTGTTTATTAATCTGAAATTAGCCCATGGATTTAATGTTTATGTAATAACCACATGATTTTTTGGAAAGTTCTAGCGATTTTCCAATTGTTGGGAAGGTTTTAGTATTTGTATAACAGCTAGTTGTTAACCTTTTCGTTGTTGAAGTTGCTGGTTTTTGGTAGTTGTTCTTTAAATTGTTAGTAATTTATATTTTAATTGTTGTTGAATGGAAGAAGATTTTATAAATACTTTAATTTCCTATATTGGTTTGCTAAGTTTTGGATATCGTTGTCGATTGTTGTTCTTGGCAGTTGTTGTTAGTCCTTATTTTTGACATTTGTTGTTGTAGATTGTTGCACTTGTAAGTGATTGCTATAAACTTTCGCTATAGTTTGATTATGTTGGTGTGTTGTTTTTAGTTGTTGTTGATTTGGTTGTTCTTTTGGGTTGTTTTTGGTTGTTCCTTTTCCTATGGGAAATTTAAACTACCTACAAGGGATGGCCACACTCCTTTGCCTTCCTGGCTTTTTCTTCCTGTCTTCGGGGCTTTCGATTTCTCGCTGCTGTTTTTGTTGTCGTGGTTGTTAACTTATTGTTTGCAGGCGGCAGTGTTTAGTTGTTGGTGCGGTAGTGGTTGTTGTTGCTCGATTGGCTTGCATCTTGGTTTACCTTGGATTCGGGTCTTACACAAAAGGACACGTATTCGATTATACAAAAAAAGCTACTCAGCAGGAACTATTCATTGTTGTTGTTGTTATTTCGATTGTTGCTGTAGTTGTTGCAGCTGTTGTTGTTGTTGTTGTCTGCGGATAGCGGAAGTGGAAAACAAAGAGCATGAATTTGAGTGTAGGACTCCACTTCTATGTGCATGTGTATGTGCTAGCCTGTTTGAGTTCCTGATTGTGTGTAATTGTGTGGGTGAGTGGCCTGCACTTTTAGGTTAAGCACGCGCTTCACTCATTTCCTTTTTTTTATTTGTTTTATTTGTTGCCTAAGCCGCTCTATTTCAGCCTCTTTGTTGCTGTTGTTGTTTTTCACATTGCACTTGTGAATGAATGACGAATTTTTTCCACCGCCTCTTACTCTCTCTCGCTCTATTACCGACACTCTCTCTCTCTCTCTGTCTTTCTCTCTTGCTTACTCAGAGGAGCTACTTTTTTTCCCCGTTATCAACACACTTTATGGACCTTTTATAATAGCACTTTTTTCACCTTCATCATCTCATTTTTTTCACACAATTTGTGTAATTTTGCGTTAGTTATTTGCCAAACAGCGTGGAAAATACACTTATTAGGTACTGTGAATTCCACAACTACATCGCAGTTGTTGTCTCGTTGTCAGGTTGTTGCTGTATTTCTTGTTCTCCTTGTTTTTGCTGTTGTTGCTGCTGTTACCGTTAGCGCCTGGCTGGCTGCTGGCACGTTGAGTCAACATCATTTTAGTTCACCCGAAAAAAAGCCAAAAAAAACAGGGACAGTCTCTCTCTGCAAAGTGGTACAAAATGATCTGTATTTTCACTTTTTTCATTTGCAACTTTTACGTTTTTATTAAACTTTAAACTTTAAAGGACTATTTTGTATTTTATGTACTCATTTTAATAACTTAATAAGTTCATAATTTAACTAACTCTGGATATGTAAAATTGTAAAAACTTAAAATTGTCCACAAAAAAATTAATTTTAACAAACATAAAATCACTAAATATACACACTAAATATATATATTATTATTATTAGATTTATAGTAAATATAATGGAAATGATTTAAGAGATGATTTCAAATCTCTTGAGACGTCAAATATTAGTAGCACAAATGTTATTTTTAAAACATTTAAACCAATATACCACTGTGCAGGCCAGAGAGCGAGAAAGTGGGATAGCGGTAGAAAGAGAGAGAGCTGGAGAGAGTGCGCTCTTGCCGCTTTAGGATATGGATGTGGTCGTGCGTGGGCGCAAGGCAAGTTACGGTATCCAGTCCCGTGGCCGTGTATGTGGGTGTGCGCTTTTGCGGCTGTATTCGTAACCGTGTCCTGTGTATAACACAAACACATTGCGCTGCAGAGGAATCCACAGAAAGAGAGATAGAGAGAGAACGAGAGCAAGCAAGAGGAAGCTGCCTGCTTAACCGTTTTGATACTTTTTGTTGCCTACATTTTGGGGCCAGCACACACACACACACCGATACACCAAAGCGAAATTCAAATACCGGTTAAAAATTGGAAAACACACACTGCTTAATTGGCTAACGGTTAACGATAAACGATCAATCGGAATCCACAGGAATCCACATTTTTTGGTATCACACGAGAGCAGAGGCCGCTGCCCGTTTATTGGCAACGCGCACGCACAAATAACGGAGCCACTGTGGCAATAGAAGCGGCTGTGAAGGCAGCAACACAGCAGCTGAGAGCCGAGGACCCGAGGACTCCAGCCGATGAAGGGATTCACACCCGAAGCCGAAACGAAGGCTCAGCCGCTGGGATTTCAGGTCGTTAAAATGTAAACATTGGAGCCATCGCTTGCCGGGCCAAAAAGAGAGTAAGAGCCGGAGAACGGAAGCTCTCTCACTGGCCAATTGCGCAGCAAAGCGACCTCTGTTGTGTGTTTTTCGCAACCAAAGGACACGTATATCGCATGCCTTATCGATAAATCGCTTCGACGCGCCACCAATAGAGGGCGCTTTGGTGGTATATGCCAACGAAATAAAGCTCAACTATCCATAAAATAAGATAAATATAAATAAAGAGAAGCTTAATTAAAATAAGGAAAGTGCGAAATGTTTAGCTTTGAATATTGTATTTCCTTTATCAATTATTGGATTTTTTGTCGTTGCTATAAGAAAATATAAATCTAATCTTCCCATAACAAAAGGTTAGCTACAACGAATACAATCTTTAACTTGACCTTTAACGGATATATGTATGTAAATACCCTTTTTTCCCGGTTTTTCAACCGTAATTTGTTGCAAAAATGGCCAAAAATGAAAATGTCCAGATTTAAATGGCAATCGACTGGGATTTTTTTTTATGGAGCTCAACGAGAAATGACATTCCGTATTCGGACCTTCTTTTGCACCATAGTGCATACGGGTCGTATGAGTAATGTTATCGAATTTACCATAAATATAACTCATACGCAATGTTGGCTTTCCTTGTGAACAAAATCTAATATATATTTCAGGCAATTTAGAATGTTTGTGGCTCAAGCATCAACAGATTGGTTAATCTAATGAAACCAAAACCCAAAATTGTTGAGATTGCTGAGGAGCATCTAATAAGTAGGCAATACTTTTCCCTCCGTTATGTTTTCGAAAGGTAAATACAATTGTTCTGCCCAAAATACATCAGCACAAGTGTATATTTCCTGTCCCCCAAGTAAATAAAACCACAAAAAAAACACTTCCACGGATCTTTCGATTTTGTATAGTATTTTTAATTGTTTTGCCCGTCATCAAAGTATCCAATCAATTAATTAATCAATCAATTAATCGTTGCCAGCTTCCGCTTCCACTTCCGTTTCCGCTTCCGACTCGGTATTCGTATTCGTTTTCGTGGCTGCTTCATCCGCTTACGCATCGCCTCTTAGTTGTACGCACATACCACATGTGTGTCTATCGTTAGTCGTTAAGTGTATATGTAGTATAAAGTTGATACTCATGCTAAATCGAATCGACTTGGTTTGCTTCGTTCAAAAAATGTTATAGGCTATGCAATACAATTACGTGATCGTTAGTTGACTTTAACATTTAGTTGACTGACATCAAACACACAAATATAGTTTATATTCCTCTTCTTTTCGTTTCTTTTCATTTGCATTTTCCTTTTTTTTGGGTTTTGTTTTAATATGTATGTACTCGTACTTATATAAGGTTGATGCATAATGCGATATCTGATCTGTATTATATTTAGATAGCACTACTGTATTACACACACACGCACAAGGTTTACAAACGTTAGTTATTATTTAGTTTTAGTTTAGTTTTGTTGTAAAGAAAATTTCGATTAGTTTCCTTCTTAGACTTAGATTGCTAAAACGTTGGTATTGGCCTATTGTATGATTTCATTATAAATTGTTTTTCGTTTTTTTTTTTCTCTTCTCTTCTCTTTTCTTTTTTTCTTTTTATTTTTCAATTACGAACCTCATTTTTTTAGAAAGTGAGATCGTTTTCTGGTTGGCCGAAGTGCTGAGCCTGTTTAAAGTTTTCTTAGTTTTTCTTTGCTTTTCATGCATTTCCCATTTTCGTATATCGTAATTCCGATTTCCAGGATTTCATGCTCTTCTTGTTGTTGTTCTCGCTAGGCTATATCACAAAATGTGTTTTTATTCTTTATTTTTTGCTTTTCTTGCAACTGCTCTGCCGGTCGAAGGGAAATCAAAAAGTGTAGGATTAAAGGATTGAGGAATAGGAACGATCTATTTAAGAAATAATGGCAAATTCAGTTGGTTCACGTTTTCACTTACTTTCCCGCTTCTTTCGTTTTTGTGCAATCTTTGTGCCATCGATTATCGCCAATCGAAAATTTTGCTATCGATAGCATTTACCAATTGTTTTCTGATCAGAAAATCGAATTCTTTAAAAGCAAATACAGATTTAATTGTTCTACTGAATGGTAAGGAATATGTTTGGGAACTACAACCAATGAAATAATTACGTTGAATAGATTTAAATAAAATCTACGAGATTCATTTATCGAACTTTTAAACGTCCAAGTAAATAGCAAGATTTACGCCTGGCTCAATGTGCCTCTATTTGAATATATGTGTTGTATTTTCCTTTTTTTTGCATACATAAATTGTATTTGATGACTGATTCGCTTGACTTAATCCCCCTTTATTTTAATACTCGCCCTCCATTCGGATTTCCTTTCGTGCCTAGTAAAAACCCTTTGGGAGACCGTATTTATAAATTAGTTTTGAGTTGGGAACTGCAAAAAGGACAATTGGCAGTCCCAAATCGCGTCGATTTTGGACGCTTGCAAAAAGATGTATTGCTGGCAAATTTTCAAACCGATATCGAGATTTGTTGTGCTTTTTTGTCGATTGGTTGGTCCGGTGTGTGTTTCATGTTTTTGTTTCAGCCTTTCAGCAGTTCTTGCCCAGCGACATCGGCTATATATGCACCCTAAATATATATAGCTAAAAAACATTTGCCAATCTGATACCCAAGCGGAGTGTCGCCCATTTGACTATGAGCTTGTGCTCCCTCGTTCAAAAACACAAAAAATATTGCTAAAATTTTCAGTGAGCGAATGGGATTCGCTGTGGTTTAAAAGTCTGTTTAAAATTCCACTGCAACTCCGAGTTTTTTTGGAGTGTTGCCAGTGGCCAGTTTCTTTTTTTGCCGCCAATTTTGTGTTCAACATCAAATATATTTCTATATTATTAAATATATGTATATATTTATATTCCGATTATGTGGTATGCATACGTATGTACAATTCTTTAGCATAATAACTGTTTTTCTCTCTTTCTTTTCCATTCGCTTTTTTCATTAAGTTCTTTTAAATTAGTTAAAATTACAAAAAAAAAAAAAGAATAAAAGGTATTTATAAAAATAAAAATAATATTTAAAAAAAAAACGTAAGACGTAAAAATGTGAGGGAAGGAGGGTAAAATGTAGATTGTAAATTAGGCAACATGTATAGAAATAAATTAATTAATTAGTACAAACTAAATGTAACTTATGAAATAATCGCTCGCCTACATAACAGAATTAATATTTATCGTATAATATATAGGTTTTTATGTATAATCGTATTAAAAAAAAGGATTTTATATCTAATGCCAGCAAGTGTATATTCCTTTGTGATCTGCCGCTTGCTTCTGCATTCTACAATTAGGTTGATTTTAGTTTACTGCTTTTGTTATTAAGAAATATTTCAAGTTTCTCCCTCTTTTTCGGTTCGAAAATCTTTCACTTTCTCACTTGGCTACGTATGCAATTTTTGTAGAAGTTTCGTGTTGGTTGGTTGGTGTTTTTGGACAAATTCTCCAACTACAAAAATGTGTTTCAACGCTTTCGCTTACATTTTCATCTCTCATTTGCGAGCGTTTTGGTGTTAAACTCTTTTTGCTGGTAACAAATTGCATTTTTCATTTAAGTGATTTCATATTTAGTTTGTTTTTGTTGCTTACGCCTACAAAATTGTGGTTTTCTCTTGCTGTTGCTGTTGTTGTTGTTTGGTCGGTCGTCATGGACAAAAGACAGAGCATTGTTATATTCATGTCTGCTGCTGCTAAGATGCCGCCGCCGTGGCCAAAAAAAATCCGTTGCTCCAGTGACTCAACAGAGAGTAGTGTCGAGCGTTGGATGCCAGATATTATATTATATTATATTATCCGGGGAGTTTTCGCCTTTCGCCTCTCAAAAACGCTCCAAAGCCCTGCGCAGCTTCTTACAGTAAAATGGACATTAAGACTCGCGCTCCTTCTTCACCTTGACCTCCTCGCCCAGAATGGTGGTGATCTCGCCCTGCATGAAGGCCCACGGAATCACCGAGTTGGCTAGCGGACAGCGATCGCCGCTGGGACAGTACACCTCGTTGCCCAGGCCCTGTCGATAGAAAAACGAGTTAGCAATGAGTAAAGGTTTCACTGGGGTTCAACAAGTCGACTACAACATATATTTCCAGCCTGAAACTATTTTCTTAACTAAAAGTATGTTTCTTTATCTTTTAGAAAACATATTATAAACGTATTATAAGAAATAGGAGCAGAATTTAAATACCAAAAATAAAATAATATCCAAGTTAATTACCTTAAAAGAAGAGCTGGAAAAATATCGATTTTTTTCAAGCTCTACTTTAAAGGCATACAAATTTGGGAATACTAGGTATTTCAAATGGCTTACTTTTAATATAAAATGAATTATTTTTTGATTTTATAAGTAACTTTAGTATTGCAACCAAAAAATATTTTCTTTTTCAACTTTGGATATATAAAAAATTTTACCCATTTTACAAAAAATTAACTTACAAATGGGCCAACATTTTTTTAATAAAATGAAACTTCTATTGAAATAAGCCCTATACAAAATGATGTTAAGTTCAAAAAAGGAAGCCAAAACAAGAGATGTTGGAGAAATATGTTGCAGCGGAAATTGTGGTCATCCTTCGCCCAACTCACATTCTGTCGTTTGATGCTCTCGCGACTGCAGGGAAAGCAGAACTTGTGGTGGTTCACGGAGGGGCATTGCACGAAGTGCGTGTCCTCCAAACGCTCCTGGCACAGGGTGCACTTGAGCGTGGCATTCTGGGCAGCCGCCGCAGCTGCTGCCGCTGCCGAATTCGAGGCGGCACTGCTGCCAGGAGCTCCGCCTAGACCGCCGCTGCCCGCCGATCCGCCGCCGCTGGCCAGCGGTGTGCCGCCTCCGCCGCCTTGACTGCCACTGCTGCCGGGACCGGGATTCACGGCTCCGCCGCTGCCATTGCTGCCGGATGGTCCGCTGCCGCCTGCTGGACTCCCATCGCCGGCCACCGAATTGGGTGCCATCGAGGCGGGACCTAAGGCTCCATTGCCTCCGGAGCTGGCGCTGCCGCCCGGTCCGCCGCTGCTGCAGCTTAGCTGTCCACTGCCGCCGTTCGGCCCGCTCAGGGGTCCGCTGGCGGCATTGGAGCCGGGTCCTCCTCCACCACCGCCTCCAAGGCCGCCGGCCACCACCGCCTGGCCCGGATTCGAGCCGCCCACCTCGGAGCTGGTGACGGTGGTGCTGGACACGTGACGGGATCCGGATGAACGACGTCCCGACGAGGAACCTGAAAGGAATGGGTGAGCGAATTCAGTTGTTTTAATGTTTGCAATCATCATGGATTTGGGGAAAACCCGAAAAACGTATCGTAATATAATATAAATAAACTTTGATACTATGTAATGCCAATAAAACGATTAAAATTGCAAAACTTATGTAGCAAAAAATATTTGTATTTTTAATAAGTGTACATTAAAAAAAATATATATATATTAAAATAACAAAGTTATATAAACAATATAACTACTGTTTGATTTTATGACATCATAATATGCTAGTTATTGTTATTTTATTATGATGTATAAAACTAGTAATGATAAAATATTTATTATTATTTTAATATATTAAATAAAAATATTTATATTCTTATCACCAACAAGTAAAAAGAAACATTTCCAATGTTTGTAAGCTAATGTTTGTGAAACTGAATAAGAAATTAAGTATTATTCAACTTTTTTTAAGTGTAAAGAAACAAAAAAATTATTAATTTTAAAATAAAATATAAACTAACCCGAGCTGTTCGGCGAGTGTACGCTGCGCGGGGGCAGCGGTCCCGAGGGCGGGCTCGATCCATTGCGTCGACTGGCCGGGGACATGTGCTCTGCAATTTGAAGATGGTTTGGAATCGGATTAGGAATAAAATTATAATTTAATATTTAAATAAAAAGTTATTTTTTTTAATTTATTTTAAATTTGGTTTTTAGATAATAATCACAAATTACCCCAAACCAAATGGTCTCAAGTTGTAAATAAAAGTAGCATTGATCCTCACATTAGATCGTAATTTAATGGTTCCCCAACTAAAGTTCGTGATCTCGTGAGTCAAGTGCAATGTACAATGGGCCTTGGCCTCACTTTGTTAAAAGATAATACACTGGCGTACATAAGTTTGGCGACACACCCACATATAGTCATGGCTAACGAAATCGAAATCACTGCCAGCAGCCTATAATTTAAGAGCTCATCCTATTATTCATACTAAATTATGCATAATTGGCGTTGACAAACACTGAAGAGGGTGTGGCGAAACCGACCCCCAATACATTCAAAATTAGTAATGTTTATATAGTTAAAATATCGATGGAAAGCAAAAGAAAATTGATTTATATTGGCATTACATAATTTTTTTCGTTTTAATTTATCACCGAAATAATTTTTCTTGTTAATTTGTATCTTTAAAAAACAGTTAAAAATTAATTTTTTAAACATAACATTACTGGCATATTATTTTTAAAATGTTATATGTTATCTATAATTTTTAATCCCACTGTCAATATTTTGAAGTATTCGACAAAGAACAAAACCGTTTTCATTCAACTTCTGCTTTCGATTTTTTTATGCGAATAAACCAACCAAAAGTTAATCACATTCACATGTTTCTTCTTCTCCTTAGTTCATTGCAAATGAAATTTGTATTATGTTTTTGTTGTTGTTGCTGCGGCTCTTTCGTCTGTGTAATTTTAGAACTTGGCACGAAACATGTTTTTATATTTATTGTTGTGTATGTACAATGTACATACATATTTAGACATGTACTTATATTTGTTTATATGTACATGTACATTCATTTATTACTTGGCATCGCCGGCTCAGCAACAACAAAAGCGAAACCCAAAACAACAACAACAAGTTTCATTCACCGGCGAGCCATCGAGTGTGACGTCACAGCGGCACGATACGATTGCGTGTCATTCTTGTTCCACTGTGCAGCGCTCACAGCTGTTTTTTTTTCTCTTTTGTTTTTGTTGCTCGTGTGTTTCACCGTTTCTTCGTCGTCGTCGTCGTTTCTGCTTATTCGCTTTCTTGTTGGCAAAGTGCCAGAATCACGAAATGAATGGAATGAAACGAAACGAGTTCGAGTTCTGCCGCTGCTGCGCATACGTCACGAAGAGATACGCCGAGTGCGGGAGCGAGCGAGAGGCAAGATGCAGCCGGTTTCTCCATCTCGTTTTGTTATTTTTTTGCATGCCAGCATGCAATAATGTGTATGTACACCAGACACACACAAATACATTTGCCGATTTGTTTTGACTGAGCTGCTGCTTCTTCTTCTCATTCTCGTTCGTGTTTTATTTTCGCTCGCTGTTAGGGCGCTGTTATTGCGCTGTTAACTTGTTGGCTTTGTGCACATACATACATACATACACCATTATATTTTAATTCTTTCTTTTCGTATGCAGTGCACGCGCACGCGTAGCTGCTTGATATTGAAAATAAAAAAAGGCAAAAAAAAAACAAATAGCCGGACAGAAGCAGATACACAACAAGCGAATGGAAAAACGTATTTAATTTGTATGCCCAACCGACGATGGCACATTGCTCAAATGTCGACGCTTGTCAGTTTGCCGGCGGCGCACAGTGGGCTGCATACGAAATTAAGCTCGCACATCTGCGGGCAGTGTGCTGTTATGTTTATTTATTTGATAAACTGTTGCTTCTTTGCTTTTGCTTTTGCTAAATTGCTTGCGCTGACTAAATTGGCAGGAAAGGGAGGAGACGAAGAAGAAGAAAATGGCAAGTAGGAGGTGGTACAGAAGGAGGCGAAAATCGAGAAGAAGAAGAAGTCGTGCATGTTGTGTGGCCCCAACACGTACACATAAAAAGTACGTGTGCGTGTGTATTTATAGCATTTGTTTATATTTTGCATGCAAGAGCTGCAGAACAACAGCAATAAATGCCAAAGCGAAAGCCTATTCTCGCTCCCTCTCTCTTGCGCACTCGCACTCGCTCTCCTCCCCCATCCTGCGTCCCTTTCGCACCGCTGCAGTTGCACAGTTGCATGTGCGTGGCCCATTGAGAAGAATGCGGAGATAGCGAGCGCCAGAGCGAGACAGCAAGCCTGCCACATACAGTTGCAAGTACCACGCACAGTGGACAAAATGCATTTTACATTCATGAAGAAAAAAGTGGTGCACCGAAAAAAAAGTATGACATTGAATTGAATCCATATTGGATTTTATAACCTAACCAATTTCGATTAAATTTTAGAATTTAAAACCGTTCATATCATTTCGTATTTAGATTGATTACAACATCTATAAATTATGGCTATATTTCACATTAGTACGGAGAGCAATAAACTTTTTAAGTGAAATACCCATAAAGCAACGTAATTTCGTTCTAGACCGTTAAGTTTTTTCAGCAGTGTTCAGTTCGCATTCTAATTCCAAGGAACCACTGTAATCAGTTTCAGTTTGCTACATTCGATTCGAACTTCACTTGACTGCAACTTCGTTGCAATCTATTTTTGAAACGACTTTTTATTAACGCATACATATGTTTGTATGTAGGTATGTTCATATACACGTAGTGCTAGTGCTTTAGTGCATATACAAATGTACCCCACTGTTTATTTGTTTTTCATACAATCAGAGCTGAAAACAAACAAATTTGCGCGATCTCCGTTCTTAGTATCGAATATGAAACTATTTATAGATTAGTTTACGTTTTCCGCCGTTCAGCACATTTTGCCTGGCTATGGAATATTTCTCGATATTCCACGTTTTTTTTCGCACTACTTTGCTAGAATGAATCACTTGACAATTTATTACAGATATTCAGTCATGAGCCAGAGAGAACCGGGGCGAGAAATACAAACAATAAATATTTATACAATGTTGTATATGAGAAAAGAAACCATATTGTGTACGGTGTGTTTATATGTGGAATAGAAACTATTCATTCGCCTTCGAATGAATGAAAACGAATCGCACCTCCACACCACAGCACACCACACCCAATGGGCGGCCACGCCCTCTCACGCCTTTCCTATTTTCGCAACCCTAGAAACTACATATTCTTCCGGATATTGATACGAGATTCCCTGGGGAAAGGAAAGGAATTGCTGGCGAATTAATCGAAACTCGAACCTCAGGAATTTGTGCGGAATCAAAATTATCGCTGTATCCGGAGATTGTTAACATTTCTCGTTTTGATTATAACAAATTTTATTTACTTCAAAGGAAATCATTGGATTTGATAGCAAACAAAAAAAACTGTACCTCAGCTAGTTATATAGTTTATTAAATGTGTTGAGGCACTCTCGTTATATTTTCAACAAGTTCTTTATGGCTTATCAAAGCTGCGCGCTAATGACAAACTCCAAAACGATAATAAGTATTTCACCTTAATTGATAAGACTACAAATTCTTAATAACCCAATAAGTAAGCCATAATGATGCGTTGATAATAGGCCTTATCTGTAAAATGTTTCTTGAAGATATCAAACCATGTGACTTGTAGTAAAGCTGTGAAAAGTTGGTACATTACATACAAGCAATAAAGATGTTTATTGTAGATGTTACATAGAAAATAGGTTCTTGGACTATTACAAAGTTTTAGAACTAGGACAACTTTTATAAAATTAAAGAATGCCAATTGGATATTAGAAAAAAAAACTACTTTATTCCTCTTCTCCAAAAATAGGATCAAAACTTATAACGGCCAATGCTATAAGTTATTCAGCGATATAATAAAATTGAATATTCCCCAAGTGGGAAGACTTTTAAGTGGATCCAATATCTCCATCGATTGATTTCCGCAAGCACATCTTCAAAGGGCAACAGGCCAGCAATCGTTTGTTTGTGTTTATTTAATGTAGAAAACAGAAAACTTTAACAACTGGCCGAAGATCTAATGAAAAATAAACAAATGTGTTACAGGGTGCACCACACAACAACACAACAAAGCACAGCACCACTCAAATAAGTCGAGCGACGAAAAAATTAAAACGACCCGGTACAATGCGGCGCTATCAGTCAAAGTTGGCCGTGGCTGGGAGTTGATAAGATAGGCTGAGGACCCCGGTGGACAAACGACATCGCATCGAACAGTCCACTTAACAATTAGATAAGATAAACAAAACAGCTGTGTGTATACAGTATAAAGAGCGTCGGCCAAGAGCAAACGAAAGTGGAATGGAAGTGAAAAGGAATTTCGAATGGAAAAGAAGCGGTTTATTGTGTACCCTGTACTCGTACTCGTAACTCTCGTACTTTCCCCCGGAATCCATCTAGATTGTGATTTGCTTATCTCCACGTCGGCTTTCGGGCGGAAAAAAGAGCTTATCAGCACAGTCATAAAAATCGGAATGATCTCACTGACGAGATCAAGAAACTGTAGGGCTTACACACATTAAAAAAGCAAAAGTTAAAAAAATAAAGTTCTTTCAAGTTAAACTTGGGTTTCTACAATGTACATAAAGTGTCCATTAAAAGTCTTTGCAGATTGGTTTTTATGTCTATGCATTCTCAGGAACATTGCTGATGATACTGATATAATTATTCGAAAAACACTATTAACAGTTTTCTACAAATTTTAAATTTTAGTCATTTCAAAATAACTTCAAAAAACTATTGAGCTATTTTAGTCGAAAAAACCTATAAACCTAAAACACAAAACTGAGAAAACCCCAAAATCATTATCATGAAATGTAGAATAAATTTCCCCCAACTGTTGATAAGGTTGGCGTTGATAATACAATTCCGGCATCTATCCATCAATATTCGATTAGTTATCAGAAACCGGCGATTGCATATCATATCAGGCTTTCTACCGACAATACTTAGGCCGCTGCTCTTTCCTTCTATTTGTTCTGTGGGTCTCATGTTTTGGGGCTTAGCTCCTTATCGAGCAGTTGTTTGGCTTATCAATTAACCACATGGTCGGGTCCCTCAGATATGATAAGATATGGTGTTGATGGTGCAATCTACGTCGATAAGTTAATCGCTTATCTTCCCACAGACCAAGTCGCAAACCTATTGACGCTCTCGCATGGCAAATGGCAAATAAGAAGTGCAAGGAAAGGTTAAAATACCCTTACAGAATGAATCTATGAAATACCCAAATGTGGAAATGAGAAAACGATATCTGATTGCATAACTATTATTAAAATATCAAATAATTTGGTTAAAGATATGCACATGTATGCAAATAAATGCATGGGTACATAAATACATATCAACAAGGTCGGATGTGCAAGAACCCGGTTATAAATATTAAAATATTTATATTGTAGAGAAAATAGCTTGGCAAGCAATAAAAAATGTGGTTTCATTTTCGAGCATTAGCGACAAAAAAAAACATCTTTAAGTATTTACAATGGCAGTCAAATAAATTAGATACTTAAAAAACTTTAAAACAATTAAAAAACAAGAAAGGAAGCTAGCTTCGGCAAGCCGAAGCTTATATACCCTTGCAGATCATTCTATTAATTTACAAATCGCAAAAATTTTAAATTTCTTATTATTTCACATTAATTTTTCGATCGTTTCTATCACAGCTATATGATATAGTAGTTCGATCTTTTAAAAATTAAAATTGAAATTCGGAAATATTTCAAAATAGTCATATCCCAGAGTAGAAGGGAATGTAATAAAAACCAACAAAGATATAATTTTTTTCCCATTAATTTCCATTTAATTTTTCGACCGTTTCTATGGCAGCTATATGATATAGTGATCCGATTTAAAAAACAAAAAAACCGAAATTCAGAAATATATAAAAAAAAATATTCCCAAGAGTAGAAGGTAAAATTTCAAAAAACACCGGAGCTAGAATTTTTTCACGTTTTTTTTTTTTTTATCCTTCCTATGGGAGCTATAAGATATAGTTGTCCGATCCGGTTGGTTCCGACATATATACTACCTGCAATAGAAAGAAGACTTTTGGGAAAGTTTCATCCCGATAGCTCAAAAACTGAGAGACTAGTTTGCGTAGAAACGGACGGACAGACGGACAGACGGACGGACAGACGGACAGACGGACGGACAGACGGACATGGCTAGATCGACTCGTCTTGTGATGCTGGTCAAGAATATATATACTTTATGGGGTCGGAAATGTCTCCTTCACTGCGTTGCAAACTTCTGACTGAAATCATAATACCCTCTGCAAGGGTATAAAAAATAGACACTAATTTGTAGGTGCGTACCAAGAGAGAATTTTACAAAAATTTTATTTTGTAAACTATTATAAAATAAGTTTTTGTTAGATAAAATAGAATATTGATATTTTTTTGTGATCGCAGCTGTGTCTAATCACCGGCAGCGACTTCGCTGTTTCACGTGTTTTAACGGTTAACAGCGGCCATGCACTCCCAGCTAGCCATCTCCCTTGCACTTGCTGCAACTGCAGCTGCACTGAGCACGCAATGTATAATTATGAGAGCAGGAGAGAGGGAGAAGGAGCTGCACGCCGCTCTCCTCCCGCCAAAGGGAAGGCACGAACGAATTCCTGGCGAACGCATTGGAATGGTCAGTCAGTAAATGCATACACACGAACTAGATACACCAGCACACACACACTTATAGCCGGCAACACGAAGCGCTGAATGAAACGAAACGAAAAGGGGGTGTGAAGTGGGCGAAAGAAGGTGGTGGGTGTGGGAGTGTGGGGGAGGGCGAGGGGGTGGCGCGCGCACGTTGCCGTTCCATTTTATACATACATTTGTACAAGTTTTCCTCTGTACACCGAGAAAATGTTTGTTATATTTTTAATATATACACAAACGCAATAAGTATGTGCATGTGTATGTACCCGAATTTTTTTTTTTTTTTGGTAATGAAACGAATACACACAGGAAGGAAGAAGCAGAAGCGTAACGTAAATACAAAACAACAAACGAAATTAGCACAGTGGGTGTCATGTGGGAAATTCCAGAAATATATACATATGTACATACATAGGGGAGAGTGGGGGAATTTCGTCACAGGGGCAATTTCGTCACCTGCAATATCTCGGAATCCATAAGTCGTAAAAATATATAATTTTTTTGTTTTAGTCCTTCAAGACGGCCAGACACAACCAATGCATTTGTTTTGCACAGAAGGCCAAGATAATTAAGCTATAATATTAAATGTGTTTTAACAGTTCAAAAGCTACATTTAGTTCTCGACGAAATTTTTTCTGTATGCCACAATTCAAAAGGAATAAGATACACGATTTTTTATATAATACACAGTGCTATAATGTGCATTTCTGCGTCAGTGATTTTTAACTTCGCGCCTAATTTCGCAAGAAAAATAATTATTTCTAAAAAAGTACGGTCTGGGGAAATTTCGCCACCCTACGCTAAGGGTAAATTCGCACCTATTTTAAATACATATTTTTATATTTGACAAGCTAGCTAACGAACAGACTACCAGCAGCAGCAACAAATATAGGACGTCAACAAAAATGGTACGCTTGATCAGTGTAGCATATTTTCAGGCGTTAAACTCCCTACATTTTTCAGGTGACGAAATTTCCCCAGTTGTGTGGTGATTTTACCCCCCTGTGTGGTGAGATTGCCCCAGTATATTGGTTTTTTTGCTCTTTATAAAGCATACATATGTATTTTAGATAAGAACAACAAAAATATGAAATAATGCTTATCGTTGTTTTTCGCAATATGGTCCAGTCCAAACACAAAAACGTGTTAAAAATACAAAGGAAGTTCGTTTTATCGGAATACATAGGAGCTAACAATTTAATTTACATAGGCCATTATTTTCGAAGCCATAAATGATACTTTTGTCCCACTGTTTGATGACGGCATCGGTATGGGCGAAAAGTTTTTTTTTTGTTTTTCATCTTGTTTTTGGAGTGCTTTTTCGTTGTTGTTGTCACTGCAGCTCGTTCCGTAATTCGTATACCAACTAAAATTTATCTACACCCTGGTTCGATTGTTTGCAAGAGTGTGTGTGTGTGCAACTTGTTATCGCATAGCGTTAAGGAGAAACAGCAGAAGAAGCAGCAGCGAAAACCAAAACAAGTTTAATGACGTTTTGCGCGCGCAGCCGAGAAAAAACACACACACCAACACCAACATATACATATGGACGTTTATGGAACCAGTTTTGGGAAGAAGAGGAGAGCAACGGCGAAAGAGCGTGGGAGAAGGGTAGGGGTAGAGCGAGAACATTACAACGTCAGCGTCAACGACGGTTTTTGCACGTCTGTTTTTATTACATTCTGCGTCCTTTTTTCGTGTGCTTTTTGCGCTTTTTTTTGTTTTCCCCATTACGACTGTTACGTACGTGCATGTAACCGAACGTGGATGTGACTGTTGGCTACACGTAGCTATGTATATATGTACGTGTTGTACATATATGTATTTTCCCCATATATGTTTGTATATTGGCATGTGCGCATGCCTTTTAATGGCAAGGGTTGGCAGCCCCTTTTTTTCACAGAGGGTTGCAAAATGCGTTTCTACGCTTTTCGTATGTGTGTTTGTAATACATACATAAACATAGGGAAGAGATAAGGCCGCGCTGATAAGCAAATGCGTTATCTAATCTTCGACACAACGCTTCTTATCACAAATACACTCGTAGATTCCCGCTTCTTCTTACTCGCCTTCCAGCCAGGAGAGATAAGGAGCAGGCAATCACGCCGTTTCACTCTGGCCTGAATATCTATATCTGTATGTGTGCCAGTTTGGTTGCCCTGCCTTATCTGTATCGCTGCCTCCCTTACACCCACTCCCTCCCATCGATCCAGGCTGGAGCGAGACAGACGCGCGCTCTCTCTCTCCCGCGATCGCCGCTGAAAAACGGTAAACAAATACAGTGGGCGCCAGTTAATTGAAACCTGGCATTTAAACAATTTATCAGCTCAGCTTCTAAGCACACATTTCCCTGTATATCGCAGTTATTATCATTCTAAAGTGGAATTCTAGCAATAAACTTTAAACAAACAAATTATTTCCCCTTACGCATTGTTTATACAATGTCTTTACGCTTAATTGTTTGAAATTTCTTCTTGGCATTGCCGATCTAAATAAACTCAAATATCACATACCGAATACCTGAGGGTATCTTATTGGCTTCCAACGGTTTTATTATTCCTAGTATTTACTCTTTTTCCTTTTTCAAGAGATCACTGTACTTTGATAACAACCTAATTTTCTTCAAAGTTAAAGGTTCACCCAGACTGATCACTGATCCATTCACTATTATTGATATGAAATAATCCCCTTTCTCTCCCCTGCCACTTTATTTTCAATTTCATATCGCGTATTTCCCATTGGCGATTCGATTACTTGAAGTGATAAGAAATCATTGATATGGGATTATCCCAGCCTGCTTAAGTAATTATAAGTAATCTCTACCGTAGTATGATAGCTATTTGACCTCTTGAAAGTGCATTCTGGGATATTGTAACTATGTCTTTACTTTTCTGGTTTCTTTACCTCTACGAGAGTCATTTCTATGGAATGCCTACTGTAAGTGATGATTATTCATCTCAAGCTGATAAGGATTTGGACTTTTTGGTAGTTTCCAAGCAAAAACGAATTAGAATACTAAAGTCCAATGCGATGTATCATATATGACACTATGGAACGTCAATAATACATGGTTTAATGTTAAATTGAAGTGTTTGAAAACTTTTTCTTGATCTCTTGAAGACTTCTCTTTTCTGATGATTAGTTTCTTAGGCTGTAATCCCCAGCTCACCTGCTTTGAAGGTCGAGGCATCAAAACTGGGCGCTCTCACGGGCTGTTGTTTATCCCTCAGACCGCTCAGCTGCCGCTCGGGCACATAGCTGACCGCTGCGGGCAGGGATTCGCCTCGCGTCAACGGCGGTCGGCCGCCTCCGCCCGTTGGATCGTCCATGGCGCTGCGCTTGATGCCGGGCGGCCCACCGCCGCCGCCGCCCACAACGGCCGAGGCGCCAGCGCCATCTGGCGGCAGGCCATGGGCCGACTGCTGTTGCTGCTGCTGCTGCTGGCTGACATCCACGTCGACGTCCTCGCTGGGCGGTCGCTTAAGGTTGACGGACAGGGCGGGCGGTAGATTGCTGCCCGGACCACCGCTGCCCGCCGTGGGCACGCCGCTTCCAGGTCCGCCGCCTCCGCCTCCGCCGCCGCGCGTTGCATTCGGCGGCAGGTGATGGGGCGTCATGTGGGAGATGCGAACGGGTCGCACGCCGCCGCCGGGTGCGTCCTCCAGCTTGACGGGATAGTCGAGGGGCGGACCGATGCGCGGCACGGGCATTTGGTAGGGCATCGGATGGTGGTGATGAACGGCAGCGGCGGCGGCGGCAGCGACGGCCACCGCGTTGCCCAGCGAGCCGAGCGGTCCGCCAGTGACCGATGGTCCTGGACCGCCGCCTCCGGGGGGATTACCCCCGCCGCCCCCGCCACTGCGATGGGAACCGGGTCCTGGTCCCGGAACGGGGCCCACTTGTAACTGTTGTTGCTGCTGCTGCTGCTGCTGGAGGACGGCCGCTGCGGCGGCGGCAGCGGAGACTTCGCCGTTCTCGTGCGAACGCTGCTGTTTGCTGGCGGGATGGAGACGCTTCATTTGGCGGGCGGCGTCCAGCACCGCCTCGATGCGATCGGCGCCCTCGTAATTGACGCAGCCGCGGCACACTGCCTCCGAGAAGTCGTTGATCATCGCCCAGGGCATGCGGGGCAGGTCGCACAAGTAGCAGTGCTGCCTTTTCGTTTGCAGCGACATCGTGTGGCTGTGACTGTGCGGGGTACGGGAACCTGGAAGGCTGGAAACTGGAACCTGGAACCTGCAACTTGCTGGAATCGGATTTGGAATCTCGGCTATGCTGGAAATATCTCCTTCTCCTCACTCGCTGGAATTGGAATGGGAATGGATGGTGGGGCCAACGCCAACGCCAACGCCAACTGTTTGTTCTTATTCTTTTCGCCTTTTCTCTCGATTTTCTGTGCCTGTGCCGTGTGTGTTTCCTTTTTTATTAGCTTTTGTTATTCATGTTTTCATATTGATTTTCGCACACGCACACACACACGCACGCATTTTTCACAGCGCGCCGTTCACCCGAAAAAAATTCACTAATGTTTTCTATTGCGCTGCGCTGCTCAACACACCAATACACACACCACACACACACACTTCGCGCGAGAGTCCGCGCGCAAGCGAGAGAGAGGGAGAGAGAGAGATGGAGAGCGGGACACGTAAACGTACGACGACGCCAAAAACGTGGAGGAACAAAACGAACGAGGAGAACGCAGCGACGCAGCGAATAACGGAAAAATCAACCGGACGCCACAAAACTCGCTGATAGAGTGACCTTGGCGGCGATGTGCAAATATACTTGGCAGCCGGCTGAAATGCACTAAAAAATCCGTCCTGGTAAGCTGGAAATACCAAATAAATACCGAACGCTGCAGGCATATCACGGACTCGAACCGGTTGTAACGTTTGCTATGCCCTCAGCCTGGACTCGACCCCTTGAAAACCATTGCAATTTCAAAGTTAAAACTTTTTTTTAATTTCTGATTTAATGTACATCCCTGTAATACATGTGTTTTGACTTGAATTGCGATAATTATAAAACAAACGTTTTCATATTGGACCTCTTTATATATATAGTTGCATATATATTTTATAAATATTACATATTTGGGGATACATTCCCCCCTTCCTCCCGTTTTGCTACGTCCCTGCTTGCGTACGTGCCTGCACGTCATAATCAAGGAAAAAATCTAGTGACGATGTCCGCCCACCAAAAAGTGTGGGTGGCAAAGTTCGTCAGTAAGTATACCATGTAAGGTTCGTGTCCTGCCTGGATACACATCCTATATATGCATCTGTATATATTTTTGTAGATACATACCCCGATTGTACATAGGATACAGAAATGTAGACCTTGAATCTGGAACAGCTGACTTAGCAGAGCTCTGTAACTGTTAATGAAATTAAAAGCTGGCGCTCTGCAAAGTCGCCCGTTTCCTAGAAAAAAAAAGAAAATGGAAAGGATTTTGGAAAGGAGTGCGCAGGACCGAGAACTGCAAGGATGTATACACACATACAGATCTTTCGGTGTGTTCGTATTGTCCTGGGCTGTTGGCCTGCATCGATTTCCCGACCATGGTCTGGGACAAATGCCATTTCTGTGCGTATATCCTGCAAAAAGGAGCAATGCGGAAAAGGAGCAACCAGATACAGATACACACGAGCTCGTAACGGGGTCTTTCCCCTTCGCCACCCACTTTTCTCCCACCGCCCACAGTCCTGGCCATCTGTTCAGTCCCCTTGCAGGCACAACTGTACGTGGCTTTTCAATTTTCCTTCAAAAACGGTTCTAAAAAATGATTTTCAATATTTCCTTTTTGAGAAATATTTTAATTAAGATAGGTTCGGCATAAAATTCGACCCACAAAAAATAAACGTCTTCAGTTTTTTTTATTTTTTTTTTTTTCCAATTTGCACTTTTTATTAACAAAAAAAATATTTAAGATTAAAATCAAGGGAGAGTCGTCATACCATCCGCTACGTTTATACACGGGCTTTGCTTGAAAATACAAATCGTTCTTAGACCCAAGGCAACAAAAAAAATCACTAGTTAGTAAACTTATTTACAATTGGGTAGAAACGGTAGAACGGTACTGAGTTGTGTTAGGTACTCGAAAATACTTGAAATATTTCATAAACTTGGAATAGCGGGCGTATAAACGTAGTTATAATCCGGAGTGGAGTCAAAATACAACACGTTACATATAAAAAATATCGCACATATTTGTTGTATATAGGTAATTAAATGCTAGATCGTTTGGGCCCAGCCACTGTTATACTGGCATACGTATAACAGTGGCCAGGCTCAAGTGTCTTGTAGAAGCTGTTAATTGCAAAGCGTTTCGATCCTATATATAGGTTAATGCATATAATGGCTATATAAAGTACACAGTTTAACAGTATAACAGTATTAGGCTTGAGCGTGTGCGCGTTTTGTATAACAGTTAGCGTGGGTGTGTGTTTGTGTTTGTGTGTTACTTACAACTAAAATTGCCTTTGAGCAAAAACGTTCTTATATAATTATACAAGTTAGACTTTTCCTCCACAATACAAAAATCAAAAAAAAAAAGTTCTTTCCTAGCATTGTTAATTATTGTTCATGGAATGGGGCGGTGGATGGGTGGAAAATTGATAAATAATAAATTAGATTTAAGCACTAACATGGAATACGTTTATCTATATAGTTTTGGAATATATATGCATATATATATGGTGTATATCAAAAAATATTCAAACCACAATTTTTCTAGTTAGTTAAAGTTCTTTTCGTTCCTTTGTCTTTTTTGTGGGTGGGCTCCTTCTTTTCATCTCGTCTCCTCGCAAGGATTCTTTAGATTCTTCCGTTCGTCGCTCAGCTTCATGGCACAAGTTTCTTTCATCTCTCTCTCATATCTCTTTTATAATATAACCTTTAAGTCAGACAATAGTGGGTTAAACGATTAATTGCTTAGCATTTTAGTTGAGTTCGTTAGGTTAGTCGGAACAGCTGTTACCCTGTAATCTTAATTACTATAATTATTCGCTTGGTTTTTATACAATCTATGTAAATATTGCAACTTCTTGGTTTTCTCTCTTAACAGGCACTTAACCTTCGTTTAGTTCAAACTTAAAATCGAATGTTAAAATCAAAAAAAAAAAAAGAAAACTATAAAATAAACACTTTTCCTGGAATGTTGTCATGTGTGCGTATAACATTTGCGTTTTCAACAGCGCAACAGTTCACTGGTTGATTCGAGTTATTTACATTTCAAAAGGCATTACATATTTATACAAAATGTCTCGTTATACATAGGAATTATGGAATTGTTACAGAAATTTAGTGGATTATGCTTAAATTGTGGAATATACTAGGAATCTAGGTATTTCTGCATCTGTACAGTACAAAAGCGAACGATATTACAAATTAAAACAGTTAGGACGTTAAAAAAAAAGAGCTTCCTGAGTGGAACAATAAACTTTGCACAACACTTGACAATCGAGCATATATGCGAGTGGCTAGCAGCGCGTATTGAAATGCGTGCGCACTGGTGGCGGTGGAGCCGCTCGCCTCCTCCTTTCACCGCCCGCCGGATTCGCCGATCCGGATGCCCCGGTTCGATGACCCTGCAGGTGACCATTCAAAGATCCCGCCGCTGGCGAGGCCGCACATCCTGCTCCTGCTCCTCCACCGACGGCTGAGGCAGCCGCTGTCGCCGCGGCCTCTTCGCGCATTTTCTGCTTCTGATCGCTGAGACGGGCTCCCAGGCGATGCACCTTCTCCGGACTGAGGATGTTCAGGCGCGTCGTCCTCGCGGACTGTTGCTGCTGTTGCTGTTGCTGGTGCGAAGCGGCAGCTAAAAGAGGGGACTTTGGTTAAAACAGTTCAGTACTATGTCCCTTACTAATATCTTACACAGTCTATATAATAGGGATGTCGAAATATTTGAAAATATCGTATCGATGATATTTTTTTTTATTATTATTTTGTATTAATTTTAAGCTGCATTAGGCGGGGGCACCCGATTATAGCGTTCTATCTTGTTTTTACTGCGTCTTGGATTCTGAATGCTATGCTATGCATTTTCACTTGACGAAAAATAAATTTTATCGGCGCTCATCTTTTACATATGTATTTTTTCTTGTCCCGATGAAAAGTGAAACCACTTAAAGTTATCAAAAAAATGATACCTGATAATTATTCAAATCGATATATTGATATATTTTTGACATCCCTACTATATAATAAAGGTGTTGATTAATTACTTAATTTTTAAAACTACAATAAATGAATAAAATCTAAATACTAAAAGTGATTCTTGTTCCAACACTATTTTATGGTGTGGAAGTTTTTGGACACTGCAAAAGCTGTTAGTAGCCTTTAACTATATCGTCAGATATGTTTTTAATTTGAATCATCTTGACCATGTATCACACTTGACTAATAAACTTCTGGACCTGAACTTGCCCTCATGGATTAACTACAGGACTCTAATATACATATTTCCATAAAATTGTGATAACCCAAGGACCTTCATATTTATATAACAAACTTATATCAGCTACATCAACTAGAACTAATAACTTCATATGCCCAAGATATAATAGGCTATGCTCGAATAGGCAGTTTTACGTGAATGCTATCCGTCTGTGGAACAGTCTATCACATAACTATAAAACGATTAGGAGCGCAACTCAGTTTAAATCTAAAATTAAAGAACATTTCAAGTAAAATAAAAACAAAAACAAATCGTAAAATTAAACTAGAGGTAAAATAATAATAATTATCATAAAATATTAATCAATCCCTACGTAATAATTCAATAATTCAAAATTGTTAATAATAGGTAGTAGTTTTAAGTCTTTTTTGTTCAAATAAGCTTGCTTTTTAAATTCAATGTGACTAGTGCTACAAATATAAATTTAAACTTGCTGTGCTAGAATAATAATAATAATAATAAATAATAAGCTGTGTTTGTAGTGGAAAAGCTTTAAAAACCAAACCTTAAAGACCATTTCATATTATATATTGTCTATAATAAATTCCATATTATATGAAGTAATAGAATAAAATGTTTATATAAAACGTTTTTCTCAGTAGAAAAAGAGCATTAAAAACCAAACATTATAAAGCTTTAAAAACCAAACATTAAAGACAATTTCATATTATATTATCTATCTTAAACTCCATATTATATGAAGTAATAGAATAAATAGGTTAATGTTTATATAAAACGTTTTTCTCAGAGGAAAAAAAGCATTAAAAAACAAACATTATAAAGCAAATTAATACAATAACTCTTAAAATGCTTATATATACAACTTTAAAGGCAATCCAATTGGTCATTAAATGAATGGTTTTCAATAATAGTAAAAGGTTTAACCTAAGCTTAACTCCAAGTTAACTTTTGCTCAGATAAGTTTACCATTTGTCAGTCGCTGGGCCGTGGCGGCGGTATGCCTCTGGGCCAAATGCTTGCTGGGCGAGCCCGGCCGGGTGCTCCTGGTGGGCGAGACGCCGTTGCTGGCGGGGATTCCCTGAGCTGTGCGGCCGGGCGGTGGCCTCACCACCTTTCCCTTGCCATTGCTCGTCGCCGGGCGATGATTGTGGCTCGATCGCTGTGCAGCTTGCGGATGCGGCGAGGGCAGTGGCAGCGTCAGCTTGTGCTTTTTCGGCAGCCAATCTGGAGCGGTTGGTGGACAACTGGTGGTCGTGGTGGTGGTGCTGGTGCTCACATTTCCATTGACGCTACTTGTGATGCTGGGCGGCAGGAAGAGTGGAGGCTGGACCTTCGTCGTCGTCGCAGCCTTGCTCCTTTTGGGCGCCGGTGTGGCCAACTGTTTGCTGGCTCCTCCGCTGGAGGTCAGGTTCTCCAGGGATTCGCCGTGCTGCAGCCTTTGGCCCACACTCGATGCGATGGGCGGATTCTTGCGCCCGAAAATGGGCGTCTGATTGATGCGCTGAGTGCGCGGCGGTGGCGGCGGGCAATTGGCGCCACCATTCAGTGCCGCCGCCTCGTGCTCCAGGCGCTGGAACATCTTGAGGGCCACCGGTGGGGTCTTGAAGAAGTTGCGCATCGAGTGCTGCGATTGGTTGAAGTTCCGCCGGCTGGCCTCCTCCAGATGCTCGAATTTGCTGCGGCACTGATGCAGCCGGTTGCGCATATCGTCGATGGCCAGCCGATGGTTGGCGCCCTCCTGGTCCAGTACTTCCTCCTCCTTGGCCGACTTGACCTCCTCCGCGTCTTGCGGCGCCTGCGGTGCTGGCAAGTTATTCACCTCATGGTAATTCAAACTCGTATCGCAACTGGAGTCCACATCGGAATATGTGTTCAGATCCCGGACATCCTGCAGCTGCAGCTCGGCACCGGGCCGCAAATCCACCAGGTAGCCCCTCTCGCCAAACGGCCGACACTTCTTGAGGGCCTTCTTCAGGGCCCGCTCCTTGGACTCCGTTTCGGGCGTAAGGTTGCGCCGCTCCTCCTGGGCGCCCAAGAAACGCTGGCGCCGCCTGGCCCGCATGCTGTCGCGCAATCTCTCGCCGCTGGGCGAGAAATCCTTGCCCAGGTGCGGTGACTTGGGTATGTCCTGCGGCTTGATCACCAGATTCTCCTTTTCCTTTTCGACGGGCGAGATTTCCGATTCCCCCTCCGCCGCAATCTTGACCAGCTCATCGAGGTTATTCAGGCTGCGCTGGGAGGTGGGCGACAGGGCGTCCTCGGAGCTGGCGTACCACTCCTGGAACGTCTCGATCTCGTGCAGCAGCCGCTCGGGCGGCACACGCTCGGCGGCCAGGTCGTCGGCCAGCCGGAGGAGCCACACGTGCAGCGTCTCGAAGCACGGACGCATGTCCGGATTGAGGTCGCAGCACACGAAGGCCACTTTGACGAAGGGCTCGGGGCACTGGGCGCAGAACTTCTCGCGGAACTCCTGCTGGTTGAGGCTGAAGTCCGAGTTGCGGGGCATGAAATCGGGATCGGCTTCCACGCGTCCAATGATCTGTAAGGGAATTAACAAGTTAAATTAAAAGGTTGCTAAATTTAAATATTACAAATTTTATGGACATAAAGCTGCGGTTTAAATAATTATACTTTTTTTTTTAAACTTTTTTCAAAAGGAAAATACCCGTTCCTCAACTGAATGGGTGTGAGAGAGATGGAGATATGCAAGCAGCAAAGTCGCCTAAAGGTGGCGCCACTTAGCGGAAAATGCATTATTTGCTCATAACTTTTTAATGAATTCTCCGACTTGAAAATTTTCCTTTACATTTCGATGGGGCTTAATAAAGACTATAAAATGGCATTCACACTTTAACAAAATCGTCTAAAGAATTTACAAATTATGAGAACAAAATAAACATTATTAATTTTAAGATAAATATAAAAATAAGAAAATATACCACATAAAATGCTCTTTAAATAAATTAAATTAATTACATTAATGTATTATTTGCCAAGTTAATATAGAGTATGTTTTTTAAGCATTTTATGCTGCATCGTTTACAACAAGCTTTATGCTTCTTCTAATGTAGATAGTGCCTCACCTCGCACAACATGATGCCGAAGGAGAAGACGTCGACCTTCTCATCGTACTTCAGGCCCTTCATCATCTCGGGCGCCATCCAGTAGGGATTCCCGACCACCGTGTAGCGCTGCCTTCGCTGCCTGCTCTTGCTGCGCCTGAGCGTTCCGCTGGGCGACATGGCCGCATCGCTGTTGGCTCCAGATCCATAGCCGCCCGGCGTCATGGAGCCGCCACCTGCGCGGTCCGCGGAGGCGCCAACGCCGCCCGGCAGACGCGGTGCATCCACACTGCGTGCCAGGCCAAAGTCCGCCACTATAACCGAACGATCCTCGCGCACCAGGCAGTTCATCGAGTTCAGATCACGATGGATGATGTTCATCGAGTGCAGGTAGCTCATGCCGCAGGCAATGTCCCTGGCCAGGCAGACGCGCTGCGGCCAGGAGAGGCTCTGGCTGGGATCGTGGATGAGCTCCTTGAGGCAGCCGCCGGCCACGTACTCCGTGACCATATGCAGCTTCTTCTCCTTGTACAGCACGCCAATGAACTTGAGCACGTGGCGATGGTCGAGCAGGCGGAGAACGGCCACCTCCTTGATGAAGTTCCGCTGGGCCTCCTCGTCGGCGCGATGCAGCTCCTTGAGGACCATCACCTCGCCGCTCTGGCGATGCGTCACCTTGAAGACTTTGCCGAAGAAGCCCTCGCCCAGCTTCTCGCCTATAACCAGATCCGATGCGCGGAAGATCCGCTGCGGCTTCTGCACCACTCGACACGACTGCGTCCTGGACAGATCGTAGAGCTGCGGATGGGCCGAATGCTGTTGCGCCTGGTGCTGTTCGTCCAGCAGCTTGGACAGACTGGAGCAGCGCTCCTTCTCCTTCAGCTGCGTCATGGCGATGGCAGCCCCGGCTGCCGGTGGTATCGTGGCCGAGGCATTTGTGGCCTGCCGCAGCTTCCGCGCCTTCGATCCCTGCTCGCCGGGTTCGCCCGGCGTCTTGTAGAGCCGCTCCCGGCCCACCTCCACGCTGGAGGCCGATGTGCTGAGCGGCAGGATGAGCGTGGACGCGGACATGGCCCTCTGGATGTCCGCTTGGCTGCAGGAGCGACACACCTGCACCGGATCGTGCTCGACGGTCAGCTGGAGCATCTTTTCGTTGCTGCGTATCAGCTTGTCGATTTGCTCCACGGATGAATCGCTGACGGGCGTGCCGTTCACCTCCAGGATGCGGTCGCCAATGTGCAAGTTCGTCAGATTTACATCGATCCTGTGGGAAAAAAATATTATAAAATATTAAATCATAGTTTCTCTTGGTGGTTCATGGGGTTAGTGGGCTGGATCTTTGGCCCTTGGCAAGTGTTTACCTATAGGGCGCCCCACAGCACTGTTCCGCCACCGAGGTGAGCCAAAGGAAGAAGTTACAGAACAGGCTGTTCCAATTTTTCGATTTTTTTTAGGCAAGCATGTGTGTTAAGAGAACGCAGGACGAAATTAGTCGGACGGAGGAGATTATGGGATGAAGCTAACTAGCTAATACAAAAACGTTTGCAACCAAAAAGTAAGCCATCAATAAATCAATAACATTTTCACAATCACAGACATATGGAGAGTTATGTGTAATTTGCATTATTTAACTTTAACTTATAATAGGTCTAAAGTTGCAATAAAAGCGGAGAATGCCATTTTAAATGCAAATACCCTGGGAACAATATTTCCATTTGCAAACAGCGAGGAGTATCTAGGTATTACTTACTTTTGAAAATTGCAAAACATTATTAAAAAATATACAACATTTTGATTTGTCCTTATGGGATTACTATTGAAAAAAAAACACATTGACAAAAGACGCAAATGAGAGTGGATGATTATATAATTCGGATTTACTTTTAAAAACAATGGATTTCTGTACTCTTTTAAACGATTTCGGAAATGTACCAAATATTAATGTACCATATATTAATGTACCAAATATTTATGTACCAAATATAATTGAATTCAAGCAGTGCAAGCAGTCGCACTTCCTTCACAAGAGTAACCGGTATCTTATAATAATAATCGCCTATAGCGTTATCTTTTGGTTTAAAATGTATTAATAAGACTTGAAACAACATTTAAGGACACGTTTTAAGTTTTCTAATTTATTTTTTAGTAAATATTTAAAGAAATGTGGTAAAAAATAGAGGTATAGCATGCAAACTGAATGAAATTAATGATTTTGTGAGAATGATGGTGTGTAATTAAGTCATGGTTTCTAAGCAATTCTTACTCTGTAATTCGGACTGTGGGACAGCCGTCGTCCAGGGCGACTCCGTCGACCCGCAGGCCCGGGGTGGCGTCCTTGGGGATCTCGACCAGACGGATGGAGTGCATCGGCTTGCCGGCCGTCGTGATCCGCGCCTTGGCATCGGCCGGCTGGCAGGAGCGTTTGCCGTAGCACTGGCCACAGTAGAGCTTCGACCGCTCGACCAGCGCATAGGACTCGCCCTCGCCGATGAAGGAGCCGCAGGCGGTGCAGCAGAAGCACTCCGGATGGAATTTGTGCTCGCCGGCGACCATTACGGGTCCGGTGATAACGGCCGTGCACTGCTGGCAGGCATCGCCGAACCGGCCGTAGTAGTCCTCGCGGCAGTACAGTAGTCCCTCGCGCTCGAAGTACCAGTTGTGCAGGTGGCCCTCGCAGACGGAGCAGCGGAAGCAGTCGCAGTGCCATTGCTGACCCAGGGCCATCACGATGGGCTCCTCCGGATGGGGCAGCAGTTGGCCCCGGCAATGGGCGCACAGCGGCGGATGTCCTCCCATTCCTCCCGATCCTCCAGAGCCGCCTCCTCCTCCACCTCGTCCACCATTTGCCCGCAGGCGCTGCTGATGATGCATGGAATGTTTTTGTGCCTTGGCCGCGATTACGTTAGCACTAGGGAAAAAGCAGAAGGAAAGGTGGTGTGAATAGATATCAGCGAATGACGGGGACCGAACAGGTATTAAATAGTGTAAATATAGACCAACAGTCACGGAAAATGATCAATAGTCGTAAATGGGGGGCAGCAAAACTAAGTAAAAACAAGGTTTATATTTTTCTGTATATGTTTGTTCTACATCTAATGCCAAATGGACAATGCAGGCCTGCAAATAGGTTATCGCTCTTAAATATCAATCAATCATTATTGTTGGAAAATATAGATTAACATATCGGGAAAGCAAGTTGGTGCCTCAAAGCGTTTCTTTGATTTAAATTTGAATTGTTAATTTCATTGTTGAGGACAATTTTGAATTGTAATTGCTCAATCAATATTTTTTTGATTTCTTTAAAGAGGGTTTTTTTAGGAAAAGATATGATTATAACTTTTTTAAGACTATATAAATGGAATATCCATCGTCTAAAACTTTAATATTGTTAGCTAATAAAAATCAGTTTATTTTTCTCATTGGTTTCTACTTATTTTGTTGTTACAATTCCCAACCGTTTCTAGCATTGCGTAGATAAAAGCAAACTGACAAAGTAAATAATAATTTATTTATAAAAATTATTTAGTTTTAAAAATTTGTTAGGACTTACAAAAATGTATTTTTCAGATTGTTTAATATCCATAAGTTATAATGAATGACTACGAATTCCCCAAAGCTATAGCCACTGTAAATATTTTCGTGAATATTCACAATTAAATGAATGACAAAACCATAACAAAACAAAATAAGTGAGTTGGTAGTCATTAGTTTAGGGTTCAGCTGAGGAAATGGATCACATGCGATAAAGACCGCGATCCTGAGTCAGCTCTCCGTTGGAATGCGAAGACGAAGACCAGTGGCGTTTGCTTGACCGCCTGATTTTGTCGATGATCACAATATTGCATACATACTGTACAGTGTACACAGTATGTAGAGTGGGCATGTGTGTATATCTCAACATTGACCGTGAAAACGGAGTTGATGGAGCAACTGCAATCGCAATTGCACTTCAGCTGAGCTAACTGTAGTTGTTGTACTTGCCATCCCGCTCCCACCCTCGCAAGCTTAGGCAATGAATGACGAATGCGCCATCAAAACACACGCTTGCACTCACACCTGCATGCGGGCACAGTGGGCATATTTTCGTGTTACTATAAATTTAAGCTTAAACCGCATTAGAGGTTAATGTCCTTCTTATCACTTTCGGTAAACTTTTAATATATATTATTGAATTGCCAAACCAAATTTATTTCACTTATCGTTTAATACACACAATAGTTAAGCTTGATAGTGAATAACTGTTATGTATACTAGTTCCGTTAGACCAACTGTAGCTATCATGATTTGCAGGCCAATTTATGTTAATTAAGGCAATTAATTCACTGAACAATTTGTATATTTTTAAACCGTAAATATGACCAATTTGCCCACTGTGCAAAGTCAGAAGCACACACGCACACAAACAAGCTCGTTGGCGCACACGAACACGCGTACAGGTGCCACACACACACACGTTCACTGTTAGAAAATGTGTGTGGGGGAACGGGAACAACAACGACATTAGCAGATCCAGCAACAACAACTGGTTTTACCAACATGCGCGTCTATTGTTTCCAGTTTGTTGTTGTTTTAATTGAATTTTTTGTTGTCTTTTTCGTACACCAAACTAAACCAAAAGCACACACACACACTTACATAATTGTTCGCTTGTATTGCTATTGACTTGTCGCACATTTTTCTCATTTAATTCCAATTCCCGCCATGCAATTATTAACAACGACGGCCGAAATCGATCTAATTTAAATCACAACTCGCTAACTCAAACAATAAAAAAGAAATGCATAATAAACAAAACAAAACAAAACAACCACCTGATATCGATTAACTTCACAAAATCAACCACATGATATCGATTGCAACACAAAATAAAATACTAGAGGTGGAGAAACATCGATGCCGACATCGATGTCTTCGATGCTTTCAAAACATCGATAGCTACGGTCTCGATAAAATGGCGGGAGGGTGTCTTGGCTAACCTAACGGCGTCACTTTTTTTTGGTCCATTTGCTAATTTGAAAATTTGTATAAAAATTCAAAAATAACAATTTTGTTTATTTTCAATTCTTAAAACAAAAACAAAAACATTTTTTTATAGAAAAATTAATAAGCATGTTCATTTTTATAAATATTGAAACTGCAAACAAAAGTAAAGTAAACATGCCGTTTATCTGACCACTGAGAGAAAATATAGTAAAGTGCAGAAACAATCAAAATACAGCTTCAATCAAATGTTCCTGGTGCACAAAAATATTAACATATGTACATTGTACATCCGTTGTACAAAATTGTTATACAATAATATTTATCAATAGATATTTCAACAAGAATCGGTTCTCTGAAAACCTCTACCTACTTTTTTCTAACTTGGGGATTAGCTTTATTTTGCAATATTGTCTTCATATCTGTAATTATTTCTGTATAAAATGTTTCTTATAATTACCTCTGTGTAGAAGAGCGACCCTCTTTCCCACTGTACGAATTTATACGAAATGGTTTGTGCTTTCTGAATTGGTTCACAGCTTAAAATTAACTCGCTTAAGTCTTCAAAACAAGTTCTTATAAAGGGTTTGCCATCCGAAGTATATATAAAAATGCATTTAAAATAAAGAAGCATTCAGTTTGTCTTGGTGTTTAAGCTGGCACAGTTCATTATCCTTTTTCTGTTAGTTATTAGATCCTGGGCCAACTCAAATCCAGATAAAGAGGAAAAAACTTCTTATCAAAATGTTGAAAACCCATGCAGGGTACATCTTAATCCTCACTAGATTTTTAAAGCTGAACGACAGCAATCAACTTAAAGATCTAGTAAATGCTATGGAAGAAAATATTAAAGATTTGCAGAATCAAATCAACTGGAAAGACCAGTTAATTGCGGTACAAACTAAGGAAATCAAGAAACAAAGTGAACTTCTTAAGACTCGACATTAAACATTAAAGAATTGCACAGTGATTTCGAAATTGCTAAAGTTAAAATCAAAGACATAGATAAGGTGATTGAGACCAAAGACAATGAAATCGATAGCCTGAGAAATCAGATAAAATCGCATTCGTAAAACTTAACAGAAATAGCCGATGCACTTTTGAAATGCAATCGACAAGACACTTGTCCCATCAACTCTACACACAAAAAAAAAACTTGGTAAAATCAACTGTAATAATCAGGGAACGTAACTGTTATAAGTTTTATTTTAAAAATCACACTTTAACAGTTATTTTCTGATTTGTAAAGTAAAACTCAAAGAATAACTGTTATTTTCTGAGTTTTATAATAAAAGTTGACAAATAACAGTTATTCGTCGTGATCAAAAATAAAACTCAAACTTGATTTATGGCGATTTTGTGGGTAAACAAAATTTTGAAAAAATATAGGTATAAAGTATGCGCGGTTGCCTTTTTTAACAAATTTTTAGTAAGTTATAAAAAGCACGGGTATCATGTTTTTTTTAATTATTTCATATTTTCAAAAATGTCAAGGGAATAACTGTTATTCATAAAAATCAAAAAATAACAGTTATTTTTTGAGTTTTATTATAAAAATCAAAAAATAAAAATCATTACGGATTTGTAAACTACAATGGCTAATAAAAATTGTGGTGTATTTAAAAAATTTTTAGGACCCTTCTAAGTGCGTGATTTTTTTGTATGAAAAATTTACAATAACAGTTATTTTCGTTCCCTGGTAATAATTGTCAAACAAGCCCCAACCAGCAAAATTGTCAATTCTACTAAGTAAATAGTTATTTCACAACAACAAAATACACACAATTAGCAAAGACACAAACCCAAAGCAAAAACAAAATACACGTAACTATTTTAATAGTTACGTAACTATCTTTGTTGGTCAATTTTACCAAGCAATTTTTTTTGTGTGTATATTAAACTTGGCAAGGTTAATGGATCCACAGGCTACGCTCATTATGATGACTTTAAGATTGCAAGTGAAGAAGAATTGTATGAGCTTAAATCACTGGGGATTTATAATGGTACAGCCGGCGATTCTCTCACATATCATAAGAACCAAAAGTTTACCACACGTGACAGGGATAATGATGAACATAAATGGAATTGCGCTAGCCATGAATATGGTGGTTGGTGGTACAAGTCATGTGCTGAGAGGTAAACATATTCCAATTATAACCATTCGACCCTATTAATTTAAGCACTGAAATTACAGCGTGCTAAATGGAAAGTTCTATAAAGGGGGTCACACTACAGATGGAAAAACAAATGGAATTATTTGGGGCTCCTGGCATAACGAAGATTGGACCTACTCGCTTACCTTTGTTGAAATGATGATAAGGCCTAAATCGTTTGACCAACATTCACTATATTATAATATATAGATTGCATAGTAGAGATAAAAGAAAATGTATTATTACTCTCAAGAAAATTAAGATAGGATCATTTGATTTCAGATGCTCAAAAAAATTACACAAATATACTTATGTTTTACAGCTGCCGAATTTGTGGATTTTATTAGATTAACTTTATCCGGAAATCGTACAAAGACGATTGGAATTTGTGTTGATCTACGGTTTAATTCGGACTAAATTCGGTTAAAAAGAGATTTCCGAGTCACCACATCACATTTAAATCCCCAGTCTTTATCGATGAAACCCGGTGAATATTTTGAAAATGTCAATGAAATACTTTATTTTTATAACAAAAACAATACTGTCTTCAGCGTTTATTTTATTGTATACTTATCGTTAGCGTCTCTCACCAGTTATCTTTTGTTTTTGGTCAGTTGGAAATAAAAAGAGTGAAAACAAAACGTTCTAATAAATTAAGTGTACAGGGAATCATCAATTTGCCTACGATCGCTTCTATCCTTGGGCGGTGTTCGTCCTGCCGCCGGAACTGCTGCTCAGTGTCGCCGTTGCAATTGGCTGCTGCTGCTGCTCCTTGGCGGCCACCACGTCCTCCACGGCCTGAACCTGCTCCTGGATGTCCCGTCGCTCCTGCTGACGCACCAGCTCGAAGTACAGGCCCCGCTTGGCCATCAGTTCGTCGTGTTTGCCGGTCTGAAAGATACAACACAAAGACATTAAATTGTTTGCAAGAAAGTTGCATACTTAAAACTAATAACTCTGATTTTTTACTTTACTTTAAATGTATGATATGTCTGCATATTCAACGAAGGGCAACTCACCTCCACGACACGTCCCTGGTCAAGAACGACGATGAGGTCAGCGTTTCGTATCGTGGACAACCGGTGAGCAATCACCAGGGTGGTGCGGTTCTTAACCGCCGTGTCCAGTGCCTTCTGCACCTCCGCCTCGCTGGTGGCGTCCAGGGCGCTCGTCGCCTCGTCCAGGATGAGGATGCGCGGGTTCTTCAGCAGCGCCCGGGCGATGGCGATGCGCTGCCGCTGACCACCGCTCAACTGGGTGCCCCTTTCGCCCACATGCGTCGCATAGCCATCGGGCAGGGCGGTCACAAAGTCGTGCGATTGCGAGAGGCGCGCAGCCGCAAACACATCCTCCTCGCCCGCATCCGGCCTCCCGTAGCGGATGTTCTCCAATATCGAGGTGCCAAAAAGCACCGGCTGCTGTTCGATGAAACCGAGGACATTGGAGCGCAGCCAATAGGGCGAGATGTCCGACAGCTTGTAGCCGTCCAGCTTGATATTGCCCGCCGAGGGTTCGTAGAAGCGTTCGACCAGCGAGGCTATGGTCGACTTGCCGGATCCACTGGCTCCCACCAGGGCCACCGTCTGGCCCGGGCGGAGCGTCAGGCTGAAGTCCTTGAGCACCACCTGCGGGAAACGAACGTTTATAATATTTTAAATAAATAAATATAAATATAAATATAGGTATGGGTAAGAATTTCTCAACTGCGCATGTGATATATTAGATTTTCTTCAAATGATGCAAAGGAACAAAAATGTTTCATCGGGTAAATTAAGTTGGTTATGAGATGGACAACCTTGGATAGTTAAGTTTATTTTATAGGATGAAGAAATACTTTCAAAACAGCGATAAAAATTTCAAATAATTAAAATTCATACTTTTTGGACAACAAAAAAAGTAAGAAAATTATTTTCTAACTCCCCCAGTACACATTTAAAATCGTTCTCGAGATATACTAATTTGAAGTTTGAGAAAATTTTTTAAGTTCTTAACTTCAAAAATTCATAGCGTCCCTAAATGGACACCAAAAAATTTCAAAAAAATCACAGATGATAACCAATGAAGAAATCTAATATTTCATATGAGCAGTTGAGAACTTCTTACCCATTTGTTAGTTTTTATATCAGTTTTTACACAGAAAAGGAAAGGAAATAATTTGGATTATTAGTCTAGTGGTAATCTTTTTATCACTTAGTCATATATATTAGACATAAATGTTTGTGGCGGTTATGAATTGGTTATCTGCTTGCGGAAGCGATAAGAAGTTGGTAAGTATTACATAAAAAAGGGCCTGATTTTCAAGGACTTGAGTACTCACATGATCCGGCCGCATGGGATATGCGAAGGAGACGTTCTCGAACCGAATCTCGCCGTGCAGCCGCTCCTGCGGGATGATGTAGCCGCGCAGCAGCTCCACCTGCGGCTGCAGCGAGAGGAACTCGAACACCCGGCTGCCAGCGGTCATGCCCCTGATCATGGTGCCCAGCAGGATGGAGCCCTGGGCCAGGGATCGCTGGACGCCCTGTGAGGCCACCAGGAAGGCCATCAGGGCGCCCGGCGACAGGCTCTCCGTGGACATGAGGTGGCCGCCCATGAAGAGCGTGGACAGGACCAGTGTGTTGAGGAAGAAGTTGGTCAGGCCCTGGAAGATGGCGATGCCGTAGCCGAGTTCCTGCGCCAGGCGGGCCGCCTCATTGGTCTCCGCCTCGAACAGCTGCATCTCGCGGTACTCACAGGCACTGGAGCGCACCGTTCGGATGTTCGAGAGGGCCTCCTCGCAAACGCCCGTCGCCCGTTCCGCCTGCGCCTGCGAACTCTTGCTCAGCGAGCGCAGTTTCCTGCCCAAATACGTCATGAACATCACCACGCAGGGGACACTGGCCAGCGCAATGGCTGCCATGTGCGGGGAAATCATGAAGAGCGATATGCTGCCGCCGATTAGCTGGGCAGCACTGCGCAGTCCCTGGGCCACGAACTGCTTGAACGAGGTCTTGAAGTCCTGCACATCGGCGGTCAGCCGGTTGACCAGCTCACCCGTTCGATTCTCATCGAAGAAGGCAATGTCCTGGACGACGATCTGCGTGAACAGATCCTGCCGCATCTTGGCCGCCATCTGCTCGCCGACGCGACTCAACAGGTAGATGTACATGAAGGTGAATCCCGACTGCAGCATGTACAGGCTCAGCAGATTGCCGGCCGGCTTGCTCACGTCCTTCACGAACGAGTTGTTGATCGGGTCCGTCACATATGTGTTGGCATATCGCGCCAGTGTGTTGACCAGGTCGCCGAGCAGGTTTGGGATGCGGATGTTGATGTAAGCGACTATCAGGGCTGCCTGTAAGAAAAGGTGCGAGTTACATGAGTAAGTCATTGATGTATTTATGGATTCCTATGGAGTTTACTCTGGTTTCTTTATAAAAAACACTAATATTTGGACTGCCCTGGTCTTTTGTAATGAATATTCAAGAAGTTCATACTGAAGATATGTAGGTAAAACACTAGAAACTTTGCAAATGGAAAGAAAATATATTAGATCTCAGTTTCTTTATAAAAAACACTAATATTTGGACTGCCCTGTTTTTTTAATGAATATCCAAGAAGTTCATACTGAAGATATGTAGGTAAAACACTAGAAACTTTGGAAATGGAAAGAAAATATATTAGATCTCAGCTTTTGGATCTTAATTCCTCTATTTCTCATATTTTGGATCATATACCACTATGCACATATCATTTTGTATCATATTATACCATATAAAGGCTTTCTATCTTGATATAGGGCACTGAAATATGAACTTTGGCCTAGGATTTAGTATCTCTGTGGATTCCCAACTTCTTGATACCCTGGCGAATAATATTCTTAGAATTTTAAAGGGTCTTTGGACTAGATTCTCCTATTGATCCTTGCCCTCCTGCCGCACACTAGCCTACTCACGCATATGGCCCCGATGAGCTCCCAGAGATGTGGCTCCAGGTAGGCCCACAGTCGCCGCCAGTCGAAGTGCTGCTCCTCGGCCGTTCCCTCCTCCTCCTCCGGCTCCTTGCGAACGGCCAGCCGGCTTCCCTCGCAGTGGACAATCGCCCCGCGGTGCCCCGCCCACCAGGAGCGGGCGCCCAGGCCGATGGCCAGACTTCCGCCGCCCCAAAGAAGGAGGCGTGTCGTGTGTAGCAGGCGGCTGGCGCTTGTGGGCGGGGACGGGGGCGTGGGCAGATGCGGATGCGGATGCGGGGCTCCCTTGGCGTTCGTCCCGCGCAAATGTTGTCGCATCAGGCGGGCGGCGTTCTGGAGGCGTGGCAGTGGCTGCTGCGAGGGCTGCAGTAGGTGGCGACTATGGCAAAGAAAAGGGCGGTTAATGATAAGTTGGCGATTGGCTATTTGCGATTGATGACATAACCGGAGTGAGGGCCAAGGGGGGAGTGTTGTTATGCTCCTCACCAGCTGCTGGCTACCCGGGAATCGGCCCTGCCAGCCGGCGACTCCGCGTGGTGCATCCTACCTGTACAAGTCGCTGCTCCTGCCGCAGTTGGACACGAGTAGGCGCAGCATCTCTTCTCGTCTCGCGTGGCTTGCAAATATCAACAAAATACGCAAGCGCTAAGGCATCAGCTGGCGATAGGCACACACACACACACACACGCACACGTGTGTCCAGCGATAGGCAGGCGTACAAATATCGATATTTGCTAGTAAGGGGATTCCCGATTTGATGGCAAAAAAATCTTTTGAAACGCCTTGAGTTCCGTTAACTTATAATAAAAACTACGCATTTTAAAACTCTTATTTATAAATTGACAAAACAAATTCATTTTTAAAAACAGAATATAAAAATCTAGGTAGATGGAAGTATATTTACATTTTTTATAAAATTAACTTAAGGTTTATTGTAAATTAAATCAATTTAAAACGTTTTTAAGCCCAATATTACAGTTTTTTTCACAACAAATTTAAAAAATAGGGCCTGGTATACAAGCTACAAAAAATGTCAAGCTGAAATTTCAGCAAATAGTTAATGTTCCTGGAGTATTACGGTTTTAGTTTCGCTTTTTTTCCTGCATTTTATTATAATATTTAATATAATTCATAAATTATTATTAATTTTTGAAACTTCGTTTCAGATTAGTTCGATTTTTGAAATATAAAAAATATATTTAAAATAATAGCGATATTCCACATATTCACGATATAAATATTTATTTTTATTCCAAAAATATCGATATATTGATATTTTGGTATATTTTTCACATCCCTACACGAAAGTCGAGTTGGCATTTGGGAGATTTGCTGTGTTCGGATCGAAAAAATTCCAAAGTTAATTGTTTAAAAGCCAAGACGACTGCTTTAGCAATCAGCCAACAAGTAAATGTATTGTTTAGTCAACTGCCAGAGGACAGTACCAAGTGCGTGTAAATAAACGAGCGATTTGTGTAAGTCAGTGGGCAGCGTAAGCTAATTAGAAGAAAAGGAAAGGGACAGAGTGAGTGTGTGTGTGAGCCTGGGTGCGTGTGTGTGTGCTGGCTCTCTCGTAATAATTGTGTGTGTTTTATTTTTATAAGAAACATAAATTGACAAAGACAACTGCCAAGTGTTTTTCTTTTATTATGGCCAGTAAAAATAATTGTGTGGTCAACTTTTGCACGGGAACACCGGATTGCAACCCTGCGTTTGGTTCTTTTTTGCCGAGAGGAAGAGCTCTCTCCCTCTCTCTCTCTCTCTCTCTCCACCACTGCTCCAATTTTTTCCCCCAGAGAGTGTTTTCACTTTTGACTTGCAAAGCAGAAAAGAAGAAAAACAGGAGGAAAATACGCAAGTTCAAAATATATTCTAGGGCCAGTTTACGAAAAATTAAGTGTTAAAATTATCAGTGGCTTGGAAAAAGGTAAAAAAACAGTGCAGTGCAGCGAAAAAAACCTGCTGCGTCAAGAGAACAAAAACAACAACAGTAAGAGAGCGAAACGGTGGTAACAAAACGAACGTACATACAAACACATACGTACATATATGGCAAACGTCCACGTAAACTTTTAACTTTTGATTTTACGCTCATTGTGGCTTGATAATAATATATATATATTCCATATTGTTAAAAATTCGTTTGCGTGCCTTCCACCGCTATTTACGATCCTTAACAGGAATTGAGGAAAAATCAGTTCAAACGGGTAATTTTCCATCAAAACTGGTTTGGTTCATTGAACTGCCCCACAAAATCCAGCACCCACCACCTGCGAACTCCTCGGGGAAAATCCTTATAACACCTAAAAACCTTTAAAGTATCTAAGGGTAGCCCAATGGTACTGATATATAAAGCTCTTTTAAGGACAACACAAGTTTTGAGATATATAAAAGACCCTTGGTAATATTACAAATATAGGAAAACCTTAAACTTAATAATCTCAAAAAACACTTATAGAACTTTAATTTTAAAAAAAAGTTTCCGCTTTTTTAAAAAGGCATTTTACTTGGGATTTTAAAAATGTATCTTATTTCTAGATCGAAACATATTAGAAAAATTAAAAAAACAGAAGAGAATTTTAAGAAGAATTTTGTCTTTAAGATTTTTTTTCATTTAAGAAAAAACCCAAGAGAATTGAAATAGACATGTACACTTATGAAATTAAGATTGTTGGCTTAGTAATCTCGTTTTACAAGAAATATATGTACATTTAAACATGAAAAGATATTTATAAAGCGAGGTAATCATTAAGGACATAATGAAGAAACTTTTTTGGTGATATTTCAGGAAAGGAGTAGGAATTGTTAGAATTAGTAGGCTTTTATGTTCCACTCAAATGATCCATTGCCTTTTTAATTAATTTTAATATGTGTTTTGTTTCCCTTCTTAAAGATCCAACATGTTGCACAACAATGCGCCCTGGCTGCCACCGCATCAGCAGCAGCAGCAGCAGCAGCAACAGGCCCCGCAGCAACATGCAACGCCCCAACAGCAGCAGCAGCAGCAGCAACCTCATCCTGCACAGCAGCAGCATCAGCAGCATCAGCAGCTCTACGCCAGCCAAATGTTCCAGCAACAGCAGCCAAATTACTGGCCGGAGGATCAGCAGCAGCAGCAGCAGTCGCTGAACTACAATAACTACTTTGCAGGACAGCAGCAGCAACTGCCACTGCAGCAGCAACAGCAGCAACTGCCACTGCAGCAACAGCAGCCACAACAGCCTACGCAGCAGCAACATAATATCCAGCAGCAACTGTATTATCCCACTCACCAGCAGCCACAAGTCCCGGCTCCAGCGGAACCCGCTCTGGACTCGTTTGACAACAATAATAGCGGCGGAGGAGGAGGAGGAGGTGGCTGGGGTGATTGGGGCGATTGGAACGACAATAGCAACAACAATAATAGCCTTAGCAACGAGGCCTTGCTGGAGCCATCGGGGCAACTGCTCGAGGACTCCTTCAATGTCCAGTCCTCGCCAGGCAGTTGGCAAGCCTTTGCCACCGGCAATAGTGTCAATAACAATGTGGAGCTGCCGCCTCCAACGGATCAGCAGGCAGCATCATTGCCTCAGCAGCCGGAGGTTGGTCAGGAACCCGAACTGGATGCCATTGTGCCGCCCCAGGCTTTCCAAAACCAGCCACCAACATCACTTTCTGCGTTTGCTGCACCACCATTTGCTGTGGTAGCTCCTCCAGCGCCTCTTGCCGGCGGGGTAGCTCCTCCAGCGCCTCTTGCCGGCGTGGTAGCACCACCAACGGACGCCGCTGGCATTGCACCACCGGCTGCACTGCCGCCCAGCTTGACTCCAGCGGCTGGCAATCCCTTCAAGCGCTCCGCGGGCCTCAATAAGCGAGTGAACATAATGGCCAGTCCGGCGGGCGGAGCTCCTTCACCACCAGCACCGGCTGTAGCGCCATTAGCTCCTCCAGTTGCCCCGCCTCCCGGGGAGGCCCATGGCGATGGCTTCAACTTGCTGGCGGCACCACCTGTTGAGGCTTCACCAGGTGCCCCAATTCCTGCAGCAACCGCATCGCTGTACGCTCAGCCAGCGGTGGACAACCAGGAGGTGTTGTCCGCCCCTAATGACGAGCGGGCGCAGTACCTGCAGACGAGTCACCTGTCCGAGCAGCTGGGCGAGGGCGAGGCGGATCAGGATGCGGGTCTGCTGCCGCCACCGGGCTTGTCCCGTCTGGTTCTGGGCCAGCCGGAGCTGGACTCGCAGCAGCAGCGCCTGGTCACCGGCGCCACGGAGCAGCCGGCGCTCGATGTCGCCCAGGCGGCTGCCCTGCACATGCAGGAGCGTCAGGCGGACGGCGAGGACACCTCGGACGACGGCGGGCAGCAAGTGCGCAATATACAGACGCCACCGCGTCGCGTCGTCACGGGCGTGGAGACGAACGCACCATCGTTGAGGGAGCAGGTGCTGGATGGTGAGAATCTGGAGGATCGCGAAGCCATTCCGCCACCAGCGCTGGCCGAACTTCCCCCGACATTGTCGGTACATCACAATATTCAGCCCGATGAGCCGGAGCTGCAGCTGCATCACATCAACCAACCGCCGCAGGCAGTCACCCCGCAACCACAGCAACCACAGCAACCGCAGCTACCTCTTCTACAGCAGCAGCAGCCGCAACAGCAGGAGAAGAAGCGGGCGGCGGCGGGGGGACGTCGCGCGAATGCCTCGCTGGATCTGGAGTCCGAGGACGAGTCGGATGAGTTCCTGCAGAGCGAAAGGGAGCGCGATCGGGAGCGCGAGCGCCGGGATCTGATGGACGAGCGGCAGGGCCGCGGACGCAGCCATGGTCACTACACCTACGATGGCGAAACGGAGGACTCGGTACGCGGTGCTGCCCACCACGAGACCAAATCGCTGAGGGAAACGCAGCACAGGCGGAGCAACAATCACGACTCGACGCGATCGCGTCGCCATCCAGCGGAACCGAAGGCCGAGCGGGAAAGGGAAAGGGAGCGGGAACGGGATAGGGAGCGTGAGCGGCACTGGCGGCGACGCTCGAATAAGTATCACAGTGGCGGCGAGGATCAGGAGCGTTCGTACGATCATTCGCGTCGCTACAACAACAGCAACTACGACGGCGAATCGGATAATCCCGAGATCAATCATCTCGGCGAGGGAGAACTCGATGGCGGAGGCACTGAGGGAAGAGGAGGTGGTGGCCGGAGCAGTAAAACCGGCCGCAGCCAGCGACGCAGCGCCGCCGAGGAGCCGTCGTTCGACTACTACGAACCGGAACGCGATCGTGATCACGATCGTCAATACTCCAGACGCTCCAACAAACAGCCATCGTCGGCCGACAAATCGCGATCGTCGGGCGGACGACGGAGCTACGAGAATCAGGGACGCAGTGGCCGCCCAGAGGAGGGTCGCCGACGTCACCAGGATCTGCGGAACTGGGACGGTGGCTACGAGGAGTACCGCCGGAAGAGCTCGCGCAACAGTGATCTCGAGAAGGAGCGCATCAACGGAGGCAACACCAGCGGCGGCGGCGGCGGTGGCAGCGGAGGAGGTGGTTCCGGTTCCGGCAAGCGTCGCAATCAGTATGATCAGTATGGCGGTGCCTACGATTCGTACTCCATGTACGAGCAGATGTCGCGCAATCCGCATGCCTATGCCGATATGTACGCCAAGTTCTACGGCCAGATGATCAACTCGATGACGGCGGCCGCTGTCTCGGCGGCTGCCTCGAAGTCCGGAGTTCCTGGCGGCGCAGCAGCAGCAGCAGCAGCGATTCCTGGCTTGGTGCCCGGCGCTGTTCCGGTGAGTGCCGCCCAGTTGGTGGCCGCCGCCGCCGCCGCAAGCGGAGGCAGTGTCAGCGGGAGCAGTGAAGCCGCCCTGCTGAGGGAGCGAGAAAGGTTAGTTATCCAACTGCCCAGCCTAGTTTTTTTTTCGTTTATGTTCAAGTTTTCTCGTTAAAGTCCTCTAGAGAATTTCGTATAGACTTGCAGAGACTTTTGAGAGGTTTTTTTAATGGGTTTTGCAATGGCTTTCGGTTGTCAAAAGCAGTTAGCTTGAATACTGAACCATTTTGAAATAATATTTTATGTTATCACACCAAGTTGCCAAAATAAAAATTTGCTTTTAAGATTTAAATTAAGATTCATTGTTATAACGGCGAACTTTACTTGCAAAACCCATATATTAAAAGTTTAGTGTTTAAAATAAATTCAAAATTTTTTTTTATTCTTTTCAAAACCTTTTTCCTCCCACAAATTCCAAAGTGACGTAACTTGACTCATGACTTCAGCGTGTTAAATCCCTTTTTAATGATCCATAAATTTCAGGCACTTAAAAAAAAAAGATTAAATAAATTACGTAGATAGCCTGTTGTTATTCAAGCGTTAAAATAGTTAAAAGTAAGCTCCAAAATCTCTGCAAGTTTCCGCAAGGATCCATAGATTCGGCTGATCCGAAATCGTGTTCCTTTGCCACCGTTCCTATAGTTTTGTTTAACCCCCGGTTAACTTCTACCTTAACCTCTAGCCTGAACCTTTTACCCTGGCTCTAAGTGTGTTGATCTTGAAGTAGCTTTCGGTTTTCTCTTACTCTTTTACCTTAGTTTGCTGTTTGCTAACTAAAAAACTAATGATTAATTTAGTTTGTCTAACCTAATAATGGGACCATACCCCAACCCTGTCCCTCCTGTTTAAACCCTGACCCCGCCCCTTAAATGTTGAGGTTGGACTTGGGCTACTTAATCTAATCAACTAAACTAAAATGCTTTTTTTGTAGTTAGTGATTAGAAACGAGGTCTGTCTCGCTCGCTCGCCCGCCCGCCCTCTTGCAGCTTTCTCTTTCCCTTGCGTTGTCACCGTTACCCAGTACATGTTACATACTCCAATTGGATTCCACCATCCCAACCATATATCATGTTCCACTTCCAATTTGTTCCCCCCCGTCTGTCGTTCGTTGTGTACGTGTTTTACTAATTAGAAAAACAAAAACACACAACAAAACCCAATAAGAAACTAATGGAAATTTGTAAATAACCGCAAAACTGTTTTCGTCTCTAACCAACAACAACAACAAAATGCACAACCAAAAAAACGAACAACAACAACAACAACATCAATTGTGCTATCTGCCCAACTTCCCACCTTTACATATATATACAATACAGGTATACACACGCATACATAACCCAAGCCAATGAATTCCATCGCCAACAATACAAAGAGCTGATCTACCAGCAACAACAACAACAACAACAACAGCAACATCACAGGGAGGATCCGCTAAACTCGAGTTTTAACATTACGGAGGATAATGCCAGTTTTTACGGATCACGAGGAGGATCCATCTATAACCAATACCATCCATATCCTTCGCTCTCCAGTGCCCGCTCGTTGAGCAATTTAAACGGCGATGGACGCAATTCCCGATGCGGACCGTATTACGCTGGTTCCGAGTGCGGTCTCGATATCAGGTGGTCAAAAAATACCAAAAAAAACAAGAAAAGAGTGCCAAGCCAACCAAAAAGACTTTAACTTTGGCAAGCCAAAGTTTAAATATACCCTTGCAGTTAAAACCAATAATTAACCAATCAAAAAAAAACGTACAAAATGTCCTTATATTATATAAAAGTTCAGTTGAAAATATTAAATATACAATTACAGTTCGATTATAAGCAAAAGTGTTAAATATCTTTGTCCAAAAAAAACTAAATTAATTAATTGGAACCAAAATCTTCTTTTTATGACTATTATAACCAAAATTACCAGTAAATTACTAAATTAAAATAATTCTGCAAGGGTATACAACAAATATCAAGTAATACTGAAAAATCAATCTGATAAATTCTGCTGTCCATCAAAAACTAAATCCCACTTTCTAGCTTTCTGTCGTGCTTTCTCTCTTTCTCTCCCGCGAAGCTTTGCGCTGCCTAGGCAAAATTATAAACAAAAACACCTGTCCCTCTCACCCACTTTCGCCTTCTCTGTCGCACTCACACTTCTGCTGCTTTGGAAAATCGTTTTTCGCTTTGTCCCTGAGATCATCTCTCGATTTCTGTCTCTGTCTCATTTTTGGATGGTTGGGTTCAGGAAACTTAATTCTATATTTATTTGATATAAAAAATATTTATCAATTTATTATTATTCGGTATATATTTATATTAAAAGTTTTATTGGTTCTTGTATGAACAAAAATCCAGTTATCTGAATTGATCACTGATCAAGTCATCACAAAAATCCAAAGAAACCTTAGCTTTTAAATTAATGAATAGTTAGTAAATTTCATATAATCTCCTAAATTCTGCAAAAAAGTTTTAAGAACCTTTTTAAAGGTCAGGTGCGGTAGAAAAAAATGCAATAGGATTTTTTAGGCTGAACGAAGTATTATAATATTTATAATAATATTTATGCTTGGGTTTTGAGAGGGCCTGTCGAAATCTTTCCTTTAAGTGGCATGCAGCGGGAACTGTTGAAATCTACTCGACTGATGGATTATTTTTTCCCCACTCCACTCTATATACTTCCCTAACCCGATCTCTGATCTCTCGAAACTCCCAATCCCCCTTTCGATTTTGCATGATATTTTTTATTGCTTCCCCACGGACTATCCAAGCGATTGTACTAAAGCCTGTGTTCTTGTTATCCACCGCAGAGCTGCTGCCGAAGCGGCACCATCGACCTACGGTGGATTGGCCACCGCTGGAACGGTGACCACCACCGCGGTGGCTCGTCCGCCGCGCCGACGCACGCCCCTGCAGTTCAACCGGCCCCATTTGGTGGCCTCGTACGCGATGAGTCTGCTGCTGAAGGTGAAGCCCAAGTACGCCGGCCGCGGGCGTTTGCGCAACGATGTGGAGGTGGCGCCGCCGCGCATCCGCGACGGAACGAGCAGCCTGCTGCGCATGTATCCGGGTCCCCTGCAGGGCCGCAAGCTGCACAAGGACAAGATCATCAGCTTCTGCAAGGAACAGATCCGACTGGGACCCACCAAGGGCTGCACCGTGCTCTATGCCACCCAGAAGAGTCCGCAGGGCAGCGTGGTCAAGTACCGTGCCTCGCATGCGCTCATGTGGCACCTGCTCATACTGCTGCTGCGCCAAAATGGGGTAAGGAAAAGGAGATGCCTCAGATGCCCACGCCATCTAATCTCTACATTTTAATTTAATTTATTTTTTTTGGTTTTATCCCAGTGCTACAGGGCACCAGTCACTTTGGGTACAATATGTTTACATTAGTCATTTTGTCTTACTCACTAACATTATAAAATCTTAAAAGCAAACAAACATAAGAAAACATTTTTATTACAATTCAAAAATTTATGGTGTAATTATTTGAAAAACAAAAAATTAGAACGTACAAGAAGTTGTGTATTTTTTTAGTAATTATAAATTTTAAAATTAAAGTTAAAGTTAGATAAAAAAAATAGTTATAGATAAAATTAAAATTAAAGTTAGAATTAGAGCCCTGCGTGAATCATTCAATTTAGCCATGAAATTTCTGATTTGTTTAATTCAATTCTATGTGAAATAAATTGAATGTTTTTCTAATTCATTTCGAATTGAATAAATAATTTTTATGAATTTTTTGAATTTTCCAGATTTTTTTTGATTTCTTTTGAGAACAAAAAGTGGACAATTTTTTACAAATCAAAATAAAATTCAGGCAGATTTAATCACAAAATTATGGCCCTTTCTTCTTCAAAAGAAATTGTCGTTTGAATTATTTCGGAATTCATGCCATTCATTCATTCATTTAATTCTATTAAACTCAAAAATCTAATTAATTCATTCATATTAAACAAAAAATTCAAAATAATTCATTGAATCCATTCATGCAGGGCTGTAGTTAGAATGTGCCTTGAAGGTGAGAAAATAATTTAGTTTTGAATTTTTATATAATTTTTAATGCTTTTTAGATTATTTGGAAGATCATTCCAGTAGCGAACAGTTTGGATAAATAAGTGTTTTTCTGCCGATCCTAGTTTTAAACGTTTAAACATTTACTCTTTCAGTACATTGCCGACACTGATGTGGGCGATCTGTTGCTGGAGAACCAGCAGGAGTATCCCTACGAGCCCAGCGAGTACGAGGCGGAGAACGAGCCGGATGTTGAGGCTGAACAGGAGGCCGCAGCTCCCGGGGAGAAGTCAGTGGAATCGGATTTAGACAGCGAATCGGCAGCGGGAGCAGCTGCAGCCACGCCAGAGGAAACACCAGCCGGTGGCGCAACCAATGGAGGCGATGCGGGAGCTCCACAATCGCCTCTGTCGGAACAGGCGGCCACGGACAAGTTCCGCAGCTATGTGCTGCGCGGCAACGTCGAGGAGGCCCTCCAGTGGGCCACCGACAATGGCCTGTGGACGCACGCCTTTTTCCTGGCCCTCTACGAGGATCGCTACGCCCTGACGGATGTCGCCCAGAAGTTCCTCAATCGCGCGATCAAGGCCAACGATCCGCTGCAGACGCTCTACCAGATGAAGAGCTGCCAGACGCCGGCGTGCGTCAGCCAGCTGAGGGACGAGCAGTGGGGCGACTGGCGGTCGCATCTCTCCATTCTGGTGACGAACAAGAGCCGCCAGCCGAAGTACGATCGCAGCTCGGTGGTGGCGCTCGGCGACACGCTCTTCCAGCGGGGCGACATCTATGCGGCGCACTTTTGCTATCTGGTGGCCCAGGAGGAGTTCGGCCGCTACGATAGCTCGGCCACAGAGCTAACCACATTGACCGCCAATGTGCCCAGGTGGGTTGTGTTACCTCTACCCTTGCTTACCCTTGCTTACCCTCCTTATCATCTTGCTTCCACAGACTCATCCTGCTGGGCTCCTCGCACTACAAGCACTTCAATGAGTTCGCCAGCAACGAGGCCATCATCATGACGGAGATCTACGAGTATGCTCGCTCGCTGTTCGATCCCAAGTTCAGCATTGCCCACTTCCAGCACTACAAGTTCCTGCTGGCCACCAGGATCCTCGACTATGGCCAGCACTTCCGCTGCACCAATTACTTGGAGCAAATCGCCAGGCACATCGAGCTGAAGCCGGAGAGTTACGACATTGATTTTATACAGAGGGTTAGGCTTTTTTTATATATATAATATTTTTTTAATATAATATAAATTGTAATCCCTCTTGGCAGGTCTGCGGTTTGGCCGAACGCCTGCGCTACCATGATCCCATCCTGATCAATCGCGTCTCTTTTGCGAGTCCCCCAAATGCCGCCAGCAAGGATAGCGCTGCGCCCGAGGAGAAGGCCTGGCTGCGTCAGCTGCGCTCCCTGGCCGATGTGGTGGGTCAAACGTGGCAGCAGCCGCCCTGCAAAAGCATCTAATTGCGATTAAACTTCTTTGCAGCAGCCCCAGCAGGAGCAATTGCAATTGCATCATCAAGTGCAGCAGCAGCAGCAGGAGCAGAACGACATCGATCAGCAGTTTGCCGAGGTGAACAAGCAGTTCAGAGAGCTGAACATGCAGTACGATGGTGGCAATCTGGAGAGCACGCTGCAAACGCAATTGCCTCCAGTGGAGCAGCAGCAGCAGCCAGCTCAGTCAGAGGTGCCTCCGCCGCAACAACAATACTATGAACCGCCACCAGCAGCAGCAGCAGCAGCAGCCCAAGTGCCAGCAGAATCGGATCCCTATGGACAGCAGCAGGGATCCTACTACGATCCCAATGCAGGAATGCAGCATCAATACGATCCCAATGCTGGGATACAGCACCAATACGATCCGAATACCGAGGCCCACCATCAGTACGAACATGGCCAAATAGAGCCTGCAAGTGAGGCCTACCAACCAGCAGCAGATCCTTCAGCTGCTCCCGCTGGCTATGGCTATGATTACTGGTCGGGCACCCAGCAGCCACCGTATGGCGATGAGGTAGGTTCAGCAGTTAGCCCTCCACTGTAAACCCTCTGTATTCCAAGCCGAAATAAGTTGTGTTTCAGGTCGGGTTTACAGAGGGTTTCCTTGTCTGCTTTCTTACGTTTTTAGTTTATCTTAAGTTGATCAATGTGCAACGGGTGTATCGTCTATATTACGTTTTAGTTTCCCTTATATTTTATGTAAGTTTTGACCTGTCTTAAACTTATGTTATAGCCATAGAAGTAGGACTCGCCAAATTGCTAACAAGTTTCTAATCACATTGCACACGAACACTCAACATCAAACATAAAAACATGCCTCTATCCAAATGGAATGCAGCCTGCGTTAAAGGATGAGGCGGAGGAGGAGGAGGATGAGCAGCAGATATTGCAGCAGGCACAGCAGCAGCAGCAATTGCGCGTGGCCAAGCAGCAACAGGAGCAACATACTCGCACCAATGGCGCCGCCAACAGCAACAACAATCGCTTCAAGTCGAATGCTTTGAAGCAGGAAAAAGGCAGCAGCATCACTGCATTGCGAAAAAGGCAGGAGGCTTCGAGAACAGCAACTATAGCGGCGGCAGCAGCAGCAATTGCCCAAATAACACCAGCTAAAGTTGCAACAGCAGCAGCAGCAGCAACGACGACGGCAGCAACATCGGCAAAGGCATTCAATTTGAATGATGTAAGTAGCTTTTCCCACATACATAAACGACATCAAGCTACCAGCAGCAGCAGCAGCAACAACAAACCAGCAACAGCAACAGCAGCAGCAGCAACTTTCACAACAGTAGCTGCTCTTCCTAATCAATTACCAAGTTGTAGAAAGTCTAACAGCCAGAATAGAACGTACTTAGGCACGCCAAAAACGCTAACCACGCCCACACGTTTCATTGCCGCCAAAGCAGCCACAGTTACAGCCACGCCCACAGCGCCCACCACTTTGACGACCACGTCGACGTCTCTAGGTGCCCGGGGATCGTCCACGAAGCGGGTTAACTTTAATCTGCCCACAACAATAGCTGAATCGGAACAGGAATTCCAGCATGAGCTGAACTTTGAGGAGGCGGACGAGGAGCAGGAAGAGGTGGAGGAGGACGAGGAGGAGAACGCCTTGGCTCTGGCGCAGGCCAGACCAAGTGGGCATCTGTCGCGCAAACCGCATATTGTCTTCAACGGCACCTATCCCATTGACATGCCCCTGACGCAGAGCAAGAGCAGCTCGTATGATCCGGAGGCCAATGCAGATCGCGGCGACTTGCAGCGCTATAGGAACTACATGCTCCACGACTATGTTATCGATGAGGATGCCGAGGGCGAGGAGCAGGCGCAAGAGGAGCAGGAGGAGGACGAGTATGCGGACGAGGATCTATTCCCCTATGCCCACGACGCGGATGAGAGCTTCGATGATGGCGATTACTATACGCACGAGCTGCTCAACAAGTATGGGATTATACCGAGCAAAGAGGGCGCTCAGAGAACGCCGGCTACCGTGGAGGCAGCCACCATTACCAGCAACTCGGCCTCGAAGCCGCAGCATGTGTGGTCCATGGAGGAGCTGATAGCCAATCCGGCCATACCGCTCAACTACAAGAAAATGTGCACCGAGGTGGAGCAGAGTCTCAGTCGATTTGAGAGCTATCTGGATAGCAAGAAGGAGCAACAGCAGATGCCACCGCCTTTGGCCGCAGTGCGCACCTTCGACATCGATGCACCCACGCGCCGGGGCCACCGGAGCAGCACTTCATCCGCGAATGCTGGCTTGGCTCTTAGATCTAAGAAGAAATTGTAAACAAACTCAGAGAAAGAAATGTAGAAAAGAAGGAGCCAGTGCAACGCTGCTTTTACTTCCTCCTTCTTTGTTTTTTTTTGTAAGCTTTCTGTACCTGGACAAGCGTCTTAACTATAAGTAGTCCTAATGATGCCCCCAAGCAATCTCTGTAATCACTAAGCCTTATATACCGATAATAATTGTGAGAAAGAGTTTTTTGACTGCGCCAGTTTATTTGCCATGTTTCCGTTGTTCATTCGATTCGAACTAACCCATAACTACTTTGTTACTAACCCAAGCCTAAACACTCTGCCTAAGATCTATGACTACTACTTATGACTAAACCGATTGCTTCTCGCCGAAGACTAATCCAATGCCATTTCTTAACTCCAACTTCAATTTCGCCATCCGAACAACCACAACCACAACAGCTGCAGCAACAGCAGGCTCGCCCGGCGATCTCCATGCCCAAGTCGAAGAGCTATGGCGACGAGGACGATGGCGGTGCGGCTCATCCTGGCCAGAAACCAACCCCGGAGGCAGCCGGCAAACAGCAGGCATCGGGCAAGCAGTCCAATTCCGGCGGTGATCTTGGGTGAGAGTTAGAAACTAGGAAGCCAATGAAAAAGAATCCCTCCTAATCAAAAAATAAATATACTTTACAGGGCACCTGGCAATCAGAATGCCGGCTGGTTTGGCGGACTCTGGAACAAGCTGTCGCTGAAGCCGAAGAACCAAATGATCCTGCCGGACGACAAGAATCCGACCATCGTTTGGGACAAGGAGCGCAAGTGCTGGACAAACACCGAGGGCGGCACCGACGAGACGGAAAGCTTCAAGCCGCCGCCCAAGATGAGCGATCTGGGCATGGGCATGCCGCCGGCCATGGGAATGGGAATGGGAATGGGCGTGGGCATGGGTGCAGCAACCAATCCGCTGGGCAGCCACCAACCAGCACCGTTGATGGATCAGCAGCAGCAGCAGCCGCAGCCGCAGCAACCACCGTCTCAGCCGCAAATGTATGGCAGTCCCATTGATTACACGGCTGCTCCGGCTGCACCCGAGATGATACCCACGGTCCCAACGCCGGCGCCACTTCCTGTCCCATCACCTGCACCGCTGGCAGCGGCGGCCAATCCCAGTCCCGCGGCCAATCCCGGAGGTCCCCAGCCCAAGTTGCAGTCGAACATGTTTAAGATGCAACGCAACCGCAGTAAGTATATATTATTATTTTCTCAATTAAGTTTAGGTTAGTTGAAAAACCTTAAGGAACGTTTTCTCATCCGGAAGTTAAATTAAAAGTAGGCTTTAAACTTTGAAATCCCATACGTTTTCGAGGTTTTTAACTTTAACATGCATTTAACCGCGAATTCTTTAGATTTTTCTTACAAATAAATTCATACCCTGCATTACCATTTCTTTTTGAAGGTTTTAAACCTAGTTTAAAGTAGGGTATAGACTATAAATTTCCATGCTTTAACATGCAGTCAATAAAATGATCCTAGGTAAACACAGTAATTCACCGCAAATTCTTAAGATATTTTTTTTAAATAAATCCGTACTTCGTATTATTATTTGAAGGTTTTAACCACACTTTTAATTTAACATGTGGTCGAGGAACTAGCTGTAAATATACGAAAAATGTAAATGCGAATTCTAAAGCTTGTTTTTACAAATTAAATTTTTTTATAGTTCAACAGTAACAGCTTAGCTTTACTAATCCTTTTTCACCCTTTCACTTTGCAGCGCTGAAGAACTCCTACGTGGATGTGTTCAATCCCTCGGGGGCGCCCATGTCGGCGGCCCCGGAGAATGTGCTCGCCCCCATAATGGCGCCGGCTGCGGTGCCCCAAGGCGGTTTCTTTGTCCCCGGACAGCAATAGGGGATTAACGGAAGCAGGAGCAGGAGCCTCGCGATCTGGAGCACCAGCAGCAGGTGTGTGTGCATGGATGGAGGATGGAGGATGAAGGATGGAGGAGGAGGATGTGAGAGGGCTGCCACAAATGCCAACGAGATGTGAGTTGAGATGGATGTTAGCGGATGATGCCTGATTGATGGGCCTACTCTTTTATTGCAGCACTTCGAAACTACGTAAAAAAATAAAAAGAAAAAACTTTTTCAACCGGCGAACGCTCACACACACACACACTGTCATGCATAAAATATACACACACACACACATCCATACGAGAAAAGACAACTTTCCAGCAGGGGAAAAGTTGATCCTACGATTTCTTCAAGCTCCTACAGTTTGTTAATCTTCTGTCTGTCTGTCCTATCTTGTTGTGTGTGTCGCTCTACTAAATTAACTCACCCAACTAAAAATTAAACACCTAATTTCACCGATTTGTGCGCATGTGAGGAGTAAGTGTGTGTGTGTCAGGTGCGTGTGTGTGTGCGATCGATGTCCTAAAGTTTAGCGAATGATTAATTGAGGAAACGATGAAGAAAGCGATTTATGTACGACTAGCGAATTATATATGTAAATTTTCTCTATGTAAACTATACGTCCCCCGATCCCCGAGAATCCCTCTATATCCTCCACGAACCCCCGCTGCCGCCTTCTTCCCCGATTTCTGTTTATATACATGTTTCTTTTGTATGTTGCATAGTTTTTATGATTATTTTTTGTTTAGCTGTATGAATATGTATTCGAAGGAGGTCAGACATTGATTCGGAATTCACATTGATTATGCATTGCATTGCTGTATTTCCCACATCTAAATACTATATATATAACTACTGATCTATCTGTTTGTTTCTATAAACTACATACGCAATTGATATTGGATTGATAAGCGATTAAGAAGCAAATTAATTGTTCTCCCTGGTTTCCTTTCTCGATGTATTCTCCTCTCTGTGTCTCTTTTATTACGATTGGTGTGAAATATGCAAATGATTCCAATTATATATATATATTATAAATGTATCTTTAGAACAATTTAAATGGTTTTTCTGTTTTTTTTTACAATTTGTTTGAATTAAAAATGCATTTTGAAAATGTTTATTTGTTAGAACTTGTTTGTTTATGCTTTAATTTTTAACTTTTAATTTTAATAATAAAAAAATAATAATAACTGGTGCAGGCAAAAAAAAAAGAAAAAAGAAGAAATAAGCAAAGAATAGAAGGAATGAAAGTAAAATAATGAAATTATATAGGAATATACTGGCACACATATGTATTATGTACAAATCGAAATGCTAATTGGTATATCAAAATTAAACTAGAGATCCTCCAAATAGTAGGGACAAACTGCTGTGTATTGACCACAAACTCTGTACTCAAAATGCGTACACAAATTACGATTAACCCAAGGCTCTGTAACTTGATTTTTCAAACTTCTTTATATATATATATACATATATTACGATGATCATGATTGATGGGTAATATGATGATGATGTTGACAATGACGGAACTAGATCGAAACGAAGTGTGGTATGAATTCTTTATGTTTAATTAGCCTAAAATACAAATTAAATCAAATGCGTACGAGAAAATACAACATTTATGTAAAAATATAAAAGATAATTGTTTTATTTACTTAATTATCAGTGGTTACGGGGTGGCATTGTGACCCAAATTTGGACAGGTCTATTGTACATCTGCTGGTTCGTCTCTACAGCTCCACGTGTTCTCTGTAGAGTGCCTCGAATTCATCGTCGTCCTCAGCTTCACTGACATCTTCGCCAACAAAAGCTGCAGCCAGATCATGGTAGACATCGTGTGGCTCATCTAAATCCAATGCAGTGGGTGTTGCATCGGAAGATGGGTTTGTTTTGGTTGCAGGCTGCTCCTCCTCCTCCTCCTCCTCCTGCAGTTCGTCACCTAGATATAATACAAGTAAATAAACTTGATTTAGTATAAAATTAATAGTTAAATAATATTAGATTTTCAAGTGAATAATAAAAGTTAAAATAATATTCTAATTATACAATTTTTTAACTTAATTTAAGAGTATTCAAACGATTTTTAAAAATCTCAATATTTAAGTTATAAATACTATAAGACATTTCGAGATCTTTTAAGAAAGATAAGTACTTGTAACTTCCGAAAATTTAAATTTTGAAATGACTAAGCGAAAACCTACTGCTGTCGATGACTTCATAACCGCCTGGGGGCTTCGATTCGTATGTAACAAAGATAGTGGGAAACTCCACGATGGTCCTGCCGGCTAGATTCTCGGCCAGCGTTTTGGCCGCCTCCAGGTGATGGCATCTCGTGGAACTGCGACGCACGCCCTCGGCGCGCAGCCAAAAGCTGAGCTGGCCAATGCCGGCAGTCTGATGGTTGGCCAGCAGTTTGCGCTGATCCCGCGCCGTTTCGTGCTGCAGATCCACATACTTGAGGATCAGATCGGACAGGACAAGCTCCTCGTCACACCGGTCGTCCACAAATCGGGCCACATCGCGGGAGTGGTTCGCCTCGAGCGGAATGTTTGCAAAAAGCCACTCGACGCGCCAATAGAAACGTCCCAGCTTCCAGTTGAGGTACGTGGTGTTCTCCTTGTGCCGGCTGAAGTTCTCCAGTTGCAGTCGCAGGTCGATGTTGCGCCTCCTGGCCGCCGTTCGCATCCGGTGCTGGGCCACCGGGAGATTCCTCTGGTCGTGGGTGAACCGCTTGCACTGATCGGTCTTGCGGTTCTCCGCATAGCGGGTGCACTCCTCCAAGAAGCAGTAGTCGCTCATGAACTCCCGCGCCGTCATCTCGCTGAGGGGCACGAACTTGGTGCGATCCCGCTGGCCATCGCAGCTGAGCTCCCTCTTGTGGATCTGGACGCAGGGCAGGCTGCAGGTCTTCACCTCGCACTTGGGACACGCGTAGCGGGCCTCCTTGGCGGCGCACACCTCGCACATTCCCAGCCGGAGGGTGCTAGAGCATATCGATGGGTTATAATGGTGCTTTATTCGACTAGGAATCGGGCATTACCTGGTTTTAGTGCTCGTTTCGGTTTCCGCGGCCATCATCTATGTTTTACGTTTCCCATTCAAACTGAAGCCGCGTGTTGCCATTGTTTACATTCGAAAGTGCTGACGATCTGGTGATTTCCAAGGTGCGGCTAAGAAATAGCTAGATCGTAGGACTTAAAAAAACGCATAAAATTAATTTAATGCTCATTAAAAAAGTAGAATTCGGTCGCAGTTAACTAAAAAGCAAGAAATTTACAAATAAATGAGGAATACGAAAATTGTAATAAAAAATTAATTAAGAAGGGTGGGATTTTAAATAAGCTGTATATAAACTTACTTCTTCGACGCAGAACTACACATATGAAAGTAAATAAGAGTACATTTTATTTTTTCGTTTTTTTTTCAACACTCTTAAAATAAGTAAAAATCACTAAAAGTTTGTTATATTAGGGGGATTCCCTGAACTGTTGAATTTTGGTCAGCTGTTAATAAGCTGTTCCATACAAAGTCAACTTTCAGAAATTTCAGCAATTCAACAGCCTCAGGGCTGTTGAAAATTTTGTTGAATTGCTGAAAAGCCAGAGCTGTCACCTTTTTTTAAAAGTCGTGGCAACTCTGTAACATTTTAGTATCACCAGTACGCATTATTTATTTTAAAATCAACTTAGAAAGCATATTTGTGGTTCTTTTTACCTTGGTAACACTTTTAGACAGTAACTAGCAATAATAAATCAAATTTTACATGTTTTAATTTTTCAACAAGTAACAGCTGTTTGAAAATTCAACAGGAGCCATTTTGGGTCGTTCCCTTAATTGCTGAAATTTTTTGTTGCATTTTCAACAATTCAGCCATTCAACAGTTTAGGGAATCCCCCAATTATAAAGTTGAATTGTCATGACAATATAAGATAAGGGAAATCAATGAAATCACTGGCAATCTACTTAGGGTATAGTTAGGGTTAGTTTAGTATTTTTAACTACTTTATTTCTAATAATAATTAAGTAAATAATGAATAAATTAAAACTGAAGCTCGAATAAAAAACATATAAATTAAAAACGAACTATGAAAGCTAGCCGGATTTCGCTTGAAAGTGGCCAACTCGCCATCTCTGCCGCTAAATCAGCTGTTCGCCGGGCACATGTTATTTTGTGTTGTTGTGCTAGCGCGATTACGTTGTTTTCATTGCAAAACAAATTGTGCGTGGAGCGAATGAAATATCATACTTGTGAAAGCTCATTAGTAGTTATCTGGATCTAAATAAATATATTTGTCATCGAGTGAGGGCGAAGAGTTACCTGGAAACCACTGAGATTGACATTTGTTTATTGCAATTGCAGGTAGGCCAATGTTTATTTGGTGAAACAATATGTGTGTGTGTGTGTGTCGAAGCACGTGTGTGTGCGATAGATTGCCCGCTTTTGTTATCGAGCTTGCATATCCAGTTATCGCAATCGTTATCCGTTATCTGGCGCAATATTTGAATACACGTGCGCATTAGCAAAGATTTATTTACTCATTACCATTTGTGCTGGGCTGATAAAAAAAATCTTATCGGTTTGGTCTGGTCTAGAATTTACAAGCCACGCACACGCGCTTTTTCAACATAACTCAGCCGCCGGTCTGTCCCACATTTCAACGCTGTTTCTATGCTTTAATTGGTGTTATTTATTTACCAGTTTTTTCTCGCTTTTCCTTTTTTTCATTGTGTCATTAGATACCGCTGAAGCACCTGAGAGAGCAGCGGCCGGAGAGCGGATCGCCGATCGCCGGAGGTTTACGGTTACGGTGGTTCCGGCTCTATAAATATGGCTGCTCGCCAGCTGGGCCGCTTAGTCCGTCGCGTTCGCAAGCCCAGATCGCCAGTCGCCGTCGGCCTATCGAGTACAGTGAGCTCAGCCCTCAGTGCGGGTACAGTGAGGACCTACAGTACGGCGACCACCCTCAGTACAGTGAGCATCCAGCGCATGGAGCACCTGGCGGTATCGGCGGGTTCGGGCGTTAGCCTGGCTGAGCTCGTCTTTAATCCCCGATTGCCGGCTTTAAATGGAAATCATAGTGCGAGTAATGATTGTAATAGCAACAGCACCAACAACAACAAGGCTGAGAATGCCGCCTTTGAGGTAAGTCTACGAAAACGCACAATTATAAGTGCTCAATTAAAACAAATAGATCGCTATAGACCAAGAACTGGGATATTAACTTTATATTTAAGGCTTAATTTTTGTCAGGTTTAATTTGGGACCTTAGTCAGTAATAACAAAAAGATTAATCTCATTTGTTTAATTTCCTATATCTTTAATAATACTAGAATTCCAAAAATATGATATTTTAATAAATTGTATTTATGTTTCCTGCATTACAAATATTTCTGGCCTAAAATTATGTGTAAAATGATTATAAAGCTACCTTTTTATGACTACTTGCAATACCTCATAAAGATTTAAAACGTTTTCGACATAAAGCTTTCCAAACCGTCATAAGTTACTATTATTACTAGTTAGTCATTGCTTTTTTATACATATTTGATCTATTTTGACCAATATTACAGTTTTATAAGTTGTTTTTTTAACATTTGAGTGTTTGAATACGGTTTATATTTACATATACATATACTTAAGAATAAAACTAGGATCATTATTGCGAAAAAAATATTTTTCTGATTAATATGAAATTTGGTTTCTAAGTTGAAATCGCAAAAATAAAAGTTTGATCGTCAGTACTGAAATATCTATATCTCAAGCTGTAGCTTCTATATTAAATATATAAATAAATATTAAATATTATTAAATATTAAATATATTAAATATATAATAAAAGAGACTTTTTTGGTAATTTTCAGGAGGCCATCAAGCAGCTGAACTCCCTGCAGTCGAACGATGCCGCCATAAGGAGTTCGATGATCAATGGTCGCGTGGATACCAGGGCGGATACCGTTAAGTATCTGGAGCGGAGCGGGCTGCCGCTTGAAGCCGTCGAGCGGCTGTCCTTCATCCATGTGGCCGGCACCAAGGGCAAGGTCAGCAGCACGATCTTAACCTGTTTTCGGGTTCTGTTTTCATTGTTTGGTTTAGTTTTTAAGTATTTCTTCATGCACCACTTGTTATCCAACATCAGCTGGTTTCTAATTAGGCTAATCAACTTTAGCTTTGCTCTCTCACTGTGCTCTACCGCTCTCTCTCTCTCATCCAATCAGAGAACTCTCTCGGCCTCTCTTTTGCGAGGCCGCTAATCGCTCACTTGCTGATAAGATTTGTTTAGCTTCCAATTTGATATTTTTTTTATTGATGGATCTGTTGGGGTGTTTGATACCCTTTATGCGTTTATCAATTGGGTATATCTAATATGTATTAATTAGATACATTATTCATTTGAACATTCATTCATTAAGAACAAGTTATTACAGACATATTTCCATTCTAGAACTAGAACTGTTATCCACTTACTGATGGTATTTATTCTTAATCTATCTCCTCAGAATCGGTTATCATAAGACTTTTCAAATTAAATATAAATTCTTTGTTTATAAAGATAATTCCAAAATGTTCTAGATTATATATTTAAGGAGTATCAACTTGTCCACAAATTTAATTATTGTTTACTCTCCAAATTTTGCTGTTTCCAATTTCATTTGGCCATGATTGAGCTTTGACTTATCTGTTTTTAGGTACCGTACTTAGGACACGTTCATAGATAACTAAAATAATCAGATATAAATGTTTCCCGTGTGGATTATAATTCTGATAATTTGGCACTTAACTTTTGAATGGAATTTTTGCGTTACCTTTAATAGGTAGTTTAGTTTTATAAGTACCTATATTATTTTTAAGCCTGAACTTGTTTTTTTTTTGTAATTAATGTACTTTTACTTACCTATTTTATTAATCTAATATTTAATATTAATATTTTTTATTATTTTTATTTTATTAAATTCATTTTATTATTTATTTATTTATTTTAAAAAATGTATTCATGATTTCTTATCTACCCATAGGGCTCCACCTGCGCCTTGACCGAATCCCTGCTGCGTCATCAGGGCGTTCGCACTGGCTTCTTCAGCTCCCCACACATCCTGTCCACCAACGAGCGGATCCGCATCGACGGCCAGCTGCTGGCCAAGGATAAGTTCACGGAGCAGTTCTGGAAGGTGTACAATCGATTGTGGGAGCTGCGGGAGCACGACCACGACATGCCGGCCTACTTTAAGTTCCTGACCATTCTGGGATTTCATGTCTTCATTGCGAAGAACGTGGACGTGGTCGTCCTGGAGGTGGGCATCGGCGGGGAGCACGACTGCACGAATATCGTGAGAAATGTACGCACCGTGGGCATCACATCGCTGGGACTGGAGCACACGGAGCTCTTGGGTCGCACGCTGCCGGAAATTGCCTGGCAGAAGGCGGGCGTCATCAAGCCGGGATCACATGTCTTCACGCATGTCAGTCAGCCGGAGTGCCTGCAGGTGATTCGCCAGCGGACAAAGGAGCAGGCAGCCACGCTCTACGAAGTTCCACCCACCGAAGATTACTTTCGATCGGAGGCATATGCTCCGATTTGGGGGACACTTAGCCACATGATTCGTCTGAATGGCTCCCTGGCCATTCAGTTGGCCGGAGATTGGCTAACGCAGGCCGGGAGGAGACCCCTGCCACAGGAGCAGCGTCCAGCGCCCAACGAGGTGAGAATGGATCCCCAGCTGCTGCGCGGACTGATCAGCACCCACTGGCCAGGTCGGTGTCAGCTGGTCGACTGGCATGGGATGCGGCTCCATTTGGACGGAGCCCACACGCTGGAGAGCATGGCTGTGTGCACGGACTGGTTCGAAAAGAGCGTGCGAAACAGGTGAGTGGAGGAGGGCCAGGGGAACCTGGATCTAACTACAGGGGTGGTCAAAAGTATTTTCAACATTTTTGTGTCATTTAAACGGAACTGAAGTGCTCTTTCCATAGGTGCCAAAATGTTTATATTATAGGTTCAAAATATGAGTACAGTTAACATTCAAATTTGTGAAAATGCTTTTGACTAGGGTTGTAAACCACAGATGAATTATTAACCAATTTCATATCCGAGACTCTAGCTGAAATATTTATTTTTTTTTAGTATATTATAAATTACTATGACCAAATATATACTTTTTATACAAATTTAACTAGTTTCTTATATTCCATTTTTGATAATCATTTATTCAATTTTATTTTATAATTATAAAATAATATTAAAAATAATAATATAAAATTATAATAAATGATTATGAAAAATGATTAGAAATTAATTTAGTTTAATATCTAATATCTGAAATTATATTAGAAACTAAATATTTATAATTATTAATTAATTAACTATAATTATTAACTATTATTAATGTCAGGCGATTGGAGTTACATAAGTGTAAAACTCAAAGTTATTAAAAAAGTCTTTAGTTGAACAAAAAAATGATAAGACAAACAATACAATATTAATAAAATTCTAAACTACTATATAAAAGTCTGGACAAAAAAAACGGGAAGTAGAAAAAATCACCCAAAACGGATTGACATAAAAATCTAAAACACAAAAATATAAAAATTTAAATATTTTAGAGTTTTATTTTTGCTACTAAATCAGAATTGAATTAGCTTAGATTTTAATTTAGTATGGCTTCTTACGGAATTGATTTATTGTTAAAGTCACACTCTTATTTATGAAATTTATTTCCTCTTTCAGCGTCAACCCAAAGATCCTGATCTTCAATCGCACCGGAGAATCCGGTTTCGCGCCCCTGCTGGAGCTACTGAACCGCACCTGTGCCTTCGACATGGTCTGCTTCGTGCCCAATTTGGCCACCTCCACACCGAATGCACCCAGCCAGGTGATGGTTCGCTTTAGTGCCGAAATGCAATTGAAGAGGGCAAGGATCATTGCCGCGGAGTGGAGTCGCCTCTGCGAGAAGCAGCAGCAAAGGGATCAGGGCCAGGTGTACGACACGCTAAGCGATGCCTTCACCGCCATCCGGCGGAGGTTTCCCCAAACGGACAACGGCGGACAACAGCTCGAGGTCCTCGTCACCGGTTCCATTCATCTACTCGGTGCCGCCATAAGTGCCCTAGATCTAATCGATGAATCCCAGAACTGACACTTGCATTCCTTGTGAAACAAAAAGCAATTGCATAGCATTAGATTTAGTTGTAGTTAAGCCCATTCCCACACAGTCCTCAAATCCAGATGTAAAAAAATACTCGGACTTAAAAAAGTTATGAAAATATAAACGTAAATCCTAAGAAATTGTTTATTCCATTTTCTTTTTAATTAAATTTGTTATTTATATATCCTTTTGAGTTTTACTTAATTTGTTTTTCATAAACACTTAAAACGGATTTATTTCTGACTTTAAAAAAAAATCACATTAGTCCTTTGAGAATACAAATCTCCAAGTTTTTCCTACCAAGCAGGGCTGTCGATTTTCCGACGGAAATCCGAGATGTCCTTTCGCCATTAACAGTCCTTAAACTTAAGCGACCTGTCACTTGGATGCGATTCAGAGCTCGTAACTCCCGCGACTGCCAGAGATTTGAAAGGCGGCATCAGACTGGGTCAAAGTGAGAGGAGAAAGCTTTAAGGGTTGCTTTTTTTGCCACAAGGCATTAGGGGTAGTTGCATAAAATGCAATAATAACAAAGTCACAGCCAATAGCAAGGCGGCAACCCTGTGCCGAGAGAGAGAGACAACCAGCGCAGGCTAGCCTGCTCTCCCCGAGATTAACGGTAAACAAAATGGCTAACGGGACAGCGGAAGTCGGTGAGCGAGCGGGATGGCACGATGATGATGCTGCGCGCTACTAAAGCAAATGATTAAATAACGGTTAAATGGCAGCGGCCATTGCGAAAGTTTCCTTTTTGTAGCTACATGAATTTTTTCCACCCAGTTTTTTTTTTTACTTTGCTCTGCCAGCGTCGACGTCGACGTGGGCGCTAAACTGTCCCGTTTACAGCAACAAATCCGCGTAATTCACTTGCCTCTGTGTTTGTGTGTGTGTGTGTAAGGGGGTGAATCCTGGCGATGTTCGCTAAAAGGATTAATAAACGTTCCACGTTTCGCATTTCAGTTGTTCATTTGACTTGGCGCTTAGCGGTTCAGTTACAGTTACTTTCTGATAACTGTATTTGTGGGTGTGCGTGTTTCGTCCTGGAAGACTTGTTTACGCGTAGAACTCATAGATCCTGGCGCAAGGATAATCACTACTTGTTTTTATAATATTGCCGACGGCTAAACGAATGAGGATTAAAAGAAAAAGAAAAACCATTCGAAGCAGTTAAAAAATAAACCCCTGGAACTATTCCGGATTTTTGTTATTGTTTAACCAGAGTTTCAAGAGTTTAAAATGGGGCAGATACCACAAAACCTGGCCTAAAGTAGTTCGAAAATTACATTAAAATCAAAAAAAGCTGACGACTGCAAATCCACTACGATGCAGAGCTCAAAATCTTTTCTAATACGCGATCTCCTTGGCGATTTAATCAATCGACGACAAACAGATTCTGGTAAGTTTCAGTCAAACAAGGAAATTAATCCTAAACAGTAAGGTCTAGATTACTGACTAAGATCAGATGTACAATGTACATGTATCTTGACTATTAGCATAAGAAAGATTAATTGTTATGTTGAGTTAAAGTCCTTTTGAATTTGCAATATGTTAAATGTTTGTAAAAAATTCGGCATAGCGTCAAATCTCCGCGCGACATATCTCCGCCCTTCTACGAACGACATATCTCCACGCGGAGGTATGACGTTTAAAAATCCGCGCGAAAATATTTCGTTTTTAAACGTCATATCTCCGCGCGGAGATATGTCGTTTCAAAACGTCATATCTCCGCCAAATAAATCGCGACATATCTCCGCCGACGAAATGCACTGGGCGGAGATATGTCGTTATCCCAAAAAGTCCCTAATTATGCTCTTTAGAAAATGCATAGAAAGCTTTTAAACTTTTCAAATCGAGTTGACCACAAATGTGCTCTTAAATGTTATAGATTAGAATAGAAAATATCAAATATTAAGATCTTTATTATCACATTTTTGATAATTAACAAAAATTAAACATTAAAACATGAAATATTTCCAAAAAAAACAAAGAATTAATAATATAGTTATGCTAGGTAGAAAGTAAAATTAAGATTGGAAAAGCCCGATATTTGAAATGTTCTAAAAATACAAATAATTATTTTATTATAATTGATTAAAACCCCTTTTTAATATTAAATATTTTATTTGAAAATCTTAACCCTTGCCATAAAGAAATACATTCGCTGGTTCAGTCATGTCATTAAAAATAACCTTACATTTTTTATATATTAAACGTCTTTGTTGGCCAATTAGCCTGTTCTTTGTTCATCCTCCCATTCTTTGATGTCTTGTTGTTGTCTGTACTGGGTTGTGGAGGGGGGTTTTCGGTTAAAACCGCTGACAAATTGCCTTGCTCACTCTCGACTTTTAACGCCCCCCAATTTAGCCATCTTTTTGTTTACCAGCTTGGCCTGTGGCATTTAAATCTCACACTTGGCTCAATTATCGCAAACAAAAATATTAGAGGGAGAGGGAAAGAAGTGCGAGTGAGATGGGTTGACAATGGGAGAGCGAGAGGGTCTGAGTTGAAACAACAAAACCATAGCTTTGGGCAGTAATTTAATTGCGCACTGCTTGCTTGCACCGAAAGAAAACCCGTTCGCTTTAGGTATAAATTAAAGTAAATATTTATTAAAAGAATAAGGATGATTTGATTTATTTTTAATGTTTTTTTGTGATTCAATTTATTTATATAGCATTTTATAACAAAAATAAATTAAGCGAAGTATGTAAAAAATGCACTTAAAATTAAATTGTAATTTTCTAAGTAAAATAACATTTTTTATTTTTCAAAATACAATAAATACCAATTTGTTCTCCGTGTGCAGTTAGCAGTTAATAATATTTTTGTTGCTGTTGACACTGCTTTATTCGTAACCTGCGCTCGAGCAATTTGTCACGTACGAACACTTTAATTGTTTTTAGCCAGGGGAGCTGAAACCGAAAGGGAAAATAACGTGGTGGATGGAAGTGCAAATGGGACTGAGATCCTGGCTGAAAACTCAGTCACGACAAATGTTTTCTCATCCTCGCACAAGTACACAGAAAATAAATATGCTAGTTTCCTTGTTTGGTGATTTTAAGATCAAGGACAAATACCAAGCGCAATTGTATAATGTTGTAAATAAGAAAAATTAAAAAATAACGGTATTTTGTTTTGTTAAGTAATATCTTTAATTTTTATAAAAACAACATTTATTGAATAGTTAAATTTGCAATATCTTTAACATAATAATTACACAATATAAATTGCCTTCTAAATTGTTCCCTTTTTTCACAGTGCACCGCCTCAGGTGTCGGCTTACTTATGCTTCGTTTTTTTGGTTTTGAGCCAACTGTATGAGCCATGTGTTCTCTTCTAATTATGCATGACATTAAATAAAGTTTAGCTCAACAATTACAACTATTTAGAGGCTAATTGCTGTCAGTTAGACGGAGAAAGTGAAACTTTTACTGCAAGTGTGTGTTTCAGTTTCACATTTTTTCTGAAATTCAAGGGGAGAGAAATGTTTTAATGATTTACTAACACATGTTTTTAAATTATTAAGCTAATTAAGTTTTAATTAATGAATAAATAAGAAAGGCAGAAATACAAATATTCTACTCATTGTGGCAAAAAATAAAATAATAAATAATTTTAATAAGTTATTTCCTTTCTTCCTATTTTTCCTTAAATTATTAGAAGACGTCTAAAAATTTACTAAATAAATGGAAAATAAATTAGGAATGAGAAATCTTTATAATATAAAGCAGTAATTGTTAGGACTGACATACGTCATTCTTAAACAAGTCTAAATTGCCGGCACATGCGAGTAAATTTCTACTGCTTTCTCCTTCCATTTCTAAATTTCTCTGCCCTTTTCCATTACGTCTCTGTCTTCAGTTGCTTTTTATATGTGTGTCTCAGAGTTCAAGTGCCTATTAAATGGCAATTGTGCCGCAAATTGATACGACGTGACTTTTCGAGGAAAAAGAAAGAACTCACTCGAGACGCTCCCCAGGATATCCATACACACACACGGATAATTGAATATCCCTTCGTATATGCACCATCTACCCTTCCGTCCTGTCTGCGCAAATCGGTATAAATAGAATCAGAAGTCGAAACCCATTTGGGGTTAAAATACACAAATATAAAAATAATTTCCGCCCGTTCAGTTGGCACTCGAAAAGTGGGCGGAAAGTGAAATAATAGAATCCTTGCTGGGCAGACACACGTGAGCGCCTGCGGCGAAGAATCGAAGATGATGCTCTGCCAAAGACTTGAATGCTAAGTAAACTCCACTGAGAAAAATTTTTTGTTAAGAAAATATGGGGTGCAAAATGGGGCTACAAAATAAAAAGTTGGTTATGTTCGTTCAAAATTTTAATATAAATTCACTACTTAGACTTCATCAAATGAATAAAAATTATTTAGCACCAACACTAAAAACATAATAAAAAAATGGTTTTGATATTATTTATTAATTGTACATTTAGTAAAATATATTTTGGTTCCATAAAAATATGAAAAATATTTTTTAATAATTTCTTAAATAGCTCATACTTTTATATTATACATAATTCTATTTTATGTTTTGTTAATATACAAATATTTTTTAATTCTTTTTTATTTCATTAATAACTCTTAAGGATTTGGATTATATTTTTTTTTCAAAGAACTCAGAATTAGTTGTAAGGGCCACCATATCTTTTTCCCAGTGCAATGTGGAGCAGACCATGTAAATTCCTTTAGGAAACAATTGAGAGCTCGACGACACGTGAATTTAATCAGGCAGCCCGCAGCGTCCGTTTTGGATATCTTTGGACTTGGATTTGGATTCGGGGGACGAATGGAGTCCTGTAATGGTAACAGGATATGGGCGGCGGATAAAAATAACACGTTGATTGCTGCAAATTGCAACTCATCCGATTCGCCGCCCTGTCATCCAAATGGACCAACGCCCACTTGATTCCGCCCCGTCCCAGCCCACGATTCCCATTCGATGCGTTGTCTATTGCCGGATGGCGGTGCGGTAATGAGTTCCCCGGGTCGCTTCTAGACCGGAAGTGCCTGCACGCGCTAAAGAAGAGGAAGAGCAGGCTGGACGAGCAGGAGGTAGAACAGGATCAACGCATTAACGCCACGCTGCGCCTGAAAGCAGGCAACAGTGTCTTAATTTCTTAATTCTGCACAATCTATAGTGTCTACTTAACCTTACCATCCACTCCATTTAAATCCTCTCAAGTGGTCAATCCTTTCAAAACCATATTTTTTACATATGCTCATTTTAAAAGCATTTTCACCCACCCTTTTTTCTCGGGTGGGCGATTTGAACAGCCTCGTACTTAAACGTAAATGGTGATATGGTGGTATATCTGCAGATCATTTACATATATAACATCATAAATCATTTTTATTTGGGCATAAAACATTAAGTTCGACAAGAAATTCTGTAGACCAATGAAAGGGTTTATCGGGCTTAAAAACTAAAACATTTTAAAGGTATAAGACTTTAGTTATTTACCTTGTAGCATTCAAATTGCTTTCGATTTATAACCAATTCAGACTTAAAAAATGATTTGAGTCCTACACACAAAAAAAAGCACGTCGCCGTAAAATCGATAAGTCCAGGTAATTTTCTGGTTATTCCTACTCATATCGTTTTTACCTGAAATATTCATAAATTTACATTAAATAATATCATTTTGCCGAATTCTCTCTCTCGGAGATTCTCTAACTTCGAAAAAGAGCGCAAGAATCAATATGGCGAGCAAAATGACATGAGTGGAAGGGAGAAAGACTGATTCGAAATTCGAACTGACGTACTTCAAGCATGTTTTCTCGCTCGCACTAGTGTACGTTTTGGTCAGAAATAAGATTTTTTACATTTCGAACATATCACATTTACCTGGCCCCATATCAAGTTAAAAATGATCTTAAAAAAGGTCAAATTGACCTACGATTCATATCGAGTTTTTTTTGGGTGTATATTGAGTAAGGATCGATCAGATATTAGAACACAATGAATTTCTTTGGTAATTTTCCAAATCATTCTTTAAACTTTCTTTTTTTCAGAACTCGAGCTATCCAATGACGACTCGGATATAGATATCGAGGATCGGTCCACGCCGGACTCGACGGCACCGGGCTGCCAGCAGGATCTTCTGCTGTCCCATCACCACCGCAGATTCACCCACCACGACGACTCCAGTGTGGAGTCCTGCCTCTCGGCCCAGGATCGGGGCTCAGGGGGATCGGGGGGAGGCGGTGGTGGAGCTGGAGGAGTTCCCACTGGACTGAGTGCAGCGGCGGCGGCGGCGGGCGTGGCCGCTGGTCTCTTGGCAGCGGCGGCCAGTAGTGCCAGCGGCGATCCCAATGGAGGTGGGAGTGGGTCGGGAGCGGGCGGCGGACCAAGTGGCGGCTATGCGGAGCACAAGCTGCAGCTGAGCAAGAGCGGCCGGAAGCCGCGACGCCGCCGCACCGCCTTCACCCACGCCCAGTTAGCCTACTTGGAGCGCAAGTTCCGGTGCCAAAAGTACCTGAGCGTCGCCGATCGCAGCGATGTGGCCGAAACGCTCAATCTGTCCGAGACGCAGGTGAAGACCTGGTACCAGAACCGTAGGTGAGTTTACTGACTGTTTACTTTAAAAAAAAGCGTTCAAGGCTAGTCAAAAATTAAAGAAATGATTCAAACCAAAACGCAGGTTAAGTTTTAGTACCCCCTAAAATCACTCAACCAAAAATAAAGTTTATCACTCATACGCAGTGTGGCCTTTTGCCATTAATTCATAGTTAAGGTTAACCAGAACAGTTATCTTTGATCAAAAAGGGTACAGTTGTGCTTAAAGAGATTAGGATATCGCCGGTCGTTTTCGTTACCTTATATATTTTATGGTTGATTTCTATAGCTTAAAACAGGTTCCCTCCTTTTAATATAGCTTTGGGCTTTAAGTGTACAATTTATTGTGGGAAAAAGCCGAAGATCAGTACAGTTGTGCTTAGGTAATCGATCGCAACAATGTGGCAACGCCAACTAATCGATATTTCTTCTTTTCCCTATCGAAGGACCAAGTGGAAGCGACAGAATCAACTGCGCCTGGAGCAGCTGCGTCATCAGGCGACCATGGAAAAGGACTTTGTGGTGCAGGATGGCGGCGGTGCGGGCGGCCTGGGCTGTTGTCCCAGCGGATTGAGCAGTTCTTTCAGCGCCGCTGCTGCCGCTGCAGCGGCTGCCAGCAATCCATGCAATTTTCTCACTTCCGCCGCAGCGGCGGCCATTTTCCGGAACGTCGGCTACGTCCACGGCTGTCCAATGTAGGAGTCACGTCCCATGCCCACCCAAATAAATAAAACAAATACGCCACCTTCCAGTCCCCAGCTCCTCCCAGTTGCCTATGTACATAATACGTATAAAGAAAACAGTTTTTGTGCAATAACCGATCGGGATGAATTATCGAAATAGCAGCCATATGCTCATGCTTACCGAACGTACCCGATATTATAATTATATGTACGTACTTAACGATATAATCATAAACTAAGCATAGTCGAATTAACTGTAATATACATACCACAAAACCTTTTTTTTCGTCGCACTCTATGAACGTTTTTTTTTTGGCCAAAATAAACCTTAAATTGCAAATCTTGTGGTTTTTACTTGGGAGGTGGAAAATTGTATTCAATTTTCGGATTAGACGATATTGCTATCTTATTTTATTATTACATATTTGTTACCATTACCATTACTTACATATTTGTTTAATTAGTTTTGGATTTTGATCTAGTAGGTTCTAAATTTATAGTCTATATTTGCATAATAATTTTATATCGATCTAAATTTGTGTGTCAATTAAAACAAATTACTATATTCTAATCAAGGTTTCCTTATAAAAAAGGTTAAATACGTTTTAATAATGCACAAAGGAAATGTGAAAGGGACAAACTATAGCGCAACGTAACGGTTAAATGCCGCTCGCCCATTTGCAAATCTGCAATCGGTGAGCTGTGAGTCATGCTTGAAAATCAACTTGAGCGAATCGCACAAAACGTTATCAATTTGTCGCTATATAGCAAATAACCCGCGACACATGCCCACCCACCGGCAGGATATCTGTCTGTACATATACATACATATATAGACCGACTCTATTCATATAATAATCGCATGGACCCCAAAAAGAGGGGGTGGTGTGGGGCGGGGAGAGAGCGAGAGGGATAGTGAGAGAGCAGGGCTGAAGCAACCAACCGGAAAACAAGCAACAACTCTGCCTGCAATTATAACGGGCCAACGGAGCGCAGAACGCGCATGAGCGGGGGCGTGCGCCAGAACGGGACGACAACAGTGCAACTGAGAGGATGCGACTGAGGTCGCGACGCGTCATATACAGTCGACATTGACTAAGACGAACTGGAGACAAGTTGAGAAGAGCATGTTCTTTAAAAATAGCATTTAATAATCAACTTTCAAAATTAACATTGAGCAATTTATGTATTTAAAATTTACTTGCAATGTGCAACATACAACTTGAAACATGATAGGTAACTTTGAATTAACGTGCATGTAATATGAAACAAGAAACATGGAATACTTGTAATATAATATGTATAATATGTTCCCCGTGTGTGCTTACAATTCTCAACAAGTTCTAACAGAGGATTCACGAGTTTCTTCGAAAGTTCCTTGGATGTGGACTTTAAACTTAATTGGTTATGGAAAGAGTGACAGATATTTTTCATCAACCGAATTTAAAAATGGAAAGCTTTTTTTTTATTTTTTTCATTGTAAGTCTTCGAGTTCACGCCACAGAGTGAGGCCTGTAGTTACAGTTATATTTTCATGCCCATTTAGCTCGGTACACAAAAAGGAGGAGAAATGTTTAGCCACAAATTGAATCTGCGGTGAGTGAGTTAACGAGAGAGAGGAAGGGAGAGGGCATGCCATGCCCCATGGAGGATTTGGGAAGGATATAGGGGCGGAGGAGAGATCCTGGCGGCAGAGTAGTTTTCGAGTGGTGCAGAGCGGCACAGAACGCTAATTAAAAAGATACTTGAAGGGAGCCACCGGAAACAAACGGAAAAGCCAAAGAAGAGGGGCACAACAAAAATATATAGGAAAAATGGCAGAACGGCAGAATGGAAATGCAAAATGCAAATGGAAACGGAAATGGGAGGCGAAAAAGCGAGTTAACGTTGCCATGAAATCGTCTATGAAATGTGAATGTAATTTAATGAATAAAATGCATCTAACCCCCATCCCACAGCCACTTGCAGATAGATGATTCACATTTTCTGGTTTTGGCTCTTTCAAAACTTTTTCCTCTCGCAATTCTCACATTCATGCGGTTCATTTGCGCAGCCATTGAGATTTGAATAGCATTTTTAATTGGTACATTTTACGCAGCCATCCTTTGAGCACAAAGGCGCCTCCTGCCCCTCTTTTCTCCTCCTTTGAGCCGGCCATCCACTTTGATTTGTATTTATTTAATGAGTTATTAATTGCATTAAGCTCTCGACGTTTGCCAACTTTGCAATTATCAAATAAAGAAAGCAGGGGGGGAGGGGGATACTTGGCTTTTGCACGCAACCAGGCTGAAAACTATGCAACTAGTTTTCATAATTTGCTGCTCCAAAACACAACAGGAGAAAGTCACATGTCGGTTATAAAAAAATGTATTATACTTTTCAGCGCCAGTTCATTATAAAGTGGATTTCTTTTAAAACCGTTAATAAACTTGCTCATTCGAATTTTTACATTTTTATGATAGCAGCATACCTTTAATTTAAATCATTTTCATTTTTCAAAAGCATTGGTATTAAATAAGATAGTTAATCTAGGTTTAAAGAACCACTCTTCTTGAGGCAACTTTCATATTTCAACAGCAAAAAACAGAATACCATTACAAAATATAAGTATACAAGTAAAAACAATATATGTATATTTTTAAAATAATATTTCTTAAGGTGATTGTTATACCCGTCACTCGTAGAGTAAAAGGGTATATTGTATTCGTGCAAAAGTATGTAACAGCTAGAAGGAAGCATTTCCGACCCTATAAAGTATATATATTCTTGATTAGGGTCACTAGCCGAGTCGATATAGCCATGTCCTTCTGTCCGTCTGTCTGTCCGTCTGTCTGTCCGTATGAACGCTGAGATCTCGGAAACTTAAAAAGCTAGAAGATTGACAATTTGCATGCAGATTTTAGTAGTTTCTACGCAGCGCAAGTTTTTTTTTCAAAAGGGTGCCACGCCCCCCTCTAGCGCCCACAATCGCTTATATACGATTTTAAAAATTTCAATATTTTGGAAAAGTAAAAATGCAGTTTTGTGGTGTTTATCAATACCTATCAAAATGTAAAAAAAAATTTTTTAAATCGGAATATTCGTTAAAAAGTTACGGCGGATCAAAGTTTTTATCTCCATCTCCTTCGCACTCTCTTTAGCTGAGTAACGGGTATCTGATAGTCGGGGCACCCGACTATATCGTTCTCTCTTGTTTTTATAACAATTTATAGGAACTCGATAAACTAAGTTTAACCCAGGTTTAAATTAGAAATAATACATTTTGCTAATATTTTTAATGATTTTATGGTTTTTACAAGGGAGATTTTTCCAAATAATCTACATGTTTAATGATTATAATATACATTTTGGTTAAATATTTAGTTTGAATTTTTTTTAAAGAATAACTTGTTGTTCTTCATAAATATCCCAAGTTAAAATTCCACATCGACTTTTTATTAAATTTCTACGGAAAGCACTTGACTTTAGATATATATGTATATGCATCTATATATAAAGGGGAGGAAATGACAGATACTCCGCGACATTATATTCCAATTTCGATTTAAATTTTTGCCTGCTGTGGCCCTGCCGGCGGGCAGGAATAAGAAATACAAAAAAAATAAAAAAAACAGAAAAAAAGGGAGTGGAGTCCGGGAAACCGCAGCAGCAACTCGACATAATGATTGTGATGAGGGGCGATTATGTCATCGTGGATGGGCACAGGACACAGAGGACTCGACACACTTGACTTCCGCCCGAGGGGCGGGGGAGGGGGAGGGGGAGGCGGGCGAGATGTTTGCCATATTGTGTGAAAATTTATGTTGTGCGCTATCCTGCATTGGTGGTGGTTTCCGGCAGCTTCCAGTTTTATTTTGTGATTAAAATGTTTGTCATTATCCGGTTGGAAAATTGTCACAAATTGTGTTTGTGCCGCGGGCCGTGCCACACTTGTTTATTTGTCCTTATCCACAGCCACATCTCGGTATCTGGCATCCTTATCCCTAATTGCCGCATTGTGTCCCATTGTGTGGCCATCGAACCTGCGATGCGATCTCGCCCACCGTCTCGAGCCCGAATCCCCCAACCCGAACCGAGCCAAACAGGTTGTTTGGGAAAGTCGGAACTCTCGGTTCCACCGCTCAGTTGCAATCTGTGGGACGCGATCAATGGATCAAGACTAAAGCTTTTGGATTACAGTGAAATGTGTACCTACTAAGAGTTATCGAGATATTCACCAGTCCTGATTTAATATTTGGGAATATTTTATAATATTTTTAATACATTACAAAGTGTTGATAATTTATCAAACAAAAATTTAACGAAAATTTAGAAGGTATGTATGTAAATCCCAATACCACCATTAATATATATTTATTCGATTCGAACCTGAATACATATTAGATTTTATTGACGTTAAAAGCTATTTTTAATAGTGTCCGCTTAGGACAACCTTAGGACTTAAAATACTTATTCAATTTAATACTTTAGATAAATTAATTTATTTGGAATAAACCACTTTTCATTAACAAAATACAATACTTTTATTCGTTTTGAACTAAACACCAGTCTTGCGTTCGATGGATTATATCTAGGTGTGATATAAAAATATATTGTGTGTAAAATCTGACAAATATCTTCGATTTTGGGGTCCAGTGGAGAGTGATTTATTATCGTCCAATTATTGTCTTTTGATTTACGATTATTTAGTAGTAGGTGCAGAGGTAGTAAAGAGTGCTTAAAACTATCACTATACTATGATATTTCCCATTCCTTTTGCGAATATCACATGCTTTCACGGTTCATCATTTTTTACACCTTGTTTCAAATGCTTGGGTTCATAAAATATTTTGTTTAAAGATCTTTTACAAGATATAATACTGTTTTTGGTGGTTCATCAGTGCTGCTCTTGGGCATTAATTTTTTAGTTCATCCGGTCTGTTCTGTTTCGTCTTTATATTTTTTATGAACATTTTATTCTTTAATTAAGGGAAGTACCTTAGTACGGACTGGACGGTGCGGAATTGTGGATTTTTTAAGTATTGACATCAGATTGTTGAAAGTGACGTTTAACTGGAATGATAAATGACATTGATTGATTATATACCGAGTTTTAAAATTTTTAATAAAAAGAAAACACAATTTCGATGTGGAAACTCTGAAATCCAAAAGTCCATAATTTACAATAGAAAAGAAAGAAAGAAAAATTGTTTAAGTTCTTAAGATTGGATAATCATTATTATATCCATTTCACAAGTAATTTAAAATCCACAAATTTGCGACTTTATGTAAAGTATGCAGGATTGCGTTGAACGGGTTTTATTTACCTTTTCGGAACGGTCGCAATATTTCGGGGGCATCTGGTTGACTAGCTCTAGGCACCATTTCTTGAGGGTTAAGGCGTCGGTTGAACTAAGGTAAAAGAAGTGGTCCGGATAGCCGATGTCCAGGAGCTCCTTATTATCGCCCATCAGGAGGCGCAGCAGCAGCTCAATCGTCTGTACCAAATTGACCAGCTCCTCCAACTTAAGGCGCCTGGCCCTGGTCATGGTTCCGTCGCCCCAATTTGGCGGCTCGTTGGCCGGCAATAGTTTCACAGCCTCTACCAGTTCATGGAGCTTACGGAAACGATGCATGGTGACCTCCAGATGAGGCAATCGGCGGTGCAGCACCTCCCACAGCAGGCAGACAGCCAACGGACGACCGCGGGAGCACTGCGATAGCACCTCGGCCAATTTGAAGAGGCTCGTGTCCTGGCACGCATTCACCTCCTCCAGATCAATCAGCAGTCGCTCGACCATCATGTGCACCTGTGGGTAATAGTTATAGGGGTATAACAATATTACAAGGTATTATGTACGGTATATTGAAATCAAATTTCCTTTGGGCTAGCTATTGGACAGCTTTATTGGGAAACTAAATATTATTTGAAGAAAATAAACATAAACCTTTATTTCAAAAAAGAAAAGAAGGGGAAAATATAGGTTCGATTTTCTGAAAAATGTTTAATTTTCACAACCAAATATTTATCACACTTGTAATGCGGTCATTAAAATATCTGAAACATATAACCAACCATGCCAAGTCGAAAACAAAATTTTAGTTCTTTATGAAATAAAAAAAAATTAATATGAAATCGGAGAACTCGATGTATGTATGGGTAATAGTTTAACCTACTTTAGTACCAAAATTATAACTGAAATATTTATTTTCTGAACTCACTCATAATATACGAAACTCACGGTCATGGGCTGCACGCATTCGATGCGATCCAGAAAGCGATTCATAAGTTTGGTGCGTAGGCTTCGGTCGACATCCGTCCTTTTATATTCCACCAGGATGAGGATACTGAGTGCGGCCAACATTGGGTGCACACGGTCCAGTTCCCAGAAATCGGCACCCCGCAGGAAAATTGTGTAATTACGAGCGATCTGCTGCAGTTTCGAATTGGGATCGGATTCAATTTGTCCAGCAGGTTGTCGAGCACATGGAAGTGCGCATGCGGACTTACCTTGATTATATTCTTATTGCCATCGAAATACTTTAGGTATTGGGCCAGGTAAGTGCTTTTCACGAAGGGGAAAAGTTGCCTACGAACACTCAAAGTCTTCATATTGCTATTAGGGTTATTGACTACGAACAAGATTCCTTTATAAAATGCGATTACCGGCCTGCGATGAAAGCAGAGTTGTCATCTGTTTCCGGAACTGAAGTACTCAGAACTTTTGAGGTTAGAAACCGAACTTTGAACCAGTGCGGTGATTTATTCTTTAGATTTGTTCACACTGTGTTTTTCACACTTCGTTTGTGGGTACAGTGTATTTAAACTAAAAAAGGCTTTTCCGACTAATCATATAATATTACATTCAGGGGATTCCCTTAACTGTTGAATTGCTGAATTGTTGAAAATTCAACAGAAAATTTCAGCAAATAAGGGGACGACCCTAAATGAATCCTGTTGAATTCTTAAACAGCTGTTATTTGTTAAACATTTTCGCAAATCTCAAAGTATGTAAATATTGTCTTTTTATTGCTAGTTACTCTCTAAAATTGGTACCGAGGAATGAGTAACTACAAATATACATTCTAATTGTATTTTAAAGTAAATAATTCGTACTGATGATACTAAAATTCTACAGAGTTGTCAAGACTTTCATTAAAAATTGTGACAACTCTTGTTTTTAGCAATTCAACAACATTTTTTGTTGAATTTTTAACAATTCTGCAATTCAACAGTTTAGGGAATCCCCCTAGAATCTTCTTTTTATCAATATTCATATTCCTATCAATAACTTCTCCAATTCCCCCGTCGCGACTCAGTCGACATGGATATTTCTCAGATGACAAAAATTTGTCATAATTGGTGGGTGGATTGGTTTTGATTTCACTTGCACCGGGGCTATCATTTACATACAAATCTTATACTTGGCATTTGTGTAAACAAGAACTTCATTAGTAAACAAAAAGTAGGCCGCCCACAGGAGGGGTTGAGGTGGATGTTTATAAAGCTGAAGACAAAACCCAAATCCGCAGACGAATCTAAAGCCAAAAAACTCGATTCCCTTTCAAACGCCACAAATCAGCGGATAATGACATGAAAATCTGTTGGCTTTTGTCATGCCCCGCGGCCTGAACGACCGAAAAGTGGAAAATAAGTTGGGTGGGGTGGGTTGGAAAAGTGTTGAGAAAAGTGGGGTGGACAATTTGCCTTAAATTAGGCGTAAAATGCACAGATTGGCTGCAAACACCGCACACAAGCGCCTCATCAGGTCGCTCCACCCCAAAAATTAAAGGGTAGCTGTTCGCCACTTGTCATCATTATCAAGATTATTATTATCATCGGCATCAGGAGCGAACCCGATATGCTTGTTAGTATTTATTGCCATAGTTGAGCATCCATAAGACCAAATAGGCTGCAATTAAGCTCAATTATATTTGTACTGTTTAATTTTTGCCATGGAATGCAGATAAATTATTGGGGTAATTTCTGAAAATATTATACCATTTCATATTTTCTTTGGATATTTCCTTAAAATAAAAAAACAAAGGTTTCTAACTTACAAAACGTATAGAAATTTTGAGTGTAGAACCCACTTTCGGTTAGACGACATTAATTAAAGACGTTGGAAAATCGGGTTTTCACACTTATCGCTGATTTTTGATTATCGATAATCCGATTGGCAGAATTGTCTTGACAATCATAATATAACCTCACTTTTAGCTACATTGAGGTTACGTTGCAGAAAGAGAGGTTAGGTTTTTACCTCTTACCAATGTGTTTTTATAAACAAATACATGTGCATAATTAAAAGCAAAAAAGAAAAGCATATAACACGCATACAAAGGTAACGGTGTCTTGGTTGAAAAAAGTTGTTAATCTTTTCATGCCGGCGCATAATTAAAATGTGAATATGGAAATTTCAATGGGAATCTGTGCAAAATATGCCCCAAAAAAATAAACAGGGGGCTAAAAGGAAAAGAGGCGATAAAAAGGCAGAAGAAAAGAAAAAAAGACCAAGCTAAAGAGAAGGACCCACACACACACACACAGAGCAACTTAACGGTTTGGTGTTATGGCCATCTCGCTTGCACCTTTTGCGCTTTTTACCGCCGAGCTTTGTGTGTGTGTGTGCAAGTAATTGCGAAATATGAAATATGAATGCATAATGAGCAGATATTTCCCAAGTACGAAAGAAACTTCAAGCGGCAGTGGGCGTGGCAGGTGCAAAAGAAGGAGGCGGAAACGGAGGCCAGGTGACTTTAATGCTAAAATGCGCACATCGCGCGTGCATTTGCATTTTGCCAGCCTTTTCGAAAGCGGCGCAAGGACAAGCACAAATACACACAACCAAAAGCCAGCAGTCAAACACACACACACACATGTAGCATCATATCAACTACAGTAAATATCCAATAAATCGACGATATACATATGTATCTAAAGTTTAGGATTTAGGATTTTATTTATTACAAATTATTATTTTACCAAAATTTGATATAAATTAACAAAACATTTTAGTTGTTTTATAAATATTAAAAAATTATTAATATCTTATATAAATCTTTTCAAAAATCACAAACATTTAAGCACGAATTTGTTTTTCAATATTTTAAACTACTTTGCAATTTTTGCCAATAAAACCCTATAATCATAAGTTCATTTTTCCTGATTCCCCTGTATTCGTCTTGCTGCTGTGCAAAAGAGGTTGAAAAACATGTCAAAATGTTGGGAAGCTCATTAAAATAGCGTTGGCCATTTGCACACATTTCTCAGTCGCTAATTTGCTGGGTATGGGGGATATCCTTGAAGGCCCCTTTTTCCTGCCCATAAGTAATATTTCCGTTTTCCATTTTCCAGCCTAAGACCGAATCAAATGGAGGAATACCCCATGAACCATATGGTGCGACCCCAGGGCTTCAGTTTGGAGGAGCTGCGTCAGACTTTGGGTCAGTCCGTCATTCGAGAACAATGCTACTTCATCTATGGCACCTGCAATGTTCTCGAGGTAAGCTATTCGTGGCATGAGGATATTTGGGTATAACGTTTTTGCCCAGATTATCGCAGGATTCGATGAACTGCTCAACCAGGAGGAGATTGAGTTCGGAGCGGAGCAACTGGCTCCGGTGTATGTGACCGGGATGATGGTATATCTACTCAATCACGAGGATATGGCGGCGACCCAGGTGAAGAGGACACTATTCCTGCAGAAGTGCTTCGATTATCTGGCCTGCACTGAGGAAACGCACGTGAGTCTACAAATATAAAGATATGTTTTAGAATTTCAAGAATAATTTTAATCAATAAAAGTAAAACTAATAAATAAAACTATTTAAAATTTATAATAAAACTCAAAAATGTTTTTAATCAAGACCTAAAATATTATTATTATATTATCCTCTCCGCATTATAGAATCAAATTGAATTCACAAAAGTAAAAAATAAAATAAAAATTTTAAACAAAAAACTATTTAAAAAAATTCCAAAAACCAATACAGAGCTCTATTAAATAATCATCTGTTCCCCCCACAGATCCACCAGATATGCGTGTATATCCTGGTATATCAATAAAAGTAAAACTAATAAATAAAACTATTTAAAATTTATAATTAAACTCAAAAATGTTTTTAATCAAGACCTACATATATATTTTTATTATATTATCCTCTCCGCATTATAGAATCAAATTTAATTCACAAAAGTAAAAAATAATATAAAAATTTTAAACAAAAAACTATTTAAAAAAATTCCAAAAACCAATACAGAGCTCTATTAAATAATCATCTGTTCCCCCCACAGATCCACCAGATATGCGTGTATATCCTGGGCCTTTTGGATGCCAACGACTCGAGCGTAATGCTGAACCTGATCCTCTGCTGCCGGGTGGCCAGTCCACTGAGCACAATGGCCCGCGTGGTGGGCAACTGTCTGCTCTGGGCCATGTTGGATCGCCTATCGGACTTGGGCCTGGACTCACACCGATTGCGGGCATCTGGGACTCTGCTGCTCGTCGTCGCGGTGGTGAAGCCCCGGATTTACGTTCAATCCTATCTGCATGCCCTGCACCTGGTGGTCCGCTTGGTGTCCAGTCTCCTGGTGGTTGGACCACTCGGTGCACATGGCCAGCAACTTTGCCAGGAAACCGGTGTGCCGGAAGAACTGATGCAACTCTCCAAGGAGGACTCCTCGATTTTGGTGCGCTGGCTAATCGCTATCGTTGAGGAGCTGCGTCCGCAAATGGTGCAGAACGAGGATCTGGGACACCTGCATGAGCGTCTGGTGCTCCTGGAGGCCATATGTGAGCTCATGCAACTCCTGCATGGCCATTTGGTTAAGTGCTACCAGGAAAGAAAAGATCTGGCACCAAAGTAGCTTGCAAATGTGGTAGATTTAGCAATTTCAAGTTAAAAGCTTTTGGGATCCTAAACATTTTTATCAATATAAACACCACTTTTTATAATATTCTTATAATATTAAATAATAGTTTTTCGGAAAAACTTTTTCCCTCAAATAAGTCTCAACGTTTTAAAGCTAAGCGTCTCGTGATTTTAATGTATATAATAAAAAAGCTCAAGCTTTTCATTTAAAACTTAGTTGGAAAACGCAATGGCTACCATTTACGTGATAAAAATAACAATTCTATTCTGTAATGGCGAGCGCTGAGTGATTTGAATGTCTCTTGTAAGCGTAAATGCTTAGCAAATAATCCGGGAAGTGCTCGAATATTGGGTTAATCTTCTCCTGCGTCTTGCACATAGACCATCGAGATTTACTCATCCAAAACTGAATCCAGCCACTGCTCCACATCGTTCTTGCTAGCTGCCGAGGAAGGCGTGGCGGGTTGCACCAAGGGCATGGGCATGGGCATGGGCATTGTGATGGGCCCAACGGGTCCGGAGCCCACAGCCAGTTGCGTATTGGTCATGGCCAAGAGCTCGTCGAGTTCATCGGGCTCAGCAGCCGGGACGATAGCAGGAGGCGCTGGTTTCTCCCCTCCTGCAGGTGCTGCTGCCTCTTTTTGCGATTTAGCTGAGGCCGCTCGGGATTTGTTAGCGCCGTTGGAATCCTTGAGGACGTGCTGCTGGTAAACGACCTCGGCCCGCTCGGCGGCCTCCTCCTGGGCGACGATCTGCGCCCGCGTGAACATCGAGGCGGGATAGTCCATGCGCTTGTAGAACGGTATCGTTTGCAGGCCCGCATTCAGGCGGGTCAGGTTCAGGGTGAAGTAACCACTGGCCGCCTTGGTGTGCAGCTTGGTCTGGCCCTCGGCCACGCTGGCCCATTCGCGTTCCGAGCCGAAGGTGAAGTGTCCGCCGCCGAGGCTGGGGAACTGGGCCAACTGCTGGAAGTCACCGGCGCGCAGCTGGGCACGGGCATTCTCGTCGATGGGGGCGCCATCGAGGCCCATCTGCTCCACGTCGTCGGTGTCGCTGGGCAGGGTGTCCAGCAGGTCCCTGTTCCGTTGCGGTGCCAGCGAGGAGCGACCTTGTGCTCCTCCTCCTGCTCCGCCGGATTGCCAGTTGCCACGCCTGGGAAACCTGGGCTCATCGCTCGAATCCGCCACGTCCACCATGCTGCGACGCGAGGTGGGCGGCGGAGAGCCCGACGAGGTGGTGGATCGTCCCTGATCCTTTTTGTGGTGATGATTGTATTGCTTCATGTTCCTGCGCTTCCTGGGAGCAGAGCGAATGTGAGTGCTAAGCGAAAGGACGCGGACTGTTACGTTGCACTTACTCCTTGGATCGATCGTCCTTGCCGGACATTTTGGAGGGGGTCGTGTTTGTGGTTTCCGGGGTGTTATTTCTCGGGTAATTCCGATTCAAAATCGGATTGTTTACGTCTGCGGTGGCGATGAAGGAGCGAGCAGGACGGAGATAGCAACAAGCAGCTGTTCGCTGAACAGCGGTCAGGGTTGTCAGGTTACCAATATGTTGGGCCAGCTCTTGAGCTGATTATTTAAATATAAATATTATAAAATGAAAATTAATTTTCCCACAGCTCTAGTTAATTAATTAATTATTGAAATATTTCAAAACTAAAAGCATGTCTCATTTCATTTTTATTCTTAGTTACTCTCTAAAATTATTAAAAGAATATACATTCCAATTTTAAGGTAAACAATTCTGTAATACCAAATTTAATTTAAAAATTATCTCCTATAAACCTTGTGTAAACTACCCTGGCAACCCTGTCAAACAGCTGACAGCGATAACTTTGCTGCGGACTCGCACAATCTATCGATAAGTGCTTAGAAATTAATAATTCTTTGTACAATTCCTTGGCAAACAGAGCACGAGCACCGCGGCTGATGTTGGGCTTTCTGCAGGGACTGCGAGGCAGCGGATCCGCGACGGAGCAGCTGCCCGGCGACATATACAGCGAGTTCTTCGCGGACATCCTTCGGGAGGCCAGGGAAAGCGGATGCAAGCCGGGCGACCAGGAAACACCGCAGGGATTTTCCATGCTACGCAGCTTCGATACGGAGAACAGCAATCAATTGGAGCCGCCGGCGGCCACGGACGAGGATGTGTGGATCTTTGGCTACGGGTCGCTGGTGTGGAAGGCGGACTTTCCCTACATAGACCGGCGACGCGGCTTTGTTTGGGGCTTCAAGCGCCGCTTCTACCAGCACAGCATCGATCACCGCGGAATTCCAGAGCGTCCCGGCCGCGTGGTCACTCTGCTGCCGGGCGATCCCGCCGAGGATCGCGTCTACGGCGTGGCTTATCGCATTGCCGCGAGCCAAAAGGGCGCTGTGCTGGATCATCTGGATTACCGGGAGAAGAATGGCTACGAGCGGTGCAGCTTGGAGTTCCACGAGTACCAGAATACCACCGCTGCTGGCGGCGGTGGCGATCCCATCCAGGTGATCATGTACGTGGCCACGCAGGCCAACGACTCGTATGCCGGCGATGTTTGGCAAGTGCCCTGTATCGCGAGGCAAATCTTCAGCTCCGCCGGTCCCAGTGGACCCAATCGCGAGTACCTGTTCAACCTGGCCGCCGCCATGGAGCAGCTATTTCCCGGTGCCGTTGACGAGCACCTGGAGGAGCTGGTGGCCTGCGTGAGGCGTCACATTGACGAGGATGAGCCCCAGCTGATGCAGCACGCCCTGTTGCGAGAGATATCCGGGATCATGAAGGAGGAGCAGCTGCCGGAGCAGGCACAGCTTCTTGAAAAGCTTCTGGAACGTTGCCAGCAGCCTGGCGGACGTGAGTGGCTGCTCCACGGGGCACTGCAGCCCAAGAGCGAGGCGTGACCCCCACCTTTTCCACTAGAAAATTACTATTTATTATAAATACCAATGAGCCTGGGTGGTTTTTTTTCTAAATACACCATTCCAAATAGACCGATTATAGTGACGTGGTACCAAGAATCATAATTACTTTGTAATTGGTAAAACCACAGATGCAATTGTGATTTAAAATTAATAAACTGACCATGTACTTACAAAATACATTTTTAATTGATTTTCAGGTCTGAGAACAGAGTTTATTTTAGGTAAAAAACAATAGAGGACGCTATAGTCGGGTTGGTGTCCCGACTATCTAATACCCGTCACTCGGCTAAAGGGAGTGCGAGGGAGATGGATATATAACATTTTTTTGATTGCGTATAACTTTTTAATGAATGGTCCGATTCGAAAAATGTCTTCTACATTTTGATAGGTAAGTTATACACAACAAAATTGCATTCATACTTCTCGCAAAATCTTTAAAGGTGTGGGAGCCAGACACATTTTATAATTGTTAGTGGGCGATTGTGGGCGTTAGAGGGGGCGTGGCGCCCGGCTGAAATAGAATTGCGCTGCGTAGAAACCCAAGAATATATGTGGGAAATCTCAATCTTCAACCTTTTGTAGTTTCCGAGATCTCAGCGTTCATACGGACGGACAGACGGACATGGCTATATCGACTCAGCTAGTGACCCTGATCAAAAATATATATACTTTATAGGGTCGGAAACGCTTCCTTCTCCCTGTTACATACTTTTGCACGAATACAATATACCCTTTTACTCTACGAGTAACGGGTATAATAAAGAAAAGAACACGTTTTTGGCCGGATGATTCAAATAAATCTGCGCTGATAATAATATGAAAATCTAATCTCTAAATTTATAATTCAGGAACCACAATACAGATAGCATTTGGCATAGCATTAGATTTAAAATTTTTATTTTGGTAGTGGGAATTTTTTATTAAATAAATGAATTGAAAAACACATCTAATAAAAAAAGAATAGAAAATAGCCCGTCCTTATATCTTGGAATCAATTTGTATAGTGCACCTTAAACTTTATTATTTATTTATGCAATTGACAATATTATTTGTGTTCTCGTTTACAAAAACAAATAAAATATACATATATTATACATCTATTGGAACATACGCATATGTATATGGGCACTTCCATATTGTCGCTCGGGATATTTGCTCACCTTTAAAGTTTAAAAAAAATTGGAAAAAATTGATTTTATTTTTAATAACGGGCTTTCCTTTTCACTCTTTCCAAGCTCTATTTTGTGTAAACATCTTGATTTTGTACCACTTTTAGTTTTTATGATATCGTTAAAAACTGCCGTATTCGCTCGGGACAAAAATAGAAGTGATTTTCGGGGAAGTTCATTTAACACTAGAATTCAGCGAATTCTGATGGAATATTTCAATGCGATTTTTTTTAGAATGTTGTCCAAATGTGTCGCTGTGATATGGTTTTGGTTTTACTCAAAAATGGTTTGCCGTTTTTTTTTTATGCAGTTTCAACCACATTCGCTCGGGACATTTTTTCTTAGCGTTTTGTAAAGTGTATTTCTTTACCTCTATCCCTCAATTACTGGCTGTTTTGCTTTTAACTTAATAGTTTAACATTTAAATGAAGCATTCAGTACAGAAAAATGTCAGATATTAGCATTCCTAAAGGATAAATTCACAACTGAAGACGGGTCCAAAAAATAACAAAAAAATAGCCAAAAACTGATTTTTGCGTAATATCGGGGCAAAATCATGTGGTTTCAAGGTTTTTGGCTTGGTGGACTTTTTGGTGGAAGTGCCCATATGTATGTATATGTTTCAATATACTCTTGTTAATGCTGGCCAAAACTTTCGTCTATAACGTTTTGGGCCTTATCATCATTTCAACAAAGGTAAGCGAGTAGTTGAAATCGTAGTTATGCCAGGAACCCCAAGAAATTCCATTTGTTTTGTTATCGTGTGTGTGACCCTCTTTATAGAACTTTCCATTTAGCCTACTGTAAATTCAAGTGCTTTCATTAATATGGTCAAGTAGTCATTATTTGAATATATTTACCTCTGAGAACAGGACTTGTACCACCATCCACCATTTTCACCGTTGGCGCAGTTATGCACATGTTCGTCATTTTTCCTGTCAAACGTGCTGAACCTTTTGTTCTTATGATATGTGAGAGAATCGCCGGCTGTACCACTATAAATCCCCAGTGATTTAAGCTCATACAATTCTTCTTCACTTGCAATCTTAAAGTCATCATAATGAGCGTAGGCTTTGGATCCATTTACCATGCCAAGACTAATGTAAAGTTCGTGTGGTCGCGCCTCAGTCATCACGTGCAATCTCTCCAGTCCGATGAAAAACTCTCCCATTATATTTCCGAATCCCTTTTTGAAGTTGTTCCAATTTCGAGCGAACTTTTCGGAGCCGTCAAAACGTTTTTGAATTGTTAGCCAACCTTTTGAGTTGCAGGGCGCTTCGAATGTATTCATTCCGCGTATTTTCATGGAGTAAATGCCACTTGGTCCTTCGATGGGACAGGAATCCTGAGGATTGCACTTAGCAAGTGCATCTGTTATGTTGGTTATTTTTTCCGCATTCGATCTTATCTGATTATTGAGGCCATCGATTTGGCTATCTTTGGCATCCTTGTTTTTGATTTTATTTCTCAGACTTTCAATATTTTCTGTCAATTTAATAACTTTGTAATTTTCGGTTTCTAGCAATTTATTTTGCTCTTTTATTTGAGAGTCCTTAATTTGCGTTTCTTTTTTAGCTATTCCCAACTCTCTCTCCCACTTGGCTATAGTGTCGGTCATAGCATTAATTTGTTCATCTTTGTTCTCGAGTAGTTCCCTTTGATCAGTTAAATTTTTAATGCAGCTATTCAGATGATTAGTTTTTTCACTGATTTGACCGCCTCTTGTTTCGATTTCACCTTTAGCAGTTGACAACTCACCACGCAAATATTTAATATTTTCTGTCAATTCAATAACTTCGTTTTTTTTTACTTTTTAACTGTTCAATTTGATCCCTGATTTGAAAACTTTGTTTTACGATTTCACCATTTAAATGTTTAATGGTTTCTTCCGCAGTTGCTACTTTTTCCTCAATTTGTACATGGTGATCGAGAAAGATACTCATAACTGAAAAACAATATCCGTTGCAATGATTTCCTAATGACTGTGTTGAAGAATTGTGACCTAATTCTTTAACGTGGTCTGCACTGATATCAGATGGCTGTTTTAAAAGCCAAGCCGACAGAAAAAACACCAAGTACGATTTCATTATGTTAGAAGCTCTGCCCAATTGAAACTATACTCATCAAAAGCCAATTGGGCTTTATATAAAGGCAGAAATCGTGTATTTGCCACTTGTGCAGAAATGGAAGGAAATAGCAGATAGTGAACTTTTGAACCCGCCTGATAAGCTGACTCTAACAAGCAAAGATTTCGATTTTTTACCCATATTAAAATAATCGTTTGGGATTTTCTATGAACGTTTTCAAAATTAATGAGTTTCATACATACCTATATAATGTGGGTATTACCTAGAGTTGTGACTAGTATTGCATTAGTCATTTCATTAGAAATAAAAAAAAAAACAGTGCTAATAAAAACACTTTTTATTGGAATTGAAAAAAGTAATGCTACTGAAAACCAACTTCATTAGATTGTCAAAATAGTAATGCTACTGAAAAATATTTCATTGGCATTAAAAAAAGGAATGTTACTGAAAACCAGGGACCGAAAATAACAGTTATTTTATTTATTAAAATCATACGCTTAGGATAACACTAAAAATTTGAGAAAAAAAATGTCTTTCTTTTTTCCCCATTGACGAGGATGAAAAATATTTGAACCGCTAATTCTATTCTATTGATTAACATTCAATCTCTAAAAAGCAACTAATGATAGACTAGGGATACGAATTAGCGTGTTCTTGAGATCTTTTTCTTGAAAAAGTGATAGCTTTAATGAACAAAAAAGTAAGTTTTTCAAATAACAATGGAAATTACATTTTTTAACTATCATTACTTTTTTGAATTACATTTTTAAGTAGCATTATTTTTGGGGACTTTAATGAAATATATTTTCAGTAGCGTTGAAAGCATCCAATGCCAATGAAATGTGCTTTCAGTAGCATTACTTTTTTTTAATGCCCATGAAATATTTTTAACAATCTAATGAAAAGTGTTTTCAGTAGCACTACTTTTTTCATGGTATTTCAAAAACAATGCTAATGCTTATAGACACAACTCTGGTATTACCGAAAATGTCGCATTTTTGAATTGTTGAATCTTGAACAAAACATTTCAGCAATTAGGGGAACGACCCTAAATTGTTGCCGATATCTAGTTCGATTTTAAATTAAATAATGCGTACTGGTGATACTAAAATGTTACAGAATTGCCGTAACTTTTAAAAAAATAAGGTGACACTTCTGGTTGATCAACAAAATGTTTAACATCTGATTCGGGAATCCCATTTAATATTTGTTATTAAATAATTCGTAGGGTAGTCATTTTGCACCGTGTAACTTATCGATAGCTATCGATGAAATTTTTGTTTTAATCAACACTACCACCAAAACAAAAACAAAAACAACAACAACGGCCAACAACAAGCCAAGCCAAAATTAAATTTCCTTTTGTTTTGCTGAAGAAATAGCTGAATTAACGAGAATCCCCGAGGGAATTACCACCGCTTCCGTTCCCACCACATTAGGCAGAGGTCAGAGGTCGGCGGTCGGCGGACAGCGGGCAAAGGCGAGGCGCGGATAAAGCTGGAACCCAAAGAGGAGTCCGCGAACGCAGAGTGGCCATTAATTGGATTAGCAAGCGAAACCAGAGGAAAAGCGAAGCGAAAACCCGGGAGCATTCGCCATTGAGGTCTGGCCCAGCAACGTGACCGCAACCAGGAGGTCCTAGTCCAAGGCGAACCCAAGGGAGGCAGGCCGGGAATACCCAGAGATCGGAATCAGCGCCGTCGTCCGTGGAACCAGCGACTCTGGCGACTCGGTTATGCCCATCGCCTGCCCTGGTACGCCGGCGGGGAACAGTCGCCAAGCTTGGCGTCCATCGACACACTGAGGCTCACCCACGGCCAACGTCCACGGCAGCTGGCGCTGGCCATGTCCCTGCTGCTGCCCCGAGGCGGCCAGGAACCGGGAACCGAGTCCAGCGACACGGACAGCCCCGCGGAGGCGGAGGCGGACGCCCTCGTCGACTTCACGGCGATGCTGCAGCGCCAGCAGAGCCACCAGCAGCAGCGGGCGTACGGCGGCGGCGGTTGGTTCGGCTGCGGCAACAAGATGCAGTCGGAACAATCAGAGGATCAGGGCTACTACCTGGAGCAGTATGTCCTTGGCGTGCTCGACTTCAGCTCACAGTATGGGATCGACTATAGCATCTCGTATACGGCGGCCAATGTGATTGGCAGGCCAACGAAATTCCCCGCCTACGGCGACTATCCGGAGACCTTTCCCATGGTGAGTCCACCCGGCCCGTGCAGCAGAACGCCTCGTTTAGAGTTCCCCTTAAACTCTCGCCCGCAGCGCACCTACGGCGACTGGTGGCAGCGGGCTCCGTCGGCCACGCGCGAGATTCAGCCCCAGAATCTGCCAAAGCTGACCACACACGACTATGTTGGTAAGGTTCCGAGCAAGAGGTTATCTTTGCACTAGGCTTATATGAAAACCATTGTCGCTATAATACCTTTGGGTTAAGAAAACTAGTAGTTAATAACCTGTAGGAATAGCAACCACTATTTATAGAGGTTTATAAGGCTTATTATAAGGCTGTAATAAAAGCTTTAAGCTCCTTAATATAGCTATTTTACCAGATTATTACTAAGAAATCTTCAGATTTATCTGTACTTAATAACGATAGAATGCATAGGCGTTGATAAGGTTTATATGTATACCCTGGCAGAGCTTTTGGTTAGAAAATATACCACATTGACTAGAATAGAACTAGGAAACTTAGAATATATCTATAGGTAATCCTCCGTAAGAAGAAAAATCACTGTTTCTAGAGGTTTAGAGGGTTTATTACTGGTAATAACAGCTACTGCTTAGTCAATATACCTATTTTACCAAGTAAATCAGCAGAAAACTACACATAAATGTATAGACAATATATCTATGTAGTTTTGTGGGTTTGTATTTACACCCTGGCACACTTATTGATTAGACATATAATAATTTTAAGGTATAGCTTTTAAATTATTGCTAAAAAAATCTTCAGATATATCCTCTGCAAGGATACAATGCACTATTTCTAGAGGCTATAAAGGTGTATATGTAGTAATGCTAGCTTTGGATTACATCACTTACCTATTTTACCAGCTTAAAGCCAAGAAAACCTAAGATATATCTATAGTTAATCCTCTGCAGGGGTGGAATTCACTACTTTTCGACTCCCACCTAACCACAAGCACTCATTTCATCCCCTTTAGTTGTTTACTTCGAGGAGTTTGTGGTGCCGACGGAGGTGGCCATCTTTGAGACCTTCAATCCGGGCGCCGTGGTTCGCATCTGGGCCTATGGCCTCACCAAACACTGGACATGTTTGTGGGAGGCCACGGAGAGCGATCTTGCACGGCCGGCACTGGACTCGCGTCGCTTTGCTCCGGCTCTAAAGAAGACCACGATGATAACGAAGTGAGCGGACACAACAGTACAATTTTAAATATCAATCCTTATTATTGCAAAACCCACATATTTCACAGGACCTTGCGCATCGACTTTAATCACAGCCAACTCAACTATTATACGGAGATCGATGCCATCATGCTGTGCGGTCGGACTGTGTCCAAAACGCATAATCTGCTGGTCAAGCAGCAGCGGACGCAGCAGCTGCAGAGGCAGGTGCTCGTATCGCCGCCACCAGAGGCGCCTGATCCTCATTCTCAGCGACCAAAAGCCGATGGCAGTGGCGGACCCATTAGCTACAAGCTGCGCACGCTTAAGTTCCAGCCGAATTGCGACGAAGATGGGGCCACCAAGCTGCATGAGTTTATCAACAACGATCTGAGCCAGTTTCTGGCCGAAAATCGAGTGGAGGGCGGCGGCGTGGAAACGCCGATTGTGCCAAGAATCTGCCTCACGGATCTGCCCTTCGAAATCCTACTGCGCATACTCAGCTACCTGGACCTCAAGTCTTTGTTCCGTGTGGGCCAGGTGTCGCGCACCTTCTACGACATCTCCACGCATCCGCTGCTCTACGCCGAGCTCAGCTTGAAGCCCTACTGGCATGTGGCCAGCTCCGAGCTGCTGTGCACCCTGGCCCGCAGGGCCACCATGCTGCGCAAGCTGGATCTCTCCTGGTGCGGCGGCCTGGGCAACGTCTCGCCCACCGAGTTCAAGAAGTGGGTTCATTGGAAACGAATAGGGATTAGTTCTGTTATCCATACATAATCCGCTCTTTCTTTCCACAGATTCCTAACCCAACGCGGCGATAATCTAACCCACCTGCGGCTGAACTCTTGCAAATTCCTCAATGCCAGCTGCATTGAGAATGTGGGCATAGTCTGTGATAACCTGATAGGTTGGTTTTTGTTCGTTTATCACTGAGTGAATGGTTGTGACTAGATCGATATTTTTTAGAGTTGAGTCTGCGCAACTGCGCCACCGATCCGCCGCTGCTGAATTTCTCCTGTCTGGCCAATCTGAAGAATCTGGAGCGACTCGATCTCTTCCAAACGGCCTTTGAAACGGAACTGCTGCTCAGCATGCTAGAGGGCAATCGCAAGCTTAAGCACCTGAATCTTGGTGGGCACCTGAATCTCGGGAATCTTGAATCTTGAATCACGAAAATGCATTATACAATTTTATTTGTTTTTCTGACAGCATTTTGCGGTGTATCGGTGAACATGGACAATGTGGCCGCCCATCTGGCCACCTACAACACGCAGCTTATCTCGCTGGACCTGTGGAAGGCTCACTTTTTGTCGGCCAGAGGACTTCAGTCGCTGGCGCAACTGCATCAGTTGGAGGAGCTCGATTTGGGCTGGTGGTAGGTGGTATTAGCGGCTTATTGAAATGAAATTCCTTACCAATCAATTTATATTCCTAGCCTAAGGGAGGCTTCGCTCGGCGACGGCCTGTTCCAGCTGCTAACCAACTGCCCCAAGCTGAAGAAGCTATTCCTGTCGGCGGTGCGCGGAACCACCGAACGCGATCTCATGCATATTGCCGCCCTCGGCAAGAATCTGGAGCAACTAGACCTCATGGGCATTCTGAACATAACGCACGAGCGTGTTTATGAGTGGGTGTTTATTTTAGTATTCATTTAAATTTATTTATTATTTAATTTTAAATATCTGTTCCCCTTTTTAAAAACAAGTTCATTTAGAAAAAAATTTATAAATTTAGAAATCTACGTTTTTTCTTTGGATTTCTATGTCAAACCGTTTTGGCTGCCGTTTAATCCTCCCTTTTTAAATAGCCGTTATTTTATAAAAGAGCTTATTAAAACATTTCGTTTTATTTCAGCATTCTGGTTCACTGTCCAAAGCTTCAATTGCTCGACCTGAGCTTCTGCGATAACATAATGGATCGGGATGTGAGTAAACGTAAACAGATTTACCATATACTTTCCATTAAAAGCTAATACTTTTCGACTTTTAGTACGATTTGCTGGCGGATTGGTCGCGTCAGTTCAGCGTGGACATCAAGAGCAGTCGGCACCACTAGGCCGAACCGAAGAGGAGTAGCTATTATCCCTGGTACCATGATAAGTGTACTTCTAAATCCTATATGTGTCACTCTCTCTCTGTTTATAGTAAAATGTTATCTATATACCTACTGTTATAAATATGAAACATTTTATATTAAACTTGGCGATTTTTTAATCACTTAACTTAATGCTAAATGGACAGTGTTTTCTTACCTTTACAAGTCGGGAATAAGTATGGATTATATCTTGAATATTGCGAAGCTAAGAAGTAAATATGGGAATTATAACATAATAGTATATCCTATTATATTATAGCATTATAGAGCTTTTTTGATAGGATACTCATTCATAAAAAAGGGAAAGCATGATCATTCCAAAAGTGTTGCGAAGAACACTTGGCTGGAAAGGTGTCATGTATCGCCAGCAGCATGCATCATTATCACATATTTCTTTGCAAATTCTTATACGTTTGCCCAAACAATTCTGTGGCAGACAGATTTTCATTTTGCCGCGAAGTTTGTATATCAGCTTTGGACGCAGATTTTGAGGATCAGGGCTCTATTGGAGGTAAAAACACAGTCGTAGAAATAGACGAATGTAAAATTGGGAGGCGAAAGTTTGAAAGAGGTCGCGTGGTTGAAGGTTCATGGATTTTGGGACTTATACACACAAAAAAATTTGCTTGGTAAAATTGACCAACAAAGATAGCTACGTAACTATTAAAATGGTTATGTGTATTTTGTTTTTGCTTTGGGTTTGTGTCTTTGCTAATTGTGTGTATTTTGTTGTTGTAAAATGACTATTTACTTAGTAGAATTGACAATTTTGCTGGTTGGGGCCTGCTTGACAATTATTACATTCGATTTTACCAAGTTTTTGTTTTGTGTGTACGCGTTATTTATTTAAAAATCAACTTAGGGAGCATATTTGTGGTTCTTTTTACCTTGGTAACAATTTTAGACAGTAACTAGCAATAATAAATCAAATTGTACATGTTTTAAGTTCCGTGAAACTTTTCAACAAATAACAGCTGTTTGAAAATTCAACAGGGTCGTTCCCTAAATTGCTGAAATTTTCTGTTGAATTTTCAACAATTCAGCAATTCAACAGTTTAGGGAATACCCTGAATGCTGTCATTGTTTTTGGGGTTTTTTTAAATTATTTGTAGTTTCTTATGGGCGGTAAAGCCTTTGCAAACAGGTTGCGTGGACCAACATTTAAGCTGTTCCTTGTACGAAAACATCAATGTTTTTAGCTAAGACTGCACTTCGCAAATAATAACTAAAATTAATTAAAAGGGTACTAAGTTCACTAGGGTGGTTTTTTTGTATGAAAAAATTCTAAGGTCCTACTCCCACCTTCTTATACTTTGCGCATTGGTGCATTCAAGACATACCATATTTTTATTAATTCCTCCGAAGTTTTCGGAGTTCATCCGCAATGCACGTAGCATGGTCTTACTCTCAGCAAACAAATCAACTGGCGCCAATTTTAAAATATTACAAAACGTTGGGCCGACCTGGGTCGCAAGCTTTAACGTCGATAGCATCCGGTCCGCTAATTCACTCTATGTCCAGCCCAGAAGCATCGAATGACAGAACCGCCAAAAATAAATTCTTTTTCCACGAGGGTACTTCCAAACCCAAAGCCTGCGATCTGTGTTTAAAAGAAAAACACCCCGTTTGTATATGTCCACACTTTCTCCAAATGCGATTAAATGATCGTTCAGCCTACATCAAAAATAAACAGCTATGCTCCAACTGCTTTGCAAGCAGCCATAAATTGCAGGATTGCAAAAGCGCTAACAATTTTTATGATTGCCATAGTCGGCACCACACATTGTTGCATCCAGACAACACTTTTCCAACGATTTGGAGTCCAAAAACTTCTACTAGGCCATTGTCTGCCTCAATTCCACATAGAATTGCTTCTTTCTCAGCGCAGGTTTCCAACGCAATTAGGATTGCAAAAATTTCCGCTGTCGTCTTTTTAATATAATTTAAAAAAGAAAATGCATCTCGACAAATTTTGTTTTCAGTATGTTCCGGCTGTATTTTATAACTTTATTCTTTTTCCTATTCAAAATAACTTTTCCTTAATATAAATAATTTTTTGTTGTTTTCACTTTGGCATAGAGTTTTAAAGAGTATCTATCAGTTTGTCACTTTACCCTAAAACTGTTGAAAGTGCAAAACGAGAATGGTTCGCGCCAAAAGCTGTAGGATTCGGCTCCGTTGGAATTTTGAATCGCTTTAGAGATGTAAGACACTTTCCGCTTTTACACTTTTCCAAAAGATTGACTTCTATTGGATCATTGGATTGGATCACATTACTGTACACTCCCCTATGTATTTTGTGTTTGATTAAAATTTATTTATACAAAATACCATAAATGTTTTTAGTTTTTGTGTTTTCATATTTGATTTGCCCATATTAAAAGTCTATTTACACTGGGGTGGAGTTATGGAGTTATGGGGTTATTGACAGAACCCTGTTTTTTTTACATAGGCTGTCTATAGGCATCTAGATGTGCGCAAAAATGAGGTACATTTAGGGTCTTTGGTATTTCGGAGTATTTATTTGTATTTTTCGGTATATTTTGTATTTATTTCCTCTCTGTGAAGGTCTATCTCTAGTCAAATAAACAACACAAACAACAAACACTAGATGTCATTACTCGATATTTGGAGTTAACCCAGGGGAAAAATTTTTTTGGAGTAATCGGGTTATTGGCTCACTCGATAGGTTACCCCACATAGTGTGACTAGACTATTAATTTTAATGTAAACGTATTTGATTTAGTGTTGCAAGTTTTCTCTGGGTGTATCGTGGTCAAAAATGAATTCTTATGTGCAAGAGCGGCCGGCTATACATAAGTACGGCCGAGCTGTCGCTATGGTGTGCGAAAGGATTTTATGCTGACACAACATAACTGAACCGCTGCCCGCTTGGTTGCGGAGACACTTGGGTTTATCCGAGTACACTCAAAACATTTTTTTTTCTTAAATATAAAAAAAAATACAGTTTTTCTTAGCTTTAAAGAAATGTTCTATAAAGAGAAAAAATTTTTTAATCTTCAGAAAAATTTTCTAATCTTCAGAAAAAATTCTCTATTGAACAAGTTTTTTTAGAAAAGTTTTTCTCAAATACAGAAAAATCAATTTTTTTTCTAAATTATAAGGTCTATTTTTCTAATCTTCCTTTCTTTATTTGAGGGTTAAAATCGCCATTGATTTTAGAAAAAAAAGACTTAACTTTTCTAAAAATAAAAAAAATTGCCATTAAAATTGTAAATATTTTTACGTAATAGAAATATTGTTTTTCTAAAAACAGAAAAAATGTTTAAACAATTTTCTAACATTTAAAAAAATGAGTGATGTTAAGAAATATTTTTCTAGAAGATACAAAATTTAACCGTATTTGATCAATTTCCCTTCTCATACACTTTTTAGAACAATTTGTTTAAGCCTAAGAAAAAATTGCCATTAATCGAAGAAAATTTCCGGGATTGGTAGCCTAGGGGTCTAACGCGTGCGTGCATGAATGTCTTATTCAAGCTTGCGACTGCAAGTTAGGAATGTCAAAAATATATCAAAATATCAATATATCGATATATTTTGCAAAAAAAAACAGTTTCAACAGTTTAGGGAATCCCCCTATTTATATTGTGATATTTATTTAGCCAAATATCACAATATCGATATTTTATTATACCCTTGCAGAGGGTATTATAATTTCAGTCAGAAGTTTGCAACGCAGTGAAGGAGACGTTTCCGACCACATAAAACGGAATTGAAGTGTTCTTTTCATAGGTGCCAAAATGTTTATATTATAAGTTCAAAATATGAGTACAGTTAACATTTAAATTTGTAAAAATACGTTTGACTAGGGTTGTATATTGTTTATACTTTTCTAGTGCTTTTACATTAATTTTAGGGCAAAAGTCTTTGTTGTTAGCTTATTTACGCGGATAAAATTTTGAAATTCAACTGAAAAAAAATATCAAAAGTATCTGATATATTGATGTTTTTTTGTCGATAAGATGAGAAAAAAACAGTGAAACTAATGGAAAATGTTCATATAGAGCCGCCATCGGTTAGTGCTGAAAATCTAATGAAACATTCGAAGAGTTCTGATCAAATTTCTCTGGAGAAGCTACATGCCGATGACAATTTTTGTTCAATGGACGAAGACTCCGACGACACTGTATTTTCCAACCTATCACAATTTTTGTTCAATGGACGAAGACTCCGACGACACTGTATTTTCCATCCTATCACAGATAAACCCAAAAAGATTAGAATACATCGATGACTCCAGTTTAGTTACCACCAGGTGCAAAAGGGAAAGCCACTCACCACAGCAGAATCCTCCTCCATCAAATTGATATTTTTCTTAAAGAAAATATGGGCACTTCCAAAAAAAAGTCCACCAAGCCAAAAACCTTGAAACTTGAATAAAACATATTTCCACATGATTTTGCCCCGATATTAGTTTCTAATTAGTTGGATACTGAGCTTAACTACAAATTTGGAGTATAGTTTCATTATTTTTAAGACAAACCCCACCAATATACGCAAAAATCAGTTTTTGGCTATTTTTTTTGTTATTTTTTGGACCTTTCTTCTGTTGTTAATTTATCCTATAGGAACGCTAATATGTGACATTTTTCTGTACTGAATGCTTCATTCACATGCTAAACTATTAAGTTAAAAGCAAAACATCCAGCAATTGAGAGATAGAGGTAAAGAAATCCGCTTTACAAAACAGTCGGAAAAAATGTCCCGAGCGACATGTCCCGAGCGAATGTGGTTGAAACTGCATAAAAAAAAAACGGCAAAGAATTTTTGAGTAAAACCAAAAGCATTTCACAGCGACATGTTTGAACAACATTCTAAAAAAATCGCATTCAAGTATTCCATCAGAATTCGCTAATTTCTGGTGTTGTATGAACTTCCCCGAAATCCACTTCTATTTTTGTCCCGAGCGAATACGTCAGTTTTTTACCGATATCTTAAAAACTAAAAGTGGTACAAAATCAAGATTTTTACCAAAAATAGAGCTTGGGAAGGGTGAAAAGAAAAGCCCATAATTAAAATTAAAATCCATTGTTATACAATTTTTATTCAACTTTAAAGGTGTGCAAATGTCCCGAGCGACATTTTGGAAGTGCCCATATATCAGCGATACGATATTT